GAAAATGCCTAGTACCTAGAACAAAGGAAGTAATTTTATTCTTCTCTCTCATCACCAAGCCACATCTTGGGGTACTGTATTCAGTCCTTGGAATATTTTAGGAAAGATGGAGACAAGATGGAGAACATCCAAAAGAGGGCCACCATGATGGTGAGAGAATAAGCCATGATAAAGTCAATCAGTTTGGGGCAGTGAGGTGGCACAGTGAATAGAACACTGGCCCTGGAGTCAGGAGAACCTGAGTTCAAATCCAGCCTCAGATATAACACTTACTAGCTGTGTGACTGGGGCAAGTCACTTAACCCCAATTGTCTCATAAAAAAAATTAAAAATTAAAATCAATCAGTTGAAGGAACTAGGGATGTTTAGCCTGGAGGTATTTTCTAGCTTTAGTACTTCAAAGGATTGTCAAGAGGAAAAAGGATTAGTTTTGTTCTGCTTCGCCCCAAAGGCAGAGAAATAGGAGCAGTGGGGGGAAGTTGTGAAGAGGCAAGAATCGGCTTAATGTTAGGATAAAGTTGGTCACAACTAGTCAGTCAACTAGCTCCATTAAGGACCTACTATGTGCCATGACCACAGATTAGAACCACCCCAAAGTGGCATGAGTAGTGACTTCTTCTTTATTGCAATATTTAGGATTCTTGCATGTATAGATGGATCAGATGACTTTCAGCTGGTTTTTGGCTGAGTTCAAATACAGTCTTAGACGTTTACTAGCTGTGTGACCCTGGGTAAGTCATTTAACCTCTGTTTGTCTTAGTTTCTTCATCTGTAAAATGGGGATAACAACAGTACCTACCCACCAGGGTTGTTGTGAGGATCAAATGAAATAATAATTATAAAGTGCTTAGCATGCAGTAAATCCTATATAAATGTTTATTATTATTATTATTATTGCCATTATTTGGTGAGGAATTTGGAAAAGAGATCTGTAGTAGCAAAGGGGGACTTCAACAACCCAGACATCTTCTTCTGCTTTACTTTTTTTTACCCAAAGCAGAATAACTGATAAATTTGAGATTTTCTTTAATGACAATTTAATCCTTTAAAAGGTGGAAGAAGCGACAAGTGGTCTTGCTCTTCTGATGCTGACCAAAATGGAAGAACTATTAAGCTTCCTCCTTCCCCTGCCCCACCCTGGCCAGAACCTTTCTTTCTAATCTTACTACACTTTACTCCCCTTCATGCACTCTATGGTTCAGCCAAACTGGCCTTTTTACTGTGCCACACACACAGTTCTTCATCTCCTCTCTGTGCCTTTTCACTGGTAGCCCCTATGGCTGGAATGGCCTCCGTTCTCATCTTCTCCTCTTAGAAACCCTTATTTCTTTCAAAACTCAGCTCAAGGGCGACCTTCTTCATTAAACCTTTTCCTCATTCCCCAGCGGCTAGTACCATTCTCAATCCCCACTACATTACTTCATATTTCTCCTATGTTTATACTTCTAAGTTTATGTTGTCTTCCCAGAAAGAATGTAAATTCCTTGAGAGGGCTGGGACTGTTTGATTTTTTATTTTATATCCATGGTGCCTGGCACATAGTAAGATCTTTAAAAATGCTCATTGATAGATTAGAATTTGTATCCTCTATAAAAATAGGGATTAGGGTTATTGATTATCTAACTCTCAGGGGTCATGTGAGAAAAATATTTTATAAACTGCAAAGTGCTACAGAAATGTATTTCTGGGAGAGGTACGTTGCCGTGAAAGGCCAATAACACATAAGGGAAGTAATCTTCAAACCCTCCCCGGATTGCCTTGAGTCTACCCTACTCTCAGGACTATGGTTAGCTTGTCTCCTTTGCCATCCTCTCCACTTAACTAAATCCTACCCATCCGCCAACAAGCATTTGTTAACAGCTTGCTATATACCAAGCTCCTTTCTCCAGAACAGCAGGGACCACATATCCTTGCACTAGGCTACATATTCAGAAGTATTTGATTGACCAGTTAAGCCAGGCAGTTAACAAATCAACAGGATTTATGAAGCACTTATGTGCCAACCACTGTGCTAAACTATGGTACTACAAATACAAGCAAAAAGATAGTCCTGCCCTTAAGAAGCTTACGTTCTAACGTGGTAAGACAACATTAAAAAGGTTGCTGAAAAGCAGGGGAGGAGAAAATGCCAAAGTAGGAGTGTGGTGGAGAGGTCTAGAGGGTCAAAAGCAGAGCCAAGAGGAGTGAGAGGGTGAGCATGGCAATCTTGGGTGCTTGCTCCAAAACAGAGCTTCCCAGAGGAACTCACAACTTTGAGGAGGGGGCTTCAGGAATGGAGGGACCTTTTGGGTGAAGACTAAAAGTAATTGCTTTCTTGTTTCTCAGACCGTCTGCTGCCTAGCCTTTGTGAATAGCTGCCTTCATTTCACTACTTAAGTGTACATTTTCTTTTTATAATAGACTTCTGACTGTCTGAGACACATGCGGCTCAGACCTAGGCCAAATTTAACTGATTTTCTGGAGGGCTAACTCATGGGCTAATTCTATGCATGGCCAGCCATATACATATGCATATGTACATATATACAATTTTTAATCTCAGCCACAAGTTAATCTTGACTCAGCTTGACTATGAGTTCCCTTGGGAGGTGCTCCTGGGATTAGTGCTGGCTTAAATATTCAAGTGGGAAAGGTTTTCTCCTCTTAAGCAAGTCCTCCTCTGGTGCTTCATTGTGGCTTAGAGACGACTCTGGATTGTCAAAGGCTTGTTGGTGGAGTGCAAAGTCTGGACAAGAATATGTAGCTAGTTAAGTGTAGGGAGACTCATTATTAGAAATTTGGCCTTAGCAACTACCTGCTAAGGTGTGGTAGTAACACCCAGACTGATAAAATTACAGGTTCTAAAACTAAAGTATATACTGATTAGAGAAATGCAAATTAAAACAACTCTGAGGTACCACCTCATACCTATCAGATTGGCTAATATGACAAAACAGGAAAAGGATAAATGTTGGAGATATGGTAAAATTGAAACACTAATGCATTGTTGGTGGAGTTTGAACTGATCCAACCATTTTGGTGAGCAATTTGGAACTATGTCCAAATGGCTATAAAACTGTGCATACCTTTTGATCCCACATTACCACTACAAAGAGATCATAAAAAAGGGAAAAGGATCCACATGTACAAAAATATTTATGGCAGCTCTTCTTGTGATGGCAAAGAATTGGAAATTGAGGGAATGCCCATCAACTGGGGAATGGCTGAACAAGGTGTGGTATATGAATGCAATGGAATACATTGTTCTATTGTTCTATAAGAAATGATTGTTCTATAAGAAAAAACAGAACAATATTGTTCTATAAGAAATGATGAGCAGGTGGATTTCAGAAAAATCTGGAAAGATTTGCATGACCTGATGCTGAGTGAAGTGAGCAGAACCAGGAGAACATTGTACACAGTAACAGCAACATTGTATGATGACCAGCTTTGACAAACTTAGCTCTTCTCAGCAATACAATGATCCAAGACAACTCCAAAAGACTCATGGTGGAAAATGCTATCCACATCGAGAAAGAACTATGGAGTCTGAATATAGATTGAAGCACACTATTTTCTCTTCTTTTTTTGTTTTTTCTTTCACAACATGACTAATCTAGAAATATGTTTAATATGATTGTACATGTATAGCCTATATCAGATTGCATGTTGTCTTGGGGAGGGAGAAAAAAATTTGGAACTCAAAAACCTTTTAAAAGTGAATGTTGAAAACTATCTTTACATGTAATTGGGGGAAAATAAAATATGATTGAATAGGGAAAAATAAAAAAAATTAATTGTATAATAATTAATAAAATTAATTTTAATAATTAAAAAAACCATAAAGTATAAGAAATAATTCAGTTAAAGACAGTTCTTTCCGCCAAGCTTGGATTTTCAATTAAAGACAAAACTTTCCATCAGTGATGGGTATAAAAAGCAGAATGGGATAACAAAGTTGAAAGCTGGACCCCAGCTGACTTATCCTTAGAGAAGCCTCCCTTTGGAAATTGGTCTAATTAAAGTCCAGCCTTAGACTGACCTGGACCCTGCCTCCCCTAGAGAATTGGAGCAGTTGTCCCTGGTCAGCCTGGCTGATGACTCAAGGTCAGCTGATACTCACTTATTCAACTCATCGAGGGTCTCCCTTGGGCCCACTTACAAGGATTAGGCCTCGAGTAAAGGTTGGAAGTCCATAAAATGAGCAGTTGCTGGGTGTGATGGCATATGCCTGCAATTCCTGCTACTGGGAAGGCTGTGGCTGGGAGCTGACCTTGGACGTTCTGAGCTGTGCAAGTTAAGCTGATTGGGCCTGAACTGGCCCAGCTCAGAAATGGAACTGATGGTCAACTCTCCTGTGACTACCAATAGTGAGGTTAGGTCTGTGAGTGGCTGCTACACTTCCAGCCTAGCTTAGAAGGGGAGACTCAGTCTAAAAATAAATAAATATGACGATAATGATGATGATGAGCGGTCTAGATAGGGCAGGCAGAGCTTTGCTCCAGAAACCCTGATTCACCAAAGTTAAGGGGCTCCTTACAAGCTTGGAAGGAATTAAACAACATCCTATACCATGGTACAGAGTAAAGTGAGGCCCTTATTTCACTGAGAAGTGGCACAAACTGCAACAAAACTTACAGATAACCAATACTACTTGGGAAGCTGGGACATCTCTTCACTATCCACAACCTTTGCCAGTTATGTGCTCTATTTGACATTCAAAGCCCTTCATGACCCAGTCCCCTCCTACCTTTCCAGTTTTCTTCTACCCTACTCTCTACCATGTACTCTTTGATCCAGTGACAATGGCTTCCTGGCTGTTCTAAGAACAAAATACTCCCATCTTTCGGATCCTGGCATTTTCCGTCTCCCATACCTGGAACACTCCCCTTCCTCTAACTACTGACCTCTCTGGCTTCCTTTTGTCATCCCCCATAAGATTATAAACTCCTTAGGGGCAGGAATTATCTTTTGCCTCTTTTTGTATCCTCAGTACATAGCACAGTACCTGGCACACAGTAGGAGTTTAATAAATGTTTATTGATTGGGAGGAATTTTGGAGACCACCCAGATGGAGATGAAGCTCAGTAACTTGCCCAGTCTCACAGCAAATGAACGACAGAAGCAGGGTTAGAGGCTAGGTCTCCTGGATCTCCATGGCAGTCCAATGTTCCTTCCACCACATTTTGTTACCTTCCCCATCAAGTACTGCCCCACAATGCACCCTGAAGTGCCTTCATTACATAGACTTCTGTGCTGTCAGGGATGTAAAGCTGGTTTCAAATGGCATTTCTTACACTATTCTACTCATCCTTCAGGGCCTAATTTAAAGCCTTCTTCGAATACTCCAACTGCAATTTCTCCTTTTCTTGGATCACCTAGAGTACTCCATGGCTGCAGCCTATAAAATAAATGATAAAACGTCTTTTGCTATTCAGTTTCACCTATGTTCCCTAACTAGATCATGAGGTCTACACAAACAGAGAAGCATGGCACAGTGAAAAGAACAAGGACTGGGAAATGGAAATATTGGTTCTGGTCCGTGTTTCAACACTAATTTGAACATCTTCGAGGCCTGGGTTCTTAACCTTTTTGTGTCAAACTCCTTGAGCAGTCTGTGGACCCCTCTTAGAACAGTGTTTTTAAATAACTGAAGGAAATACTAAGTTTCAGTTAGAGGTCAGTGAAAACAAAGATGCAGTATTTCCCCCTAACCCATCCAAACTCATGGACCCCCTGAAATCTGTCCATGGACTCCCTGGGGATCAGTGGACCCAGCTTAAGCCCTCTCCGAGGTCTCTTCCAGCACTGGCACTGTTTCGCCTGAGCCTTCTTTCAGCACTGACATTGTGCCTTTAAAGTCCTTCCTGCTCTGCCATTTCACATGTTCCCCTTTCCCTATACCCCCCGTAGTTCAGACCAGCAAAGGCCTGAGAATAAAAAAAGTCTTCAGTTAAACTGTGTTGATGCAGCAGATGTCGCCATCTGGGAAGTGAAGCTGCCACCTAGTGGCAGGGGAATGACCAGCAGCCTGAGTGCAGCAGACCAGAACTCCGACACGTGCTGGGGAAAGGGAACTCATGGAATCTTTACTCCAAAACTGCTTTTATTTAGCTGAAAGTAGTCCTGAAGAAACTTTGATATCAGGCTTAGGTACAAAGGAGGGTTTCAAAAAGGAAGAAGAACAATACCCTCATGTCCCACCCTCTTTCAGAGGCCACAGCTTGGGGACGGGAAACCCTACCGCCGGTAGCGGTAGCGCTTAAAGTGGAACCAGAGCTGGAAGATGCCATTGGCAAACTGACAGCGGAAGCCGTGCCGATGCGAATACTCCCACTCCCGGTTGACAATCTTGAAGGCAATGTCCTCGTAGGGGGGTCCGGCATGGAAGCGCAGGATAGCAAAGTCCTTGTTGTCCTGGCACGCCTCCAGGAAGTACTCCGGTGTGGAACGCTTGTCTATCAGGTCTGGGTAAAAGATGTTAAACTTGTAGCCTTGCACAATCTTTGGTGGGGGGTTGTCAAAGTCATAGTGGGTCTGATTGTACTTGTTCCACTCAAAGCCAGTGTGGACACGGTTGAAGAAGCGAGGCTTCCGGGGCCGGTATTTGTCCGCCCACAGATACGCTTTGCCTGTGAGGGGCATTTCCACACTGAACTGGGCCTCATCTGCCCCCATACCCTCCTTGGCCCGGCGGAAGAAGATGTCTTCTGCACTCTCACTGGCATCTCCTATGGCAAACAGAGGGTAGGCAAACGATTATGGGGCTTGCTCAAAGCCTGCATGTATGTTTTAAAACTGGGAAAGGGAAAGCTCGGCTTTTCTCTCTGCCCCCACACCTCTTACTTAATTACCAGGACACCCCTAACTATTTATACCCCTTTCTGTTGGAAGTATGTACGTCTTTGACTAATCAGCTAACCTCCCAAGCCTCTATCAAATTTTTCATAAAATCTGAATTTATTCCTGCCCCCTGTGTGGTCTGAAGGGTCCTGACTAGTGCCACCACCCAGAGAATGCACAGGCTAACACTACAAATTACAATCTCCCTATAATATACTGTCAGCTGGCGCAGAACTCCAATGGTTGTTGAGTTGTTTCTGTCATATCCAACTCGTCGTGACCCCACTCGGGGTTTTCTTGGCAGGGATACTGGAGGGGTTTGCCACTTCCTTCTCCGGGTCATTTTACAGATGAGGAAACTGAAGCAAACAGGGTGAAGTGACTTGCCCAGGGTCACACAGCTAGTGAGACTGAACTCAGGAAGAGGAGTCTTCCTGATTCCAGCCCTGGGCCCTCTCCACCCACTGTGACATCTAGAGGCCCACAAAACACCACAGCAATGCTTAATAAGAAACCGCCTAACACAACAGAGGTCAAAGGAGAGGAGAGAGGGAGAGAAAAAAAGAGAGGGAGACAGGACAGGACAGGAGAGGACAGGATCCCCTCAAGTTCAGAGGGGTGTCATGGAATGAAAAGTCTGGGACACGCTGCTACAAGTTCCCACTGGACTTAGCATTCACCAACTCTGTGGGCGACTCTGGGGACAGGCGTTATACAGGGGAAGGAGGCGAGCACTGGGAGGAAAGCTTGGGTTCTAAATCCTACCACTCAACAGCTGTTTGGCCACTTCTTCTTCCGGAAAATGGGGCACAAGCAGCTGGCTTCACATACCTGTGGCCTGCAGCTGCTGCCGGGAAAGCAACAGGCGCTGAAGATCCTCTTCTGACTCCACCACATGCGCGTCGAAGGGCAGCTCGTGGGTGCTGAGCAGCCTGGGGCTGTACTTGCCAGCGTCATAGTCATCCAGGCTCTGCTGGATCAAATCTTCCTCCATTAGCACGGCCTCCCCCTCACCCTCACCTTCCCCCTCCCCCTCGCCCTTGGCTCTGGCCTCCCCTTCAGCTTCTGGCTCCTCTGAGGCTCCTGAGGTGGAGGGCCCCACTTGGGCCTGACCTCGTTCTTCAGGCTCTGACCTGTGGACAGAAGGGAGAGACCCTTTGACCTGCAGGGAACTTCAAGGGACCAAGCTCTCTCTCACACAGACATCCTGGATGGTACTGCGGGAGGTGCCGCGACACAGTACCCCTCGTCCGGGCCTCAGGCTCTGGTGCAGGATGCTACAGAGCAGTCTGGGAAAGACTGTGGTCACTCTCCTTGTTGGCCCATGTGAAAGCTCCAAACTACCCCATCTCTCCTGAGTGACCCACTGGTCCATCACCTGGGGATTTCTCTGACCTCTGGAGCCTAGTTCTCTTCTTGGACTGGTCCCCCCCTCAGGGAAACGAATCCCCTACAGTCACTTCCTGTGGGAAGAGTCGGGGGGCTGGGATTAAGGCTCAGACTCTTCTCCTGGATGATGAACACAGTGACCTCCAGGTGGGGTGCACAAGTATTCATCCCTTTCAGGATTCCAAAGTCAAGGAGAGCCTTAGATGGAGATGGCACAAGACCATGACATCAGAGGTCAGGCATGGGCAGAGCAGAAATGAAGAATAAACCACAGGCGTCCCAATAACTCAGAGCTGATATTCTGACCATCTCGTGACCCCTTCCCTGCAGCCCAAGCCACGGGTGGTTGGTTGGATAAGCAGGGGAAAGGAGAAATAAGGCCTTTATGTACCCCACCTTCTCCTGCAGAAGACAAACCCTGTTGTCTTGGGGAATACGTACCTTTCGCTAGGAGATGATGGCTCTTTCTTGAGGATGGGGAACAGGGGTTCGCTCTCAACACCTTGCTCCTGTTTGAGCTTGTACAGTTTCTGCCGAAGTACATCCTGATGACGCTCACGGAGCCTGAAACACAGGAGGACAGAGGGTTACTCCTCTGCATCATCTGTGATGGACTTTTCTTCTGTTCAAAAGCTGTCCTGAGGAACTTTACATCCTCAGCTATGACTGAAAACAGTCCAGGGCCTATGCACAGGCAAAAAGAAAACCCAAGTCAGTGGGTCAGGAAGGCTACTGATGGCACAATTAGCTCAGGATGGAACAGGAGCCCCTTACTCAAGGCTCCTAGCATGCAGAGCAAAGTAAATTCAAATGCTAATTCAGCATCTAGTGTGCAAAAGAAGTCTGCGCTGGATACTAGGGGAAGATATCGTTTCAGTGAGCACAGTCCCCAATGGGGGATGAGACACAAATGTAGGTACGTGTAGTTATATATTCTAGTTCAGTGCATCAGAGAGGCACAGAGAAAGTGCTCTCAGAGGTCTGAAGAAACGGACCAGACAAGCTTGGGAGGCACTTTGTTTTTTTTTTTTCCTTTCTGGTGAAGCAATCGGGGTTAAGTGACTTGCCCAGGGTCACACAGCTAGTAAGTGTAAGGCATCTGAGGCTGGATTTGAACTCAGGTCCTCCTGACTCCTGGGCCGGTGCTCTATCCACTGCACCACGTAGCTGCCCCAGCTACCTTCATTGTGTCCTGGGTATGTGTCCTGGGAAGATGACCAACAGCTTTATCATTCATGTCAGATGACAGGATGGGGGCCAGGCACGACTGCCCTCTTCAAGTATTTAAAGGCCATCTCCTGGAAGAGGAATTGGACTCATTCCATTTGGCTGGAGAGGCCAGAATTAGAAACAATGGGTGGAAATTGCAGAGAGATTTCAGCACAATGTAAGGAAAATATTGCTAGCAATTAGAGCCCAGGCATGGGAGGCCAGGTCTCCCTGGAGGTCTTCAAGCAAAGCCTGGCTGCTCGTTCTCATTCAGCGCCAGATGACCACAGAGGAGATGCTGGGAGCTGCGCTTTACAGGACAGGCAGCAGATCAATAAGCAAAGAGGAGGGCACTCCAGATGTGGGGCAGCATGGCACCGAGTGGGTGGGTGGGGGGCAAGGAGTGGGGCAGCAAAGGCTCTGCTTAGAGCCCAATTTAGCTGGAACATCAAGTATCGGGGGGGGGAATAGTGTGGAATAAGGGATGGAAACCTGGTACGGTGGCACCAAATAGTGGAGGGCCTCAGATAGTGAGGCGGCCTGGTGCAGAGTGGAAAAGGCAAAGGCACTAGTCTCAGGTTTGAATCCCGGCTCAGCTACTTTCTGCCCAGCCGTGGGCAAATCACTTCTCCTTTCTGGGCCTCAGTTTCCTTATGTGTAAAATGAGGAGGTTAGGCCAGATTACCTCTGAGCTCTAATCTATGATTTAGACTAGTGGTTTGGGTTAAGCCAGATGGAGACATCATATCCCATCCCTGCAGTTCCAGCATGCTTTTCAAAGGATTTCAAAGCACTTTCATGCAAGACTGTCAATAATTATCTTGGAAGAAACTAAGAGATGCTACCTCTACTTGACTGATGTGGGAGAAGCTAGGTCTGAAGAAATTTGTCAGTGTTTTGCCCAAAGTCACAGAAGAATTTACCATGTTGTCCTCAGAGCCCTGCCCTGTACTCTGGCCCTCTCCCATTCCGCCCCAGCCCCTCACCTGGCTCTGGCCATGTGCGCCTTGAGTTGCTGCAACAGGCTCTCCCAGTAGCCAATATCCAGGTTGGGCCCCCCTGCCCGGATCTTGCCCTCGATGCCCTGGAAGATCACCTGGAGCTGATTGTAGGTCTTTCCTTTGAATACCGACTGCACATCAGAACTAACAGAGGCATTTACTCCTTCTCGACGCTCTCCTGTGGGGAGATTAGGAGAGAAACCTATCAGTAAACGAGCTGTGCTGCTTACCTACCCCACTAGTGGCACCATGGGATTCTTCTCTCCATGTATACAATGTTTCCCCATCCCTCCTCTACCAATGCCAGCCTCCTCAGTCCCACAAACATGGAAAGCTCTTCCTTCTTATCTTTGTCCATGGCCTAAAATCTGTCCTCCACAATTCCTGAGTCATCTGACTGGAACGAACATTCTGCCCACCTCTACAGTGACAAACACAATGGCTTGTTCTCAGGCCTTTCCATTCTTGACCTCATTCCAGCAAGACTCTGCTGACCACTCTTTCCTAATGAAGAGTCTCTCTTTTCTGGGCTCCTGCAACATTGCACTCTCTTGTCCTACTGGAAAGGCAGCTCCTTTTCTCTGCTGTCTTGGGACCTCTTTCTTCTCTCTACACTATGATTCTTGGTGATCTCATGAGTTTCCCATGAGCTGAACTACTATTTCTATTCAAATGACTCTCCATTCTATATATGCAGGTCCAGTGTTTCTTCTGAGTTTCAGTCATTGGACATTTTAAACTCAACATCACGCAGACACCTAGAATTCAAATGCCCAACACGACTCAGTGTTTTTGTGCTTTCCCCCTCTTCCTAACTTTCCTTTTTCTGTCAATGGTACCACCACTTCCCAGTAACCTAGGAGTCACCCTTGTTTCCTTTTCTTCAATCCCGAGATCCAATCAGTTTCCAAGTTTTCTTGAGTCTATCTCCCTAACATATAGGCACCACCTAATTCAGGCCCTTATCACTCATAGCCTGGGTTGCTGCACATGTCCCAATCAGTCTCTCCTGCCTAGTCTATCCTCTTCAAGCATAGGTCTGACCATGTCACTTTCCAGATTAAAAACAAAACAAAACAAAAAAAAAGCTCCATTATTATCTTATTGCCTCCAAGATAACATACAACCTCTTCTACACAACCAAGTTCTAGCTGATATTTCCAAGTTTATTACAAAAGATTACTGCCCTTCATAGAGTCTGTGCAGTTTCTCACACAAGACATCCCACCTTTTGGCACTGGGTCTTTGCATAGGTTGTCCCCTCATGTCTGAACTGACTCCCTCTTCACCTCTCTCTCTAACAATCCCCAAAGCCCAGTTCCAGCGCCACCTCCTGCAGAAAGGCCTCCTCCCATCCACCAGCTGCTAATGCCTCCTCCTGCCAAAACTGCCCGGCATTAACTCCATTAACTCCTTCTCCATCACATCTCAACTAAAGAGACAGTCACACTCTTGATCTTGTCATCGTGCACAAATGTTGCCCTTCCATGTTTTTGAACTCTCAAATTCCCTTATCTAATCACTACTCTTGTCATGACTTCACCTCCTCCTATGCCTTGCAACCCCAAACCCTGTTCTCCAAACTCACTTTGACCTCCAATCTCCTGCCAGGGGTGGAGATTCTTTTCATAAAAGGATTTGTTCTGGGAGGTTTGTATTCAGTCAAAGGGTCTCACTTGAGGACCTGGAGGGCCACATGTGGCCTCAGGGCTGCAAGTTCCCCACCGCCTGTAACTGAGAAAGTTCTCAGGCCATCACCTGCAGACCGACACTCTCCTCCCTTCTGCAACACCAAACCCTGCTCTTTGCCCTCACCATGACTTCTGATCCCTCGATCCCCTTAATACTTCCCTAGGCCACTACCTACACCCTTATCCTTTTCTCATCTTAGCCTCCCCATTCAACCAAAAATGCTCTCTTCAAATTTACTAACAATCTCTTAATTGCCAAATCTATTGGCCTTTTCTTAATCTTCATTCTTCCTGATCTTTCTGCAGATTCTGACACTGTCAGCCACCCTCTTCTTTCTAGGTTGATACTGCTCTATCCTGGTTTCCCTCCTACTTATGTGACTGCTCCCTCTTAGTTGGCTTTGCTGGATCTTCAATCAGGTCTGCTTACCATGGACATCCCACTGTTGAGGCTCCCAACCTAGGTATCATTCTCAACTCCTCCCTCACCTCCCACACCCAATCTATTGCCAAGATCTGTTGATTTTTTTTTTTTGCTTAGGCAGTTGGGGTTAAGTGACTTGCCTAAGGTCACACAGCTAATAAGTGTCAAGTGTTTGGCCTGAGGCTGGATTTGAACTCAGGTCCTCCTCACTTCAGGGCTGGTGCTCTATCCACTGCACCACCCATGTTGCTGCCCCAACATCTGCTGATTTTTACCTTCGTACTGTCTCTCATAGCTGCTCCCTTCTCTCCTCTAACACGGACACCTCCACAGCGCAAGGTCTCATCACCTCACGTCTGGACTACTGCAACCGCTTACTATTCGGTTTCCCTAACACAAGTCTCTCTCCACTCCAGTCTAATCTCCATGGAGCTGCCAAAATGGTCTTCCTAAAGCACAGGTCTGACCGTGTCACCCCCTTACTGAATAAACTCCAGTGGCTCCCTATCACCTTCAGGATCAAATATAAAATCTTCTCTTTTGCATTCAAAACCCTTCCAAATCTGGCCCCTTCACACATTTCCAGTATTCTTATACCTTCCTCCCCAACTATGTGTGGTGTGCCTCCTTGTATAACACACCCCACCTCAATTCTCAGCATTTTCCCTGGCTGGCCCCATGCCTCTATTCTCTCCCCCCTCATCTCTGCCTCCTGGCTTCCTTCAAGTCCCAGCTAAAATTCCACTTTCCAGGAAATTTTTCCTGATCTGCCTTAACTCTAGTGCCTTCCCTCTACTGATTCTCTCCAATTCTGCCTGTATATAGCTTGTGTGTACCTAGCTGTTTCCCTCTGTGAGCTTCTTGAAAGTAGGGACTATCTTTTGCTTTTCTTTGTATCCCCTACACTTAGCAGAATGTGTGGCTCTCTACATAGCAGGTACTTAATAAGCATTTATCGAATGGCTGCCTGACTTTGTATGCATTTTGAATTTATTGGTGTAAAAATTGTTTCCCTGATAGAATATATGTGCCTTAAGGGCAATGACTGATTCATTTTCTTTTTTTTTTTTCTGTCTTTGAATCCCTAGAGGCGAGTATAGCACCTGGCTCACAACAGACGCTCAATAAATGCTTGCTGATTAATCACTTCTTCCAGGAAGCCTTTCTTGACCTTTCCCTGTGCAGAGTACTCGATCTCATCCTCTTATGGGCTCATATAGTGCTGAGCACCATCTGTATCATTCATTTGGACACATTATTATTTGTACTCAGTAGATAGTCAAGATACATCTATTGTGGACATTTTGTGGGACTGAAGGTTTTAGAGCTGGAAGGTACCTTAGAAATCAATTAGTCAACCCCCTCTTTTTACAGGTGAGGAAACTGAGGGTCAGCAGGGCTAAGCAACTTACCCAAAGCCCCATAGGTAATGTGTAGCAGAGGCAGAATGAGAACACAGGTCCTCAGTCTCCAAAGTCATTGCTCACTGAACTTGAAGGGAAGACTCAAGTTCCAGCACGAGCTCCTCTGTTAATTAGTTATATCTTGATCAAACCACTTGACCTCTTTGGGACTCAGTGTCCTCATCTGTAGAGAGAGAGGGGACTGGACTAGATCTTTAAGAACGCTTCCAGTTCTCACAAGTCTATCAGTGTGAACTGTGAGCTCCTCGAGGGCAGAGACTCTCTTTTCCCTCTTTTTGAATCCCCAGTGCCTGGCACACAGCAGGCACTTAATAAATGTTTACTGAATGAACTGAGTGACTATCTATGAAGTGAATTCAGGATAAGACCTGTCCTAGTGGCTTCCCCCAGTGGCCACGAGAGAAACCGCATAAATGGGACCAATGCCATTTCAATGCTATTTTTCAGCTTAAAAATGTCAAGAGCTAGAAAGGACCTTAAAGATAATAGTGTGACCCCTTTGTTTTCATACTGGGGGGAGGAGGATCACAGCTCATACAGGGGAAGGGACTTTTCCAAGATCGTATCATAAACCTGGCAGTACTGGGATTGAAACCACGTTGCCGGCCTTCCTGGCCCAAGCTCTTTCTAATGCACCCTTGTTTAAAAAAACAAAACAACCCTGGGTAACCGTCTCCCTCCTACCATCCCGATGACCAAGACCAAATGATGGATCAGTGCCTTTAGGTATGGGGGCCCAACAGTTACCTGGCCCCTTTCCAGATGCCTCAAGCTTGCGGAGTTTGGAGATCTCATCCTCTGTAATGATGGTCATATCCCTCCAGAAATCTACATTCTTGCCCTGTTCCAATTCCATGTATACCTAAAATTGGAAGAGTAAAAAAAGCTTGTGATCCAGATTATGAAGAACTGCCAAACATTACCAAGGAGAGGGCTTACTCTGTCTAATCTTGGAAGAGTGAAGGGAAGCAGGTTTGTCGGGGAAAATCTTCCTGGAAGAAGTACGTATTCAGTTGGGTTTTGAAAGATGGGGAATTTTTGGAAAGGTGACAAGAGAAACAGTTTTCTAGGTTCACAGGACTGAGAACTGGAATGAACTTCAGAGATGATCTAGTTTGATCCTGCTACAGATAAGGAAACGGAGGCACAGAAACATTAAGTGACTTGCCAAAGTCTTTCAGACAGTAAGCAGAATCAGGACTTGTCTTCTGTCTCTAAATAGTGGGAGCAAAGGTGCAAAGAGACCATCCACCTGACCATCTATCTATCCATCCATCCATCCATTCATCCACTCATTCACAAATCAGCTGTTTATTAAAGGCTCAACATATGTATACAGTGCAGTGCTAGGCTGCAGGCAGGAGCTACAAAATTAGTACTTGTGTGTCCCTGTTTTGATGGGGCTCATAATCCAGCAAATAGGGTATGACCCAAATACGTATCAAGTGGTAAATATAATGCAAAACAGAATAGAAGAGATGGAAGAAAAGATCATTTCTCAATGGGGAGATCGATCTGGGGAGGCAGCATCTGAAGGGTAAAATCAAGGCAGAAACCAGAGGAAGGAGAGGGAGGGTGAGACATTCTAAATCTAGGGAATAAAGTTAGTAAAAGGGTGGAGGCAGGAGAGCACTACATATGGACGAGGGGCAGAGAAAGTGGCAGAGGGTGGGATCACAAGCAGGCCGAAGGAAAGCTGGGTGAACTACTCCCTGGCCTAGCGAGGAAAACTGCTACAAGAGGAAGGGCCCTGCTTGGGACTGAAGGTGGATACCTGTATATCCTCCAGGAGGTCTTCCATGTCTGAAACGGTGAGGCCATTGAGGAAGGTATAGGGCTCATGCATCTCCACAGCCAGGTCATCGTCCTCTGCACTTATGTACTTGGCTAGGAGGTCGATGGGCTTGGCTCGTCCATCCCTTATTCGAATTTTAGAACTGCAAACAGCAATGGAGTGAGTTAGCTTTTCACTGGTTATAGTGTAGGGGCTACAGAGTGTGGTATCTGGTTATGATCTGAGCTCTCAGTTTCCATGTGTGGCCATGGTAAGAGAGCCTGTGAGATTGATGGAGAAAGAAAGAAAAGTGGCCCACTGACCAAAGCCCACACCAATCCTTTCTAGCTGGGTGGTCAGAGACAAGTCACTCAACCTTGCTGGGCTGCAGTTCCCATCCTACAAAATGTACTAATGACTGTATCAGCTATCTCAGATGGATATTGTGAGCAAAGTACTTTGTTAACCTTAAAGCACCATAGCAATGTCGAGCTATTTATAGGGCTTACTAAGCTTAGTGTGTGGTCACAGCCATAATCTTCATGGGGTTCATAGACTGGTATCGAGCTGTGGGCAGACTGTACACAAGTTGGTCGATACTTGGGGCCAAAGTTCACGGGGGTGGATAAGTATCAGGCTATGTGCTCTACTTTCCCTGACTCCAGGAACTTACAAATTAATGAGAACTTGACTACCTAATAAATTATATTTAACCTTGAAGGAAGTACTTTTCACCACTGCAAAGACAGTATGGGGAAGGGGAGGGGGGGAGAGAAGGGCCTTTGGGTTTTTGCATCTTCTCCCAAATGGGTGAGAAAGTGTCCCTCGGCTCTGCAATTCTGGGCGAGATCCACACCTAGCTGAGCCCTCAAAGCACTCTCCTTGATGTTTCCTTTAATCCCTATTAGGCCTGTGTTCTTGATTAGCCTGGTGGTGGCCCTCTGTCTTCACTACCAGTACGCCTCAGCTGGCCTTGGAAATACTTGGATATCCTTGGTTCTCCTTGGCGAGGACAAAATCCCTCCTCTTTCCCCTAACTACTCAATAATGTTTTAATTTTGATGGGACAACTCCAGGAAGATAGAGATCAGCACTCAAAGCTATAGAGTCAGAGGGGATGTGTCTTAACTTCAGACATTTCTCCCTCCCGCCTGGACTCTCACGTCACCCCGTGCTGTCACAAGCGGCAGACACAGACGCACCGAAGTTTGGCCTGCTGAAGGTGGAAGTTGTCTTCCTGTTCCTCCCATGTTTTGAAGTGCTCTGCCTCCTTCTCCCTCTGCAGCATCTCCAGCTCTTGTTCACGCATGGCTTTCTCCCTCTCCCGCTCCAAGCGCAGCTGCTTCACCTGAGAAATTGAGGAGGAGCTGTCATGAGGGTGGGGTGGCGGAACCGAGGGGAGGAAACAAGCTATCCTCAGCAAGGAACTCCAAAAAGGGGGGAGGCCTGCGGGCCAGGAGATGGGGCTTGGCCCTGGCAGTGGCGCTCCTACCTTCTGCAATTCTAGTCGATTGTCCTCCTGGATTCTTTTGTTTCTCTCCTTCAGCTCCTTCTCTTCCAGGTGGCTGATGCCCTTCTTCTCCAGTGCCTGGAAAAGACACACCCATGACCCAGCTGAGTCTCAGTTCAGCGTCTGCGAAAGGTCTACACAACTACCTTGTGCAAATTCACTAGGAGAGAGTACAGCAATAAGGAGTGAGGGATCGTAATGTCCCCTCAGCTTTCTACTACACTACAAGGTAGTGAAGGTGAAGATTACTACAGTCGGCTGGTCATGGGACCAGAGCACTTAGAGTTGGAAGTGACCTTTGCTGATCAACTAAAGCAGCCCTCCCATTTTATAGAAGAGGAAACTTAAGGGCTTTTTAGTCTGTTCACTTATTTGTTTGAGGGTCTCACGCCCAAGCAAGTTTTAGGAATCCTGACGCTAAATTCAGTGTTCCTTCCATTATATCAGGGGTTCTTAACTTTTCTTGGGTCATGGGCCCGGGAAACCAAAATAATGTTTTTGATGCATGAAACACAAAGGTAACCAATTATATGTAAATGACGATAAAATGGTGTGACATTTTTTTCCCTTCCAAGTTCATGGGCCCTTTGAAATCTATCCACGGATTCCTCGGGGGTCTGGGAACACAAAGTTAAAAACCTCTAGGCTACACTGCACTGATTTCCTAAAAGAAGACTCCTTCATGAAACCTTCCTGAATTAATCAAAGGAGAACTAAGCACTCCCTGACCCCTAGACAGGAAATGCCTTGGTTCTTCTTCCCAATGGCTTCTGCTTCCATCTCCAGCTCATTCGTGCTCTGGGCCCAGTAACCAAATCAGCAGTGAGAGGGTGTGCCGTGTGTGTCAGCGCACTGCCCCTGTGTCAGGCAACTGTCCTCAGACCAAAGCTTCCACTCTCGGCCATCATTCTCTTATATGTGTTTTCTCCTACTAGGATGTAAGTTCCTTGAGGGCAGGGGTGCCTCTCTTTTAATATTTGTATCCCCAGTGCTTAGCACACAATAAATACTTAATAAATTTGCATTCACTGAAGTATCTTAAGGTCTGTTGTAGAGATGGTCAGGATTATTTTACTTGATAGAAACTAGGCTTACTGGACATTATAGGGAAGCTTCAACTTGATGTGAAGATAAACAACCAGAGCTATTTAGAAACATTATTGGAAGCTGTTAAGTAGAGATTGGATCTCTATTTGTTGGTTGGCATTACAGAGATGATCTATATGTCAGGGAGAGTTAGACTAGTTGATCTGAGATCCCCTTTGACTATGGGATCCTATGAACTGCGGGGAAAAAAAGGATGCAACAGATATCGTGAAGGAAGAATATAAAAAGTTGAGTGACTGACCAAATAGGCCAGGGCACAAGGAGGAGTCAAAAGACCAGAAATGAGCCAGCAAAGTACAGCAGGAAGAATCATGGACTGGGAGTCAAGAATTCTAGGCCCTAGTCTACCTTCTGTCAATGACTGGCAATGTGGTCTTGGAAAAGACATTTCTCATAAAATGTAAACTCCTGGAAGGCAAGGATTGTTTAATTTTTGTATTTGTGTCCCCTGGGCCTACTATAGTACCTGGCCCAGAGTAGGTGTCAAATAAATGCTTACTGATTGACTGGTTCCCCATTCTGAACCACAATTATCCTATTTGTTAAAACAGGTTATTAACTGTTATGATCTCGGGTCTCTGCTCATTGTATGATTTGCTATCCCTGCCCAGTTGCACTGTTACACATCCTGGGAAGGTTGCAGCCAAGCCCTCACCTTGTTCCATATGAATGTTCCTAGCAGGTTATTGTCTCCGAAGGGGTTGTCAGTATTGGTGTAGCCCATATACTCTTCACCCCAGCCCATCTTTTCTCTCTTCTTCCGTTCTTTGGCCTCCTTCTTTGCCAGTCTCCGGGCCCGTTTCTCCTCTGGTGTCTCAAAGGCCTTCATCAACTCTTCCTGCTGCTTTTTCTCTTCCTTTAGCCTCCGTCGCTCCTGGAGGCTCAATTTCTTGTCTAGGGCCTCTTGAGGGCTCTGAGAGCGGGGTGGTGAAGGGGATATAGAAGATGCTGAGGAGGTGGATGATCTGGAATCATGATGCCTCCTCCTGTGTGTGTTCCTGTGGCCCCTCTGTGGCTCACTTCCAGAATCTGACTGGGAAGGCTCCCGAGATCGGGGCCGTGGCTTTCTTGGGCTTCTACGGTTCCTTTCAGAGGTCTGATATTTCTTTGATTTCCTCCTATGTCGCTCTTCCTCAGAATCTGATCTGTGGAATAAATAAAAACATCTTTCATTATGAAAGATACCAAAGGTTTCATTATTAACTCTACATTAACTCTCAACTTGTAGATCCTGTGACATGAAGATAGCAGGGAGAGACTTCCCACAGGATCACAGATCAAAGCACGTCAGAGAGAACATGAAGAAAATTAAAGATCATCTAGTCGAACCTTATTATTTTATAGTTTAAAGTATAGGAATGGCAGATTCCTGGACAGAGGAACCTAACAACAGTGAATGTACATATTTCTTGCTTTCTCAATGGGTGGGGAAGAAACTGGAAGGAGGGAGAGAATTTGGAACTTAAAACTTAAAAAAAAAAGTTAAAAATAAATAATGAATTTATTATTATTATTCTTTTTTAAAAGGGTAAATGTACCTGTAATTATGAATATACGATCAAAAGAGCTTTACATTGAAAAGGTATGGGAAGAAAAAAAATTGACAATGTATGCCAGCAGTGTGGCCTAGTGGACAGCTCCAAACTTGGCCTCAGGAAGACCTAATTCCAACTCAGACTTTTTCTAGCCATGGGGCTCTGGGCAATTCATTTGACCAGAGCCTCAGATTCCTCATCTGTAAAATGAGGATAATAACAGCACCTCCCTTCAGAGGATTGCTGTGAGGATCAAATGGTATTATATATGTAAAGTGCTTTGCAAACCTTAAAATATGACTTAAAACTCAGCTATCATTATTATTATTCTTGTTATAGCCAGATACCACGGACAGCTACAATGCAGGAAAATGAATAGCAATTAAAAACACCCAGAAATTTTAGAGGAGACAAAATCCAAGAAAGGGGACAGCAATAAAATCCACAGCCTTGGGTGTCTTGGGTGCACAAAAATAACAGCAAAATAGAGATCCTAATGCAAGATGTCAAATTTGAACTAGGAAGTATGACTGAGATTTGGTGGAATGAGACTCATGCCTAGAATAGGGTTTTCAATGTATATACCTTATTCAAAAAGAAAAGGATTAGTAAAAGTGGGAGCAGAGCAGCACTGGACGTTAAGAAGATAAACTTATGAAAAATATAGGAACAAGAGGAAGCATGGCAAAGTATGTCTGGGCACAGATCTACACTGGCAAAAGCCAAAGAGATATTATCATTGCATATATTACAGACCACCCAGACAGAAAGGAAATAAACGTTTGGGTAAGAAGATCACAAGGTTGGCATAAAATCATGAGACAGATTGACGAGGGAGGGGGGCTTCAATTACCTGGATGTCTGTTACAGTTCTCTGCCCAAAGCAGGGTGGCTAACAATTTTGTGACTTGTCTTAATGATAACTTCAAAAAAAGTGGAGGCAATACTATTAAAGTGGTACAGAGGCAAGAGCACTGGCTTTGGAGTCCAAGGAGCTGGGTTCAAGTTCTGCCTCTGATGCTACCTGTGAGACAGCGGTCCAGTCCCTTATGGCCTCCCTTACAGCAGACAGGCAGGACACTACAAGGACAAAACGTCGTATACACTGTCAGACAAGGTTTCTGTATTGGTTGTTTTTGCTTAATTTTCTGTGTCACAAGAAGGGTTCAATGAAGGTAATGTGAAATGACAGGTGTAAAGATCAAAGACATCACCACAATTAAGAGTTTTTTAAAAGCAGTATTAGGAGGGGCAGGTAAGTGGTGCAGTAGATAGTGAAGTCAGGAGGACCTGAGTTCAAATCTGGTCTCAGACCAAACACTTGACACTTACCAGCTATGTGACCCTGGGCAAGTCACTTAACCCTAATTGCCTAAAAATAAAAAAAATTTTTAAAAAGCAGTATCAGGAAAAAGAGAATAATCAAAGAAATAGTAAGATGACTCTAATCAACGACAGACCAGGCAGTTAGTTGCTCAGCTCTCACTTTGCTTCTTTTCTCCACTCAGAAGAAGGACTAAAATGGCTCCCAGGCATTTGAAACTCAAGACAACAAGGAGGCAGTAAAAGAGTACCAACTGCCTACTCTTGATCAAGCTACCAAGCTCAGGTAAAAACTCTAACATGGAATACTGAAAGCCTGGCAGACATGACTGCTAGGTCACGGAGAGTGGAACACATACTGAAGGAACAAAGAAGGGCAGGTGCATTCCTGATTTTCACAAAAGGGAAGAGAGTAGTCTGCACACACTATTGGCCAGTGAGCTTGCCTCTGAGTCTTGGCAAAGTTCTAAGAAGGTACTTATTAACACTGGTGAACACATGAGTGCACTGGTAGATCAGGGCAATGCTGGTTTGCACAGATTTTAGAAAAACATTTGACAAAATATCTCATGCTATTCCTGTGGCTAAGATGGAGAGAAGTGGGCTCGACAGAGGTACAATTCAATGGATTTGGAACTGGATGCACAAACAGATCCAAAGAGTAGTCATTAACAGTGTGATGGGAACTTGGGAGGTTTCTAACCGAATTATTCAGAGACCTGGGCTCTGTCCTGTGTAGTTTATTAATGACTTGGATAAAGTTATAGGTGATGTACTTATCAAACCTGAAAATGTATTAGAAGGGTTAGTTAACAAACTGGATGACAAGTCAGAATCCAAAAAGATTCTGACAGTATAGAATGTTGGGTTGAATCAATTAAGTTGAAATTTAGTAAGAATACATATAAACTTACATTTGGGTTAGAAAAAAAATCATCTTCACAAGTACAAGATGGAGGAGGCATACTAGATTATTGTTTATCTGAAGGTCTCAGTAGACTGCAAATTCAGTGTGTCAACAGTGTGATATGGCTACCCTGAGAAGCACAGTGTCTAGGACTAAGGAGGAGCTAGTCCTTTTGTCCTCGGCCTTGGTTAGACCACAGCTGGAGTACTGGATTCAGTCATGGGCACCGCAGCTTAGGAAGAACACTGGTAGCTAGAGAACAGAGGAGGGCAACCAGGATGGTGAAGGGCCCTAAATCATGCCACATAAGAATCAGCTAAAGGAAATGGGGATGTTTAGCATGAAGGAGAGGAGACTTGGGACTGTCCTCACCGCTATCTTCCAAAACTTGAAAAACCTGACATATTTAAAGGAGATGAGATTTGTTCTACTTGGCTCCAGAGGGCAGAACTAGGAAAAATGGGTAGAAATCACAAGGAGACAAATGTCGACTTGATGTTAGGGAAAACTTTCTAAAGATCAGAGCTATCTTCTGCTACAGACCTTCAATGAAAGACTGGATGATGATTGCTCATCTGCTATGTTGAGTTCTTGTAGAGATATGAGTTGAACTCAGTGGTCCTTTCCAACATCCAGAGAGGGGAAGTCACTTGCCTGTCACAAAGTACGTCAGTGCCAAGGTCAGCAACAGAAGTCAAGTTTCTATACCTTCAGTTCGGTGATCCTACTATTGTACATATTTGAATAGGTTCAAAGAGGTTATTCTCCAAAATTTATTAGACAGGGATGGGGATAAAGACTGGACCTATGATTTCATTAGTCCAGGGGACTTCAAGATGAAGTGATTCTTTCCCTCTACCAATGCAGGTACCTTTTCTGAAGTCTTAGAGAACTACGGAGAGCACTGAAAATTTAAGTCACTTACCTAGGGTCACATAGCCAGTATTTGCTTGAGACTTGAACTCAGGTCTTCCTAGCTTCAAGGCTGGCTCTCTATCCACTACGCTTTTCTGCCTCTGTTAGATGACAATTTTCTTCCAAAGCAGTATGAATCAAGGTAAGATACTAAGTCAGAAGATTGCCTGGACTATACTCAATTTTGACTCATGTTCCCAGTTATCCCTGCAACAAACAACTTATCTCTCTGCCCTGTGTGTAAAACTCAATATCAGATATCAAAATATCATGGCTGAGATGATGCCTTGAACTAGGGGAGCCCTGATTTGAGAAGCCATAGTCCTGTCCTCAGGAAGCTGCCAGTCTGAAGGAGAGGGAACTAAGGGTGCTGCTGCCCTCTGGAAGTTCCAATTCTGAGGGAAAGATATAGTTCCTGCCCTAAGGGAACCTCAAATCTGAGAGAGGAGTCAAAGTCCTAAACTCAGAGGAATCATGATCATACCTGAACCTTAGAAATTTAACTTTGTAGGGGAAGAAGTCACAATAAGAAATGGAAGTGATACAACAAGAGATTAATAAAAAAAGGAATTTTAAAAAGCTAGTCCTTTAAACTCAAGCAGCCTTGGGTATGCAAATGATTACAGTTGCATAACCTATTTTCAGAGATTAGTAACAGGATATTTTTATTTTCTTTCCTGAAAGATTTCCTAGGTTGCTCAGTAAAGCGTTTTCTGAAATAAAAAAAAAATAATTTGACGACTATGTGGAGGATGGATGAGAGAGGAGGGAGAAATTGGAAGTAAAATTAATTAGGAGGCTGTTGCAGTAATGTGGTAAGAGTCTGAATTATGATGCTACCTGAATAACTGGAGAAAGCAGGACAGATGTAAGACATGCCAGGGAGGTGGAACTAATAATATTTAGCAATAACTGGATATGGAGGGAGGAGGAAGGAACGGTTAAGGATAACTCCAAGGTTGTGAACTAGGGTGAAACGAAGGATTAAACCCAAAGAAACAGGAACAGGTTAGTCAGGGAAAGCTGTGGGTTTGGGGCAACAGATGAGTTCACATTTGGATACGATGAGTTCACGAGGCCTGTGGACTCTCCAGGTGAGTGTCCAGCTGACAGGTGACAACACAAGAATGAAATTCAGGGCAGAGAGCAGGGCTGGATGTAGAGATCTGCGAGTCACAGAATCATAGATTTAGAGCTGAAAGGGACTTCTGAGGTCATCTAGTCAAATCCTTTAACTTTACAGATGAGGAAACTGAGATTCAAGGAGGTCAAGAGGCTGATCCATGGGGAAGGTGAAATTTGAACTCATGTCCTTTGACCCTGAGCCAGTGCTCTTTCCATTGTACCATGGAGCCTCCAAAAATATTGTTTGCATTGGGTCCTTTGAGGTTCCATTCAAACCCAGGAGAAGTGACATCTACTTGGTGATGATGAGGAAGGAGAAATAGTTATGTTCAGGTATTTGAAAGGCTGTTAATATGGAGGACTGATCAGACTTTTACTGACTAGTGAGGGACTGAAGCAATGGATAGAAAGTGCAGAGGCAAACTGAGGCTTTCCATTAACTTCCTGACTATCAAAGCTGTCCAAAAAAAGTTATAGGCCACCTCTGGAGGTGGATAGCTTCCCTTCACCGGCCTTCAAGCAGAGGCTTGACAGTCACTGTCTTGCTTGTTGTAGAAGGGAATTCACGTTCAGGTACTTTAGGTGTTACATTAGGTGGCCTCTGGGTCTCTTCCAACTCTGAGACTGTGTGAACCCATGAGAGCTAATGAGGTCACAGGGAGAGAAGTGGAGGGCACTCACTGAAAAGGAGAGAGTACTTGCAAAGTGGAAGTCTTGTATGTGTTGCCTGTTATTATTAATAGCAGCTAGTATATACAGTCATTAAGGGCGGTGGAGCGACTTACAGATACTATCTCATTTGATCCTCACGACAATCCTGGGAAGTACGTATCACCCCCATTTTACAGTTGAGGAAACTGAGGCAGAGAGACTTTGGTGAAGTGACTCGTCCAGGGTTAAAAAGCTAGCGTCTGCGGCCGGATTCAAATCCAAGTTAGAGCTCTAACCACTGCGACTCAGGTCGCCTAAGCGTGATGGGGGCGAGGGTCTGGCAGCGCAGACACACCCACCCACCCACAAACCCACACCTACTAAGGGCCGACCCATGTCCTCACGCTGAGAGCAGACCACACTGGACCACACCAGACACACCACACCCACGCCCACACCCACACCCACACGGAGGGCAGACCTCCGTGACCCAGCCCCTAGGGGTCTCCTCACCCCGCTCTCCGCTCCCGGCTGCGCTCCCTGCTCCGTCGTCGCCGCCTCTTTCGCCCCTCGCTGTTCTCGCGTCGCCGCCGTCCATCGCGACTGCGGCTCCAGCTCCGGCTCCGGCTCCGGCTCCGGCTTCTGCTCCATCGCCGCCTCCGGCTTCTGGAGCCGGGGGAGCGCGAACGTGAACACGAACGAGACAGCGAGCGAGACTCCCGGCCCCGACCCATCCGCCAACCGGGATACAACCGCTAGCCCCGCGCGCCTCAGAGGAGGAAGGCCCCGGGCTGGGGAGGGCCTTCTGCTCTGCCGGCGCAGGGTGGGGCTGCTTTAGGCAGAGCCAGTTTGCTTAAAATAAACAAACAAACAAATGAATAAATACTACACCCCAAAGCTGCCTCCAAAAAAGCAGAACTACCCCTTCCCCTTTCTCCACCTCCAACTGGTCTCCATTTTTCCCTAGTAAGGGCAGGCGTGGCCCAGGCCGCCTTCTCTTTGTGGTCCACTTTCCTCAGGCATTCTTTAGAACAGCTCTAGCTCCGTGCTTCCTTTATGCCAGAGGCCCGGCGGAGCGGTCCATTGGAGGATGACAACACGGAAGTGACGTCACGAGAGGCGGGGTCCTGGGGAATAGCTTGGGTGACAGTTTCGCGCAGCCCTTGGTGGACGAGTTTCTCCGTCTCTTGCAGCTCTTAGCGTTTCCCGTGGGTTGTTACCTTTTTTCTCTGAAACAAACTTATATTTTCCTATAAAGCCATTTCTCCACGCTTCCCAATCAATCAACGAGCATTCATTAAGCGCCTACTGTGTGCCAGATTCTGTGTTAAGGGCTGGGGGTAGAAAGCAAAAACGGTCCAGTGCCTGCATTCATTCTCACACGGAAGACTGCGTGCGCATGTAAAGGTTTGTTCGCACGGTCTTCCAAGCAGAGAACTGGTGATGGGGGTGGGCGGGAGGGAGTATCATGTAGAAGGCGCGTTTGTGTTGAGTCTTGTAAGAAGACCAGGGATTTCGAGGGGTGGGGGTGGGGAGTGCATTCTAGGCAGAAGAGACAGTGCAAAAGCTCGGAGTGGGGAAATGCAGTATTGAGCACGTGGAGCAGCCTGAAGGCCGGTTCATTCCCATCATAGAGTGCGTGGAGGCTGGAACCGTAGGAAGGGGCCCTGCTGTGAACAACTTTGAATGTAAAACAGGGCTTTTTCTCCATTGGATTGTGAGTTCCTTGGAGGCAGGGACTGTTAGCTCCTTTCTTCGACTCTCCGGCGTTTAGGCACGTTGCTTTGGACGTATTATCTATCATTATTAGCTGTTATTATTCTTGACCTGATATTTTGTCCTGTGGGTAGTAGGAAGCCACTGGAGTTTGTTGGGGGGAGAGGATGAGAAGAGAGGGTAATACAGTCAGGCCTGCGGCTCATGAAAATGATTTTGGAGACTTTTGACTGGGAGGCCAATTTAGGAGGCTATTTTAATAGTCTGAGTTAGGAGTGATGAAGTGTAGAGGGCGTTCGTTTCCATCTAGTGACGCAGGTTTTCAGCCTGAGTCTTGTTCTCAGCTCTTCCTTTTTCCTCCACCCTCCATACCTAATCAATTGCCAAGGGGTATTGATTTTTCCACGGTCTCTCTTGGCATCCATTCCTTTCTCTCCAATCATATGGCCACCACTCTAGTTCTGGCCCTCATCTGTTCTCACCTGTACTACTTCAATAGTCTTCTTGCTTCCATCCCTCCCTTTTCTAATCCGTTTTCCACTTAGCCAGAATAGTCTTCCTAAAGCACAGGTCAGTTTCCTGTTAAAAAATCTTACTGGCTCTCTGTTCCTTCTAGGATAAAATACCAACATCTTCACTTTGGTACTTAAATCCCTCTGCTGTCCATTTCTAACCTGCTTTCTAGACCAGTTTCACATTACTCCCCTTCATGCATACATTCCCACCAAACTGTTTCCTAAACTTAGCATTGCCTCTCCCAACTTTGCATAGTCTGTTCTCTCAAGGCTGATGTTCACTCTTTGCTTTGTAGGGATTCTTAGCGTTCTACAGGAAGCCTTTTCAGATTCCCTATCTAGTGCCGTCCCTCTTTGGATCATTTGCATTTTTTCCTGTTTATATCTTGTATGTATATAGTTATTTGTATGTTGTCTTCCCCATTAAACTGAGCTTCTTGAGGGAAGGGACTGTCTTTTGCCTTTCTTTGTATCCCTAGCACAGTTCTTGACACACAGTAGTCACTTGATATATGTTTATTGACTGACTTAGTATCTTTTGAGGCTCAACTCAGGGTTCGCTTCACATGGGAAGCCTTTCCTAATCCCCCTGTAGTTAGCATTCTCTCCTAAGTGGGGCAATGGTTAAAACTGGGCCTAGAGTTTGGAAGGCCTGAATTTAAATCTGGCCTCAGCTATTTCTATCAGTATGACCCTGGGCATGTCATTTAACCTTTGTTTGTCTTAGTTTCCTCATCTGTAAAATAGTTGTACCCAGAGTTACTGTGAGAATCAAAAGAGATAACTGTAAAATGCTTAGCACAGTCCTTGGCACATAGTAGTCATTATATAAATGCCTATTCCCTCCTTTCCTCTCCCCTTTTCCCTCTAATTAATTTACCCTTATACATGTAAATGGGGCAGGTAGGTGTTGAAGTGAATAGAGAACCAGGTCTGGAGTCAAGAAGACTCATCTTCCTGAGTTCAAATCTGGTCTCAGACACTTACTAGCAGTGTGACCCTGGGCAAGTCACTTAATCCTGTTTGCCCCAGTTTCCTCATCTGTAAAATGAACTGGAGACGGAAATGACAAACCACTCCATTATTTTTGCCAAGAAAACCCCAAATAGGGTCATAAAGAGTCAGATGTTACTGAACAACAACTACATACATGTAAATATCGTAACCCTCTAGTAGAATATAAACGTCTCGAGGGCAGGAATTGTTTTTTCTTTTTTGTCTTTGTATCTTCAGGGCCTTGTCCAGTGCTTTGCATCTAGTATGTGTTTAATAAATGTTTAATAAATGCTTAATTAAATTAAGAAAGGAAAGACGTGGGCATGGTCTGCCTTTCATAAAACAACACTTTGGCTGTATCTGAAAACGTATGACTGCTTCATTCCACACCTATAGCCTACCACCTCCCAGCTTGGAGGCAGAGCAAGCTCTCTTTGCTGCCAGTCCTTTAAAGTTATTAGACGTTGCTCTGATGAGAGTTCTGATGTTTTCCCTTACATTATGGCAGGCACTGTCAAAATGGTTTTCCTGGTTCTTTTTTTTACTTTGCTCTGCATCCAGTTTCCCACATTCTCCAGAATTCCTTTTTAAAAATAAGCTTTTATTTATTTCTTCTGTTTTTACATCACTTACATTTTTTACTGTATACATCCATTCCTAGCCCCTTCCCAGAGAGCCATTTTTTATAACAAAGAATAGAAATGAAAGAAAAAAAGGTAAAAGTAATCAACATTGAAGAAATTTGATGTTATATGGAGTGATCCACACCCAAAATCCCTCACCCCTATAAGAGATCAAAGGGAGGCATCTTCTCATATCTCCTTTGGAGTCAGACTTGGTCACAATTAGGAGGTATTTTGATTGTTGGTTTTTCCTCCATTATGTTGTTGTCGTATTTATTGTTTTCTAGGTTCTACCTGCTTTACTTTGCATGGAATCATGTCTTTCCATGCTTCCCTGCATTCAGCATTTTCATTGCATGACATTTATATATCATAATTTCTTTATCCATTCCTCAATCATTTGTTTTGTTTCCTGCTCCTTGCTACCACAAAAACTGCTGCTAGAGATATTTTGGTTAATATGAAGTCTTTCTCCTTGAGATATATGCCTAGTAGTGAAACCTCTGGGTAAAAGGATATGGACATTTTAGTCACTCTTTGTGCAAATGGGGATGATAGCACCTACCCTTCAGGGTTGTTGTGAGGATAAAAAGATTTTACAATTCTTAAAATGCTACATTAGTTCTAGCTATATTATTATTATTCTAGATTGATTTCCAAAATGGTTGGACCAATTCACAGCTCCACCAACAATGCTATAGTATCACTATCTTTTCACAATCCCTCCAACATTGACTCTTCCTAATCATTGTCATCTTTTATTAATTTTCTGGATATGAAGTGAATCCTCAGGCTTGTTTTGATTTGTCTTTCTCTTATGATTTGGAATATTCTTTTCATATATTAATAGTTTGCAATTTTTTTGGAGAAATGGTTGTTCATATCTTTTGACCACTTCTCAGTTTTGTTCTTATGTATTTCTTTTAGTAGTCTATATATCTTGTATAAGTCCTTGAATTCTTCATATTTGTTGTTAGTGATTTTTCTAATATATTCCAAATTGTTTTCCTGAATCGTTGGATCAATTCACAGCTCTGTCAACAGTATATTAACGTGCCTTTTTTCCCATAGCCTTCCACTATTTACCATTTTTACCACTTGCCCCGACCTCAGTGATCTTCCCTTTGAAATAGTTAACCAAAACCAAGAGACATAACCACCGGACTATGCAGTGTTCCATATCCATAGGTTCATAGATTTAGAGCTGAAGGGAACCTTAAAGACCAGTTATTTCAACATCCTCCATCTTTGCCAATCAGATATATATGCAGTAATACCCCAGAGTTGTTTTATTGTGCATTTCTTTCATTAGTAATGTTATTTGATTTGGAGCATTTTTTTCATGTGGTTATATCATATTTCTTCCTTTGAAAACTGCCTGCTACATCCTTTGAACATTTCCTGTACAAATTGGGGAATGCATTTCTTCTTACATCTTTCCAGTTTCATTACACGTTACTCACCCCCCTCTACTCTGAAGTCCAGCCGAACCTGCTTTCTTCCTGTTCCTCACATATGACACCGTTTCCCCACTCTCTGCCTTTGTCTCCCATGCCTAGAATGCACATCCTCCTTACTTCTGACCCAGAGACCATTTTCTGCACGAAGCTTTTCTGATCCCTTCAACTGTTAAGTATTCTCCTCCCTCAAACTACCTTGGATTTAACTACTTTGTATATATTTGTATTTATTCACTTCATATTAATGTTGTATATATGGGTTGCTAAGTGGCCCAGTGGATAGAGTGCCATGCCAAGAAAACCCCAAAGAGGGTCATGAAGAGTCAGATAGGACTGAAAAATGACTAAAAATCTATTTAACATATGTCCTTAGTAAGCACCTTGTGTGTAGGGATTTTTTTTCCTCTTTGTACCTCCAGCACCTGGCATATTGTATATGCTTAATAAATACCTGTTGATTGATTATGTTTGGATCAATTTCCTATAAATCTCCTTTAAGATTTCTCCTTCCCCATGCCCCCAGTCAGTAACATCCCTACCTAGCTGCCCCACCAGTCTATGTTTTAAGGTCTTTTCCAGCCTTTAGTCTTTGCTCTATATGCCAGGGGCCCTTCTAGCTCTGATATTTGATGGCTTCTTAGAGTGTAGTGAACAATTTTGACCCACAGAACAAGTGGCACCCACTACCAGTGCCTTCTGATGAGGCCTATTCAGTCAGGGAGAGTGATAGGAGGGACACCAGAATACCAGGCCCCTGAGGGGGAAGGGTTGGTCCTGGAGGGAACAGTGTGGGGCCAGGCCAGGGAAGGTTTTACAGGGCAAGGTCACTGAAGGACAAAGCTGCCATCTGGTGGCTTCTTCATTTTACTATTTAATTTGTTGAAGTTTTGTTGATGCCTACTGTTGTTAAATCATCATAGTCATTTCCCAAGATACCCCTCTCCTTCCTATCCTCAAACCTAGTGAGCCTTCCTAACAGAAAAAATGTGTTAACTCAAATTAAGCAACACAGTGAACGGATTATGCAATATTCTATACTTGTAAGATCATAGATTTGGATCTGGAAGTGAGGTGAGGCCAGTTAGTCCAAACCACTTTTACAGATGAGCAAACTGAGGTCCAGAGAGGTTATGTGACTTGCCCAAACAGATGTAGTCCCCGGTAGCTTTGTTAGTTAGGTGCTGTGTTGCCCGGGCCTCATCCCCCTAACTCTAGTTATGGCTCGGATGGCTATGCTTTCCTCCCAAACTACCGGCTTTGGTCAGACTTAATTCTGTGGCTGCTGTCTGTCTCTAGCACCCTGGGGACACTGTGTTCTAGAAAGGAGTACTCGGGGGATAGATAGACTTTTCAGGCTTTGATGTAGCTACAAGGTCACTGAGCTCATCAAGAATGGTACAGTGGATACAGGGCCCAGATGGGGAACAAAATTGGTGGAGGGTGTTAGAGGCAGAGAACACAGGCCTGTTGCCTAGATGGTTTTAAAATACAATTCCTGAAAGTGCTCTGAATAAGGTGATTACTGTCAGGGGGATTAGTTTACGGTGTTTTCATCCCTTCATCGGACTAATGTCCAAGAGGAGGCCAAGAGACTATGTCTTTTCTGAACTGTCTTCTCTAGCATCTTGTACTATGCGCTGTACATAGTAGGTACTTTAGAGAACCGGCTTTTTGCTGAATTTGAACATTGCTAATAAAAATCTCTCTTAACCCACCACCTTGCCTCCAATTCTTTCCCTTTCAGTCTCTCTCGGATAGTAAGCTGGCTAGGGTCATCTCTCCCCACAGACGTCAGTGGCTCTCACTGTTACAGGTTTCTTTTCCTGTGGCCTCCTGCTAAAAGCCTGTTCTCTCTCCTCATTCCTTTCTTACCTTCATTTTCCTGTTTCCCTGCAAGTTTCCTCAGCTGCAGGACTTAATTCTCAAATTCTAAATACACTAGATGCACTCCTGCCTCTGCTGAAGCCCTTTCTTCCTCTAAGCCCCACAGTTCCAAAGCAATCCAGGCCATAAGAGCCACTTCCTTCCCTCCTTTAAGATTCCAGAGCTCCTTATTTCTGTCGCACTCATATGGTGCTCCCTTATATTGTCGTGGATTGTGGTCACATCTCTTTTCATGTGTATATATTCTGTCCCCTAAGCTAGATGAGGAGTCCCTCAGATCAGGGACTATGTCTCATTCATTTTTGTAGCCCCTCCTGCTACAGGCACAGGTCGTAAAAAATCAAATTATAGATTAGTAAAGTGTAGTGCAGTGGTTAAGGGTCCTGTGCTATAAGTTGTTAGAGGCATCAAGGCAGTGCAGTGAATGGTGTTGGGCCTGGAGTCAGGAAGCCCCCGAGTTCAAATCTAACCTTAGATACTGTGCAACTCCAAAATCTCTTAACCTCTGCCTCAGTTACCTCAACTGTAGAGTGGGAATAATAGCACCTACCTCCCTGGATTATGAGGATCGAATGAGGTATTTATAAAGCACTTAGCTTAGTGCCTGGCTGTTCTATAAATGCTTATTCCCCCCCTCCTTCTCCCCTCATCATCCTCATCTTAAACTGGGCATGATAACCACTTTATAAATATGGGGGGGGGGGGACTGGTGTTGTGAGGGTCAAATGTGGTAGCAAGTGCTTATATTCAGACTTAAAATGTTTTCAAAGAGCTTTTTGTATATTCTGCCCTGTAAGGTAGATAGGATATCATCTATCACTCCCATTTTAAAGATGAGTGGAGGGGTTAGGTGAATTGCCAAGATCACAAGGCAAGTACATAGCAGAGACAGGTCTTGAACTCAGGCCTGCTACATTCAGTACTAGTTCCTTCATGATCTCTCACAAACTCAGCAAGGCTCTTAAGAAGTCTCTCCCCCGGCCTCCCCTCTATTTCTCCATTGGTAAGATGAGTTATCCCTAAGCTTCTAAAGCTCCTTCCAGTTTTATGTGCTTGGTTTGAAGGCCCCCTTCAGCTCTCCCATTGTAGGCTCTAAAGTCTCTTTCATCCCAGATATTCTCTGACTCTGAAAGTGCTTTCAAATAGTCAAACAAAGGAGGTGTGATGTTTCCAACAGCACAGCACATCAAGAAAGCTTATCCTAGGAATTTAAGACACACATATGGGGCAGAGACCAATGCTTTGTCACCTTATTTATTAGAGATCATCTTTTCAAAGTAAAAAGAGGTGGGGAAAGATCAGGACAGGGGATTTGCATACAAGTGTTATTCTGTGTCAGCAGTGGTGGCAAGGGTCTACAGAAGAATTCACGGTTCTGGGTTCGAGAGACAGCGTGAAAGAGGAGGCCACGCCTCGATTGTCAAATACCAGACAAAATGGGGATTGAGTACATGGGAACCCTCTTTGAGGATTAAGACACACAAGGTTTTTTTGTTTGTTTAAATCAGTTACGCTGTGAGACTGGATCAGTCAAACATCAATGCAATTTTGCCACCAGAAGAAGGCCAACAAGGAGCTACTGTAGAGAGAACAAACAGGAGTAACCCAGGGGTGAGCAGGACACAAGCTGCACGTCTGCAGTGACAAACATTAGAGTGGAAGAGGCTCCATCAGTGACCACGTGTATTGCATTAGCTAAAGTTGGGTTGTTCAGGTTCAGGATGGTTTTGAGGAGAAGGATTTCGGCCTAAATGATATCAGAGAAATGCCTTTTGTACAGTACAAGAATTCAGACACCATCCACTTTCTTAGCAATAGCAGCCACTGGAGACAAGACAGGTGAGGAGAGGATGCATGTCATTCAGGAGACTATGTACAGATTTTACACTCAAGGGAGAACCAATCAGGGTTCCAGGAGTCATTCTCATCGGGGTAAGGCAATTCACTAGACATTATAAATAGGTCTTTCCTTTTCTCCCTCTCCTCAATGCAGACTAAAGTTAATGCCGCCAACTGAGAAAAGAACAATTAGCATCAATTTACAGCTCCCTGGGGACAAAGGGTTTCAAAAAAGGGCCTTCATGTCTTAAAGCAAAAATAGAAACATGACTATCAACAGAAGTTTGGATTTTTCTATCCCTTCCCCCCTCCCCCCATATATGATAAACTACATACCTACTTACATACATTTGTAACATGATACTCATACAGAGTAAGACTCAAGAAATGACATGGACTGCAGGTATTTTTATTCTTGTGTCAACTGGAGACTTCCAGAATCAGAAGCAACCTTGGTAGGCCTGAGTTAAGGGTTTTGCCTTTCCGAGGAAGGAGGACAAGACCACAGGAAATCTAAAGACAAGTGGGGACAAACCAGCTATTCCGAGTCCTTGGAGAGGGTCCCAGGATGATAAACTGTGCCCTTGGTCCGTTATCATTCCCTCTCCTCCCCTGCCCCAAGAACTCTTGTATTCTCCCTCTTGGTTAGCCCAACAGTGCAGAGTGCAGGCGATAGGCAACAAATTATTTCAGTGTGTCAGGGGTGGGGGAATGGGGGAGACCGGGGAAAACTAGGGCCACTCTGAGTTGTGACACTTGACTCAATCAGGATTCATCACTTGCTTGTGAATGATTCCATTCTATGGGAAAAATGATTAACGTGGGGGGAGGGGTGTTCAACTCCTGAGATGTTTAGAGGCTCCACTTGGGGCTACTCTTTGGAGAATACTGCTTTAGTGGTTTATTGACCTAAAATGGTAGCCCATCGATAGGAGGTCTGGCCCAGGTAGCATCTCGGGCCTTCTGACACCTCCTTGTGTTTGCTGGATGGGACACTGGTCAGAAGGAACCATTGCACTGTATCATGATGATAAAGGCCGTTTGTGGGGATTCCATAATGGAATCAATAAACATTTCTGTTCAATCCCTGGCAGATGCAGTGCTCTTTCTGGGGTGCACAAAAAGACCCTTGTAGGATATGTTAAACTGGGGTACAGCATTCATATTTATGCTGGTCCAAGTGCACAGCTCCTCAGAGTCTCAGGGGGCTTGAATCCAACATGCACCATTTGAAGTACAAGATGCCCAACAACCCCATTACCTCCAAGTGGGCCAAGGCCCACTATTCCTTTTGCCAGAAAGCAGGATGGGAGACCTTTTCCTTCCTGAATGCAGATTAGAGAGTAGTAGATACAAATCAGCTACCTTCTCCACCCCACCCCACATCACCAAGGTCTCCTTTGGTGGAGAGGGATGAAAAATAAGCTTATGTATGTGCAGTATTCAACTCAACAGAACTCAAAATAAGCTTCCAGCCACAAAATGAGGTCAGTTGGTTTTTCTTGTAACAGAGGTAACTGTGCAAATAGTATAGAGGGTCCGACAGAGGTGACCCAAGAGCAGGACTTTCGGCTGACCTGAAACCCAGAGATACAAGGCTGTTCAATATCCCACAACTTACAGAGACTACTCCCTCACTCTTTCAGCAGAAATTTTCAAAGGCCTAAATTGAGTGTTTGTTACTACTGTACTTCAATATAAATTCCTATCTATTCCCTCCCAGTTCTGATTTCTTGCCCTTCCACTAACTACTACTGGAACATTCCATGATGGTATGATGAATGGAAACTAGGAGGCCCTGACTTTGAAGCACAGGTCCCTTACCTTGTAACTCATGGCAAAGCCTAATATCCCAATGGGGCTTCCCTGAACATGACTTAAGATCACAATTTTTTGGGATAATGTAAAAGTTGGGAATTGGTGGAACGGGAATGGGGATTTACATTTAAATCCACCTCCAAAAGAGGCTGTGGCAAGGATTTAGATTTGAGTCCTCTTGTTGGGTAGGGTGTGTATGGTGAGTAGTGATGGGACCAGATTTTAATGATACTCTGGGTGTCTGGGGCATCGTGCAGAGAGTAATAGGTCTGGGGGAAAGGGAACTACATTCTTCAGACACTACAAAGTGGCAGAAAGAAAATAACAGGGAAGGAGGTGCCTTACAACTTTTACAAGCCACTACATCTGGCTTTGCAAATTCTGACAGGGTTAAGAAAACAACAACAAAAACCTCCTCAAAAGAGACCAGGAAAAGGGTAACTGCACGGATTCCCCCAGCCTCCCTCCCTGGCCACCCTATCTCCAGCCTGAATAAGTGCATTCCCCAAACCTTCCTGTCTTTTGGGCTAACTTCTACAAGATACTTCTAATTAGTGCAATCAAATAGTGCAGTGTAGGTGACAGGAAGCTAATGGAAGATTAAAAACCTCATAAATACATACACAAAATACTACTTAATAGGTGGAGAGGGGAGTTGGGACTTGGTAAAGGGGATTTATCAAATCAGCTTCTTTTCAACTTGGAAAGACTAGTATGGAATGTCATGCTTCTAACTTAACTCTAATGTAGGATCTGGGGGAAAATGTTCTAATTAATTGCTGCACTATTAGATTTGTTTCCTTATTTGTGGCTGTTAGTGCCCCCTCTTCATTCACTCTTCCTTTCCCAAAGAATGGTCTCACTTTCTTTAATCTACACAGTAATAGTTTTTTTTTTTTTTACCCCTACCATCAAAAATAACAAAACCACTCATTAACACCGTTACTTTTAAGTGTTGTTTCTGTAGACAAAGAATCTCACAGCAGGGAAGAGCCTAATCTCCTAATCTCCTAGATCAATAAATGGACCCTTTGCTTCCCTCCCTGCCAGGGCCTAGTCGGGGTGGGGTAGGTAATCACATAGGTTAGTCATGACAACTTGCATATGCTCTGGGTAAAGCTTTTGAGGTCTGCCCTTAACAAATGATGTCAATCAATTTGCCTGCCAGAGACATACATGCAACTGGATGGAAAGGTGGTGGAGTAAGAAGGGTTCTTGGGGTTGTGTCTCTGGAAGTTCCTGAATAGTAAAGAGGATTAATGCCCTGCTTGTTGCTGACCTAAACTGCTATTTCAACAAATATGCCTTGCTTTAATTACAAACTGCCCTATCAAGTCTCTTGTGCACAATGGCCTGATTTTCTTGCTACTGCCCACCCCTTTCCCTTCCGGAGTGGCTTAAATTTTGTTGAAGCCACTGCTTTAACATCTAGTGGAAAAATTTCCCAACACTGCCTTTGTCTCTTCTGGAATCCAAATAATTTGTCATATTTATATTAAGAAGTCCATAATTCTTAGCTGTGAGTAAAAGGAATAGGCTCCATACCTCTCAGAGGAGTAGCCACTTTGGGCCATAAAGAGGTGAGGGAGACATAAGGACTCTCTGAGCCCTTGGTCAGTCCCCTAGGGAATGCCACACCTCAGGAGCACCAGGTAGAACACATCAATATTTCAAAAGCAGCACTTTCAAAACTCGTGATCTTTGAGCCAGTAAGTGATGTCAAAATGTTTCCCTTCTGGCCAGTGGAACCAAATCTGCAGGAAGAGAAAGGGGGTATAAATCCATTTCCAAATCCAAAGGCAGAGCTCTTAAACTTGCCACACCCCATGGCTACCAAGAGCTTCTACCAAAGCTGAGTCCTTACCTTCAGATCAAGGCATCTATCTCGTGTCGGGCTCCCACTTCTATAAAGCAGGGGAACACACTGTCATTCTGGATGAGAACATGATGCCAAAGGCTCTTTTGCAACAACATAGACAGTGCTTTCTCCATCTTCCCCATGCTACTTCTAGACAAGACTGGGAGCCAGCAGGGCCTTCAAAAAGTGAGACTCTGTCCAAAGGATGTGAATGGAAGTTGTTGGTTGACTTGCTGACAGGTAGTCACCTGATTGTTTTGTGCACATGTTCAGAGAGGATGAGTCTCTCCTCTCTCCATGTGGAATCGAGGGAGGGGGGAGGGGGGTTGGTGTGACATCCAGACTCAATTCCCAAAGACTGGGTAGCAACTATTTGCACACCTGCCCCAGGGCACATCAGAGAAATGAGGGGGGATTCCTTTTTCAGGATGCCTGTTAGAAGGCCCATGCCATGCAGAGGGTGACTCACTGAGCTCCAACAGGGGGCTAAGCAATCCATACAAAGATAGGGACAGCAATGTCTTGACACACAGAGCATTCTCAGAATGCTGAGGAAGATGAAGAAGGGGATGTGATGCCGTATAAATGAGGAAAAGACAGTAATAATTCCTTCCCTCTTTCCTGTGCCAATGACCCGACTCACTTTACAGGTCACCAGCAATTCGGCAGTCCAGAGGTTTGGAGCACAGATTTCAGACGGAGGTGCCACATAGAGGAACCTGTCTTTCCTCTGACCAAACACACTGAAACCCATACCCAGCCCACCCACAAAGCCAAGGTGAATTGCCCTCTCAAGAACTCCAGTGAGGTTTCACGTGATCTCATGATATACATGTAGTACAGAGAGGAACTGAAAGTGCAATTAATCAGATAAAAAAAAGCACATTTGTGCTGCTGTGTCTGTGTGCAAAGATTCAAGACCCAAAATAAATACATGATTTAAAAATTAAAAAGGTTCACAGTATCACACACTCATAGGTAGTTTACAGGAGTGCCCAGGGGGAAAACTGCCTTCACTTCGATTTCACCCCACTGATTTCTTCTCTTCTGGGCATTCTGGGCTAGGGAGTTGAGTCTTTTCAGTCACTGCCTTTGGTCCCAGGATGGTCACGGTTGAATTGGTCAGTGGGAAGAAAGGACAAAGACGGGAGGCTCAGGCAGGGTTCCAGTGGGATGTGAGTTGGCGGAGAAGGTCCTGTGCTGCAGCGAGTCGGCAAACTCCCTCACGGCCAGCCCAGATGGGCAGGATATTAACACAAGGGTAACACGGCAACCTGGAGAGGGGACCAGGCTTGGCTTCAGGCTTCATGTCTGCATAGAAATTACTGCAGAGAGGCAAAGGGAAAAAATGTGAAGGAGCTGAAGAGGGAAACAAAGGCTCCTTCCCACATGTTTCTAACCCACTGGGAGAGCTATGGATGGAACAAATCCATAGTTTCATGGCCTCCCTCTCCCCAAGAAATGTGGGAATGACGTTGGTCTAAGCCTGGCTTCGAACTGCCCAGGAAACACTTGGGGTCAGCTGCACTGGGAGATGGCCAAAGGTCTCCACCCACAAAGAGCACACGGTCAGTGGCGGAAAGAGGCCAGGAACCAGGATGCAGGCCAGACAGCCTCCAATTCCCTGCTAACCCACCAGGGCACTTTTATGGTACACTTACTGTATCGCTCTCATCATCAGAGACTGAGTGGACTTTCGTGCTATAGTGGAGTGGGGAGTAAACCCAGCTCCTCTCATCGGTGGGCTGCCAGAGACGGCGGGGGAGATGCAAGAGGAGCAGCAGCAGAGCAGGGAGCAAGGGAGAGAAAAAAGGAGAAAAGAAAAAAAGGAGAAAATAAAAGAGTAGGAAACTCGAGAGTAAGAACAAGTATACCGGAAGGCAAGAACAGCTTTCTCTGAAGAGTTTGCATTCTTGGGACCTTTCTCACCATATTAATAGGTATGGCCCCTTTCCAGAGGACGGCGCTGATACATACCTGAGTCCCTATACCTGGAACCATTCTAGAGTAAGCTTAGCCTGGAACCGAATGGGCCAAGGAAAGGCAGGGCTGACTGCTTGAGAAGTTACTGTCTATTTAAATGACTCGGTACCTTTAATGCTGTGGAAATGGATAGTGCTAGGATATCAAGTGAATTCCCTGATAATGCCAGGCTAACGAGGGTGGCGTGGGGGTGAGGAAGGGGGTGGAAATTGTCTAGAGCAGTGGAGGGAGGCACAGATTAGCAGGGTAGATTGGGTTAATTTGGGGAGTATGCAAAGGAAGCAGTTAGTTAACTCAACGCATTGGACAGCAGGCGGACAGAGACTAGAGACAAAAAGGAAGGTAACAGAGAACTTTTTTTTTAATTTTAAAGAGCCCTCCTCAGAGTGCCCAACTGTACCTGTAGTGACACCAGGCTACAGACCTGGGATTTCTCTTCTACTTCTTAATCAGGAGGTAATAACTTGTGTTTAATTAAGAGGTGACATCAGGCCCAACAAGCTATTGATTCTGCTGCAACTGCTTTCCTGGGGAACTGGGAGGGAGGTCCTGTTAATTGAAGCTTGAAGTCAAAAGGAAAGCTAGTGTTCTGGCACTGCCTTAGAAACTTAGGTTGTCCAGCATGAGGTAAAGAGGGGCGGACTGTGGCTGTTCTGGCCTGGCTAGTAATACTGAGCCAGAGAGATCCCTCCGGGTAGCTAATAACACAGGTTAAAACCGACATGAACAAAACAGTTCGAAGGGAATCCCTGTCAGTCTGTCGATCTCAGCCTTGCCCACCAATCCTGCCTTGGAAACAGGGAAACTGGGCTTCCAATGGGAATGCTGTAATCCCTCTCTCCTCACCTGAGCCACACCTAGACAGAATGAGGAAAGGTCAAGTTTCAGGTGACCTCTCTACCCCATGTAAATACCAAGTTCTCTTCCTCCCCATGTCCTCCAGCCATATCCCAGCCTTTGGTCCAGCAACACTTAAGAGTTTCCTTACACATGATGACAGAGATAGGATGAGAGAAGCGGCTGTCACCCCACAGCTTTGGAGCAGGCCTAGTAAAGAAAAGTCCCAGGTCGGAATGGGCCTGGTCATGAGAGCCGAGCCTGAGCAGAAGAGAAGCACTGCTTTTCCCCGTGGTGCTCGGATTCAGCTTCGGTGTGGTGGGAAGGGTAGGCACTGAACACGGAGTCAAGAGACACCTGGATTTGCATCCTACCTTCAACATTAGTTGTTGGAGCATGAACAAGCCAGCTGACCTCTCTGAACCTGTTTCTTCCTCTGTAAATGGGGACAATATTAACTGAGGTACATACCTCACAGGGTTGTGGTGAGCTTTAAATGAGATAATATAAAAAAGTTCTTTTCAAACTCTAAAGTGCTATGTAAATGGTGACTGTTGGTATTTTGAAAGTGGTTCAGGTCCCTGTATTCTCCAATTTCATGGACTGGATTGTTGATACTGCTTTTTAAAACCTACACAACCCCCTCGAGATCTCGGATTCTAGCATCCCTCCCTATACTTCACGTAAGAGCCAGATCAGGGTGCAAGGAATCCTCTCTCAGATACTGAAAGACTAGCTAAGTGCTAATGACCCTTCTGACCTAAGGGTGCAAAGCTTCCAGCTCTCCATTCTTTAGCTCTTTAGTAAGCCAACTGGGGAAGGGGAAGATACTCATTTCATTAAAATCAGGATCAAGTTAAAAATCTTTCTATTCTTCCACAGGCTAGTTTAGAATTACATACTTTCCATGCTTAATCTTTGACCTTCTTTGAATCCTCTACTTCAGCCAAAATGACCTAACTTATCTTGACTTTGGTTGCTGCCTTCCCAGTTCTGTATTTTTGCTCCTGCTGCTATGCCTACCACTGTGATATACAGCATTATGGAAAAATACTGAACTTAGAAAATCTGGCTATGAGCTCTGGCTCTGCCACTTACCCATTGTGTGACTTTGGGCAAGTCACTGAAACTCGCTGGGCCTCAGTTTCCTCACCTGTAAAATGAGGGGACTGGACTAGGTGATCTCTAATGTTGCTTTCCCAGCTCTGACAGTCTGGAAACCTATCCAAATCCTGCACATCCTTCAAGAACCAGCCCCCAGGGACCTCCTCCAGGACACCTTCTCTGACCAACTCCAACTCACACCAATCTCTCCTTTGTTTCTGTCTTTTCCATTCACTTGGCAATTAATCCAATGTGCTTATTTCTTGGGCTCTTGGATTAGCTACTTTTTTGGGTACTGCTAGTTCAGTTTTTGTTTACACATATTTTCTCTCCCACTAGATTGTAAAGAAAATGGGGGCAGGGAGCAGCTGACCCTTTCAGAGGGCCTTGCACACCGTTGATGTCAGTAAATAGTTGCTGACTTGATTAAAAAGACACACAGAACTATGAGCTGATTAGATAAACAGTAAACCTCTAGACTAGCAGCTCCTCTTCGCATGTCCTGTTGCAAATTTACTGACTTGGATCAAGAAGCATATCCTCCTCAGGTTCTAAATTGATCCTCTAAAAGAAGAGAAGAAGTGTGGTCTAAGTGGAAAAAGTAATTTACCTGGGAGTCTTAAAACATGTGTTCTGACTAGTCCAGGCTCCATCATGGACTTGGGTAACTTGGAAGAGCCTAGGCTTCAGTTTCTTTACGTGAAAAAATGAGGTTACTGAAACCTGCTCCCACCTAGTTTACACATGTGTTGTGGTGAAAGATGTGAAGTACTTTTGAGGAAAAAATACTACCAAAAAGGTTACTTTTTTAGTGATTTTTTTTGGGGGGGAATAGAAAGCTCATTTTATCATTCAGAAATGATAAAATTAATCTCTTAATTATATGTATTCTGCCTTTCAAAACAGGCAAGGTGCTATTTTCTAGGTAACCCATTTCCCCTCTAGCGGTGGGGGTGAGGAGGGGGTAATCAGTCTGCAGTTCATTTAGCACTGCTTGGAGAAGAGGGGGCATTGGTGTCAAAAGGTGTCAAAAGTACCAAATGGTTAAAATGGAAGCTGGCTGAGGTGGGGTCAGCTCGATCTGGTGTGTCCAAGCTAAGGCTGGGTTCACTTACAGTCCTGGAGGGGGACAGCACGATGGCCCGGAGTCGGCGATGGCGGGGAGAGTAAATCCAGTACCTCCCATCCGTGAACTGGATGGCGGCAGGGCAAAGGAGGGGAGGAAGGAAACAGAGGAGAAAGGATGGAGTGAAAATAAATTAATTACTCAAGGAAGTGAAAAGCAGCTGAAAGGTAGGCTAGGAGGGTGGAGGTCCCAAGGGACTAGCTGGTTGACAGAGCCAATGATGGAAACAGCAGAGTCCTGAGCTCAGCCTTTTCCCCACTTGGCTAGAAGAAAGTACCTGTGCCCTGCCCATCCTCGGATACACTGACTTCATAGCGAAAATCTTGAGGCTCCATTTTCTCCCAGGCCTTCTCTATGGGGCTCTCTGTTAACCAGCTTCTCTGCTTGGCAAACAAGCACCTTTTGCTACCTACCTACCTACCTACCTTTTAAAGGCTATTTTGAGGAAAGTTCTTTGTAAACTGAAAAATGCTAAAGAAATACCAACTGTTTTTATTATTACTCTGCTAGGAAGTTCTTGTCTTCCAAGTCACCCCTGCTGCCCCAATCCGGCTGTAAACACACACACACACACACACACACACACACACACACACACACGATGGTATAACATCAAACACAAGACCATTGCTCACAAGGTAAAAGAATCACAGAGGATGAGGATGAGAACTTAGTAGAGTGGAATGAATACTGAGTTAAAGAGCGTCATTCTTTGCTTCTCAGGGTGGGGGTGGAGGAGCAGCTCTTCAGAGAAAGTCATGTGGGAGCTACCAGGAGGCTCGTTCTAGCCAGGAGAGGAGAACCAGGCAACTTAAAAAGTGTGGTCAGCTGCCCCTGCCCCTCCCCAGCTCCCAGAGAAAGGAAGAACATGGGGAAGCATTAGGAAGAAGCAGCAGGAGGGGTATACACAGAAGCAAAGCTTCAGAGACTAGGCCACTTTCCTCTCCAGTGGACAGGCACTCCTCAGCAACAGACGAGCCACACGTGGACGAGAGGAAGAGGTGTGCCCAAAAGGACAAGCAGAATATGGGGAGGCCTCTGGCTGCTGGAGACCAAGGGCTCTCCTGGTGGTGAAGGAGACTCTGATCTTGGCCATCGAGGCATGAGCCCAGTATGCTGGGCCCACGTAGGAATGTAGAGATGAGTATGGAAAACTCCAGACGGGCCGGGATGACAGGGGGCAGCTTCGGATGGATGGTCTTTTTTTTTTTTTTTTTTTTTAAATCCTGTTCCAGCCCAGGGCTGGATTCTCAAGAGCAGGTCCCATTCCCTTGGACACCCCCAACCCTCCCAAAATTCTCAGCAAGGTATTCGGCAGCTGTGAGGAATTGCCCAAGGGAAACTAGCCCTGGGGTACCCCATTCCTCTCCTGCCACCCAGAGACCACCTCACCTACTCCCTTGGTCTCAGAACTAGGCTTCCTCGGTATCGTCTAATGCATCTGCCTGCAGGGAAAGGGAACAGAATTGGTCAAGGGCCTTGCTGGGAATCAGTGCACCATGCCACAGCCTAAGACGTCCTGAAGGTAACGAACTGGGGCTGATTTTCAACATAATATGACTGACAGCTCAAGATCTTTTAGTTGAAGCACATTACTCCCTCCCCACAGTCCCTCCCATTTTCTCCTGGACCTTCCCCCACCCCAATCCCATGCCTACCCCATTTTACCCAACTAGGTTCAGGCGCATTCACTTTTTCCCAAGGAACAGGCTGAGCTGGTCAATTAGCAGTCTCACAAACTGCTTTACGATATCTGCAGGCTCATAGAAATGTACATAGGTCCCCAAACCACTAGAGTTGAGTGGCCCAGAGTACCTGATGTTTCATGTTTGTCACCCTATTTATTTACCCAAGAAGAATGAGCAATGGTCATTCAGTGCTGTATGCCTTCTTTTCAGAAGGACATGGTAGCACGGATCTGCTCAGCTCTGTCCTGAGTCCTCAACCATGCCCCAATGTCCCACCCATCAGAGAGCTTTGCCTCAGTGGGAACCAATATGGACAAACACTTTAGTGTCTGGGGCAAGCGGGCCCTTTTTCATTGACAAGGCACCAGGCTGCATTGTTTGAACTTTTAATATAGCACAAGGCTCTCTTCATATGCCCATGTCTTCAGAAGTATTATGTGATAATCAATATGTGGTGGGGAAGGGCTAAGCTTTTGGTCTTGGAGAGGACTCCTCTGGGGCAGTTCCCATTTAGGAGATACTTCCTTTTGCTATGGGATTTTAAACTGGTGGTGTTTATGGGAGGAGACAGATACCCAGGGACTTTAAAACTGCCTTCTTAAGCCACCCTTCCTGACCATGGGAGGAGGGCAGAGGAGTAAACAAACTTGGCCCCTTGAGGGTGACACAGGAGAGACTTACAAAGTAGATGTCTGTGACAGGTGCCTCGTCTTCATCTGAGGCCTGGCTGGCTGGCTCTGAGGCCTGGCTGGTGGTTTCCACTTCCACGGTGGCCGGGGGTGTGACCATAATGCTGGCAGAAGAAGCCTCTTCCCTGTATACAGGGGGTGGGAAATATGACTGGCAGAGCAGGGGATGGGCAGGGAAGGGAGGCACTGCTTAGGTGAGGGAAAATGAGCTGACCCAAGAACATTGGCCTGAAAAAGAGCATGGGAGGCCGTCTCCCTGCACTTTCAACTTCGCTCCTTTTGTTCCCCATCTCTGCTCCCCCATCCTTTATGAGAGTCCCACCTCATGCACAAACTTATCATCAAGCTCTCTTTCTTTGGTAACCTATTGCCTAGCGTCAAGCATACTCGAGGGGCTCAGGAGTCGCAGAGAAGGAGAGTAGGAGGGACTGGGAATCAGAATACTTGGGTTTCAAGTCCTAGTTCTGTCTCTTACTAAACTGTGTGTCTTTGAATTCACTGCCCTTCCGGGCCTCAGTTTTCTCCTCTGTAAAATGGGAATAATAATACATATCTCCAAAGGCTTATTATGAGGCACAAATGGGAATGTGTGTAGTATTGGAATGTGTAAGATGTACTTGAGTTATTATTAACAACATATCATTGTTGATTAATTGGTTCTTCAGCCAAAATTTGTTTTACCTTTTCATCATGCAGTAAGTGGCATAAAATTTTGCTAACCAAAACTTTTAAGAAAAAAAAAAAGCACCCTATAAATGGACAAAAGAGGGCATTAGGTTAAAGCAGAGGTTCTCAAACTTTTTGATCTCAGGACTCCTTTATACTCTTAAAAATTATTAAGGACCCTACAGAGCTTTCATTTAAGTGGGTTATATGTATTGTTATTTACCGTTAGAAATTAAAATGGATAAATTTTAAAAAATATTTATTAACTCACCTAAAACAAAAACAATTAACCTATTATTTGTTTACATAAATAACATTTTTATGAAATAACTGTATTTTCCAAAAAAAGCCTAGTGAGAAGACTGTCATGGTTTTATACATTCTTTACAAAAGTCTTTAATGTCTGGCTTAATAGTAGACAGGTGGATTCTCATATCTGCTTCTGCATTCAATCTGTTGTTGTGGGTATAGCTCTGGTTGAAGTGTATGAAGGAAGTGTGGCTTCATATAGACAAATAGGCAAATAATGTCTTAATGTAATTATGAAAATAGTTTTGACCTTGTGGACTTCCTGAGTCTCAGAGACCCCCAGGGATCTACAAACCATACTATGAGAACCATTCTAGTAAAGGTTGCCAATGAATAGTAATAATAACTCACATTCATGTAGTGTTTTACGGTTTACAAAGTACTTTTCTCACAATAGACCTATGAGATAGGTGGGGTGAATATTTTACAGATATGAAAATAGATGCCCCAAGAGATGAACTGACACACCCATGATCACATATGGTTGGTAATCAAGCTTAGAGTTGGTCTTCTTATATAAAATCTGGCTCGTTCCACTATAATATGCAGGCTTTTTCCTGATAGAATGCCTAAGTGTGAATAGAGTTAGGGCAGCTAGGTGGCACAGTAGATAAGAGTGCCATGCCTGGAGTCAGGAAAACCAGTTCAAGGCCAGCCCCAGACACTTACTAGCTATTTGACTCTAATTAAGTCACAAACCCTGTTTGCTTCAGTTTTCTCATCTGTAAAATAAGCTGGAGAAGGAAATGGCAAACCACTCCAGTATCTTTGCCAAGAAAACCCCAAAAGGGGTCATGAAGAGTCAAGACCCTACTGAAAATGACTAACAATGAACAGTTCGTCTATAACCTTCTCTAGTGTACCCAAGTTGTCCTGAACGAAAACTTCAGTTGTTAGTCAAAAAGCTAACAACACTGAAGTGGGGAATTATAGTTTGTTCCATCTTTAAAAAGAACTCTGCTCTGGATGCTGAATCCTTTGGGTCCTACTCCTCTCTCACTTGCGGGAGGATCCTATCTGGGATGCAGTTATAGAGGAGAACAGGATTAGGGAGGTCCCTTGTACCCACAGTAACTGCTAGTGACTAACATCATGCATGTTTCAAAGGGCAGGGATAAAGATTTCCTACCACTGTCCCACCACTGCAAAGCCAATGGCTTTCTGCCAGCTCCTTGTTAGTAATCCAATATTTACCCTGCAGCCTCTTCTTTGGGAGCCATGACATCAACGCTAGATTTGGATTCAACTTCAACAGTGATCTGCTGGAGATCCTCTTCCACATGGACTTCATCATGGGATCTGGAAGGCCAGTGGAGACCAAATCTTCAGGTTTTCTCCCGTGTAGGTGCCCATAAACAAAACTTGGTGAAGGGGACCATCTATCCTCTTTCCTCCAGGGACACCCTCTCTATGAGCCACTCCCCCTCCCTTTCAGGGTTCCAAAGCTCTTCAGAGCCTTCTTGGATAACAGCTGGACCTATGGTCTACCCCATAAGAGAAGTGAGCAACTTTTCTTCCCAGCTAATGGAGGAATTTGTCTTAAGGTGAAAGTGCACATGCCTGAATGGGTTACAGAGGTTCTCTCAGAAGGTAAGCTGTCCTAGAACGACAGTTAGCTGAACTATAGTTGCTGAAACTGTAGCCTGAACTTTATAATAGAGCATACAAAAGATTCAGTTAGTTCCTGAAGAGAGATCCTTAGGACCGAAGTCATTGTACGTCCAAAACGTCAGACTGGAACTAGAAAAATAAGAAGGCTGATGTAGAAGGTTATATGAGAACAAAGTAAAAAGATTAAAGTTCTTTAGTCTGGAAGGATGAAGGCTGAAGAACATGAATGGAAATCTGGTGATAAGGTGAGCAGCTCTCCAAATGGGAGGCAACTTCTGAAACTTGGACAAAGAAAGTTTAGGATGACATAGGAAATCCTGCTTCCTACATGAGCTATATCAATTTACTATCCCACTAGGTGGTATAGGCAGTGAATAAAGAATGGACCAAAACAGGACTGAGACAGATGAATGAATGACAAAGTGATGCATGACTCCTAAGAGAAGCTAGAATGTAGCTCATCTGTAAGATTTACATCATGGTGGACCTTCTACCAGAACTCATGCAATTTAAATGTCAGAACCAGAAGAGCCCTTAGAACACAGACCACAGATTACAGAAATGGGAAAATACTTGGAATAGCTACATTTGCTACAAAACTGCAAGGAGATTTATCTAAAGAGTGTGATGTGAGCACATAGGGAATTCAATAACCAATTTAAATGTTAAAAAGACATGGACAACAAGGGCAATAAAAGCAGCTTAATACAAAAGCATGGCCCAGTTTGGTAAAGAACATATCAATAATGCCAAAGCTCAGGAGGAACTGAGGCTGGAAAGGAAAGCTGAGGATGGCAAAAGGATTAGATTTTTTGTTTTTTAAGCTCTATTAGGGACACGATGGTGATCAGGAAAGAGACAGGCCTGCTGTCTGGAGTGACTGATGGGTTAGGCAGGTGTCAACTGTGGGTGCATAAAAGGAAGAGCTACTCAATTCTTAGCTTTCTTCAATTTTTTCTGCAAAGAATGATTTTTGGTCTGGAAATGATGGAATGAATAGGGCTCATGGGGATTTAATACCCAAGATGAGTAAGGAGATAATAAGACAGCATCTACCTGTCCTGACTAAGTTCAAGACACACACAGACAACCATGCTCAGGCACTGAAATAACTAGCAGATGAGACAGAGTGCTGAGCTCTTGTCTATGATCTTTGAAAAACAGTGTAGGATGGAGAAAAGGCAACTACTTCAACTTTGAAAAAAGGGAAGAGAATTGAGTCGGCAAATTATAGGTCAATGAGCTAGACTTTGGTTCTTGGGAAAATTCTAGAATATGTTATTAAAGGAATGGTTCCTGAACATGTAGGAAACGAAGCAGGGATCAAAAGGAGCTTCATCAAGGATAGGTCATGCCTGATCAACTGAATTTCCTGTTACTGAGACTGGTTTGGTTTGCCTAGATTTTAGCAAAGGATTTGATACAATTCTCTTGCACTATTCTTGTAGAAAACATTGAGATGTGAACTAGATGATACATAGAAGGATTTGGAACTTGTCGAATGGCTGGGCCTAAAGAGTAGCCATTTACGGTTTGATGTCAACTTGGAAGATCTCCATTGGAATGCCCCAGGGGTCTGGGCTTGACCTCACACTCACGAACATTTTCATCAGTAACTTGGATGAAGATATAGATGATGTGCTTATCAAATTTACAGAGGACAACAAGCTGGCAGGGATAACTAACACACTAGATGACAAGGGCAGGATTTGAAGAGACCTTGAAAATCTAGAACACTGGGCTAAATCAAGGCCTGTTAGGTGAAATTTAATAGTATGGATAAATGTAAAAAGCCTTACACTTGGGTTCAGGATGCACTCCCCAAGTGCAAGATGAGAGAAGGATGATTAGATAGCAGTACATCTGAAAAATAACTGGGAGTCTTGGTGGGCTATCAAGTTTACTATGAGTCAATAGCATAGTAGGGCAGCCAAGAAAGCTAATATGATCGTGGGCTGTGTTACAAGAAGCTGAACACCCAGGAATGATGAAGTGACAGTCCCACTGCTTCTGCTTCCATCAGACTACAGAAGGAGTATTGTGTTCAGTTCTGGATGCCGTATTTTAGGAAGGACACTGCTGATAACCTGGAAAGTGTCCAGAGAAGGGCATTAAGGATGGCTAATACCCTCAAGTACATGCTGCACAAGGATTAATTGAGGAAACTGGGCATGATTAGTTGAAGAAAAGCTCACTTAGAGGGAAATGAGCTGTCATCAAGTATCTGATGGGCAATCACTTGGGAGAGGGATTAACCTTGTTCTGTTTGGTCCCAGTGGGCAGAACTGAAAGCAATGAGAACAAGTCGTAAATCAAATTTAAGTCTGATGACAGGAAACACTTATTTTTAACAACTAGAGCCATCCAGAAGTGTAATGGACTACTTCCACTGAGGCAGTGGTTCGTCATTGGAGGTCTCCAAGCAAGGGCTGGACGACACTTGCTAGAACTATTGAAGAGGATATTCCTGTTTAGGTATAAGTTGGACTAGACGGCCACTGTGGTCTCTGCCAGCTTTGAAATTCTGTGATTCTGAGGTCCTAGAATGACAATTTTCCCACCCCAGAGAAAGGTCACATGATAAGTGGGTGTCAGGTAAACCTGGGGCAGACAAATTGACCACAACTGCTGAGAACCATCATTCCCAACCCTTATGGAGAAGTCAACATTCAAGCCCCAACATCTAAGGAATTTGTTCTAAGAGAGACCAGGGGTCTTACCGGGTATCATGTCCAGAGGAGTGTGTGCGGCGCCTGTGAAGACAGATCCACAAATCCATTCATCTGGCCTGCAAGTTTTCTAGTTTCCCACCCTAGCTGTCAGTGGATAATTGCTTGTTTGCCCCCAGAAAAGGGTTTGTTAAATGATTTGTGTGCTCTGGGTTTGACTACATGGGGGGATAGAATGGATTCTCCATGCTCTGTCCTTGGCCAGAGCTCTTAGGGCAGCCAGCCACCTTACGGGCTAGTTAAATAAGCTGCTCTTACCTGTATCGAGGATGCTCAGAGGTCTCAGAAGGAGATCGCTCAGGGATGGAGAGGGATGTAGATGACAAGGTTGTAGCTATGGAGGCTGTAGTTGCTTCTTCAAATGATGGAGGAGTACAGGGCAGTAGGTCAGGTCTGCCTGCAGGGACCACACCCAGCCAGAAGAAGAAAAGGAAATTACTATCCAACAAAGCAGGTTCACCTAACTCTCTTCCTCTTCTCTCCTAAGGTACCACTAGAGTCGTCAAGAATGCATTTCCAAAAATTTTCAACAATTCTCCTTCCCCCCCAACATCCACATACCTGCCTTGACTGCCTATAGGAGAAAAAAAAAAGGTCAATCCTCGCAGCCTGCCGTTCAAGGCTTTTCACAGTACAGCCTCCATTATTCTCATCTCCCACTGCTCCTCTACATGTACTCTCCACTCCAGGCAAACTACTCTACTCACATTCTCTGTCTGTATCTATGATTTCCTGACTTTGTTCACATTGTTCTCCCTATGTAATTCATCCATCCCTTCACTGTGGCTATCAGTATGTCATCCATCTTTCAAGGTCCAGCTCAAGTTCAATCTCTTCCATGAAACCTTCCCTGATCCCTCCACTCAATCCCTGCCCCTTCCTCTCTTAGACTACTTTTTGGCACTACTCATTTGGCACTTAGATGACACTGCCTTATATAATCCTTACAAAACCCCGACCCCACGATTTGCCACATGAAGGATTCTCTATCCATCAGTCTAGAAGCTCTTTTCCCTAAAGGTAAACTTCCATTTTATTTCTCTACTGCTCTCATTCTGCTAAGCATCACTGGAGCATGTCACAACATTTTAGCATACTATAAATTTATGGTACTTAATCTCAATGGAGCTCTCACAGTAGCTTAGTAATCCTTTATCCTTACTGACTTCCTGTGTCATTCCTATTATGTCTTAATTGGGCTCTTACTGCTGCATGGCAATTTTAAAATTCATCTCTCATTGACTCTATGTCACATAGAGTCTGCACTCCACAGACCCTTTTTCAAGGTCTTCAATTCACTGTCTTCTTCTCTCATTTTCAATCTGCTTTCCCAAGAACACTGAGGCCATCCTAGGTTAGCTAGCCTGAGATATGTCCCCAGATATCCTCTCCTTCTTTCCAGTCTGAGAGGATGAGGTGGGTCCCTCTGCCTCCCTTCCTTGGTGCTCCTGATCCAGTCCCTCCCACAGAACCTTGTTCTATTAATTATCTGATCCCCCATGCATCCTCAGTCTTTTCTCCTCTGCTAGCTCCTTTTGGTCAGCCTGAAAACTTGCCTAGGTCTCTCATTTACTAAAATAAAGAAATTTCCCTTAGATTATAGACTTTTTTTTAATTAAATTTTATTTTCAATTAAGATCTACTTTCCTTTCCTCTCACTTCACCCCCTCCCGAAAAAAATAAAAGAAAAACAAAACCGCTATCAGAGATATTCAGAATCAAGCAATACAGATTCCCACATTTAACTACAGACTTTTCAAAGAGCCAAGGCAACATTTCCATGAGCTAAAGGAAAGCTGGGTTCAAGACAACAGATGGAAACATCCTGAAGGAAGTCTTAATTTCAGGAAGATAATGGGTACCTAACTAGGACAAAGCTGAGTACCTCAGCTCCCTGATCGAGGTCTACGATTACATGCCTGTATAAGTTGGTACTAATCATTATTTGTAATAAAGTGGCTACTGTTACACCAAAAACCATTAAAAAATCTCTTGACTCCACCAAGCTACTGTCCTTTCTTCTTTAATCAATGCTAAGTTTCTAGAAAGATTTGTCTATACTTGTTTCCATTTCCTTACCACTAACCAAATTACTCTTTATCCTTTTGCATTCTGGCATCTGACTCCATCCTAAAACTGCATCTATTTTTTCCATGGTGTTTAATGAACTTATCACCAAATACACAATCTCTTCTCAGTCCTTATCCTTTGACCTCATGGAGGCATTTCAAGCTGCTTCTTTTGGGACTTGACTCAGTTTCTATTTCTTTGGCTGGCTCTTAAGATTACATGTCATAAGGCACCTGAGAGATCATCTAATTCTGGACTGTAGTCCAACCCCCTCAGTAGATGAGTAATCTGATGCCCAAAGAGGTTAAGCATTTTGTTCAAGGTCACGCAAGTAGTAAGTGCCAAATCTAGGTTTTGAACCCAGGTCTTCTGGCCTCAATTCCAGTGCTGTCTCCTCTATGCCATGCTGTTTATTTTCCTCTTACACAGTAACTGAGGGTGTTCCTCAAGTCTGTGCCTCTGGCCTTTTTCTTTCTCTCCTCTCTATTGGTCATCTCATCCTGGCTCTAACTTTGATGCAGATGACCCCCAAATCTGTACTTCTAGTCCCCAGTTTCTTCCTTGAGAGGGAATCTGACATTTCGGTCTGTCTATTGGACCCTTCCAACTCAACAGGACCAAAACTGAACTCAATCTTCCCTCCTAAACTTGCTTTCTCCCCCAACTTCTCTACTTTAGATGACATTATCATTTTTCCAGTACGTATGCTTGACACCTTAAAGTCACTTCTGACTTCTCTCTCTTCCTCACCTACCACATCAAATGACCTACCAAAGTCTGATCAATTCTATTTCCTCTATATTTAATGGGGTCCTGCCTCTACCACCCCTTTTTCCCATTTCTACTCCTAATCACCTCTCACCTGTAATAATGAAATAGCTTCCTAACTGGTCTCCTCGCTTCTAATCTCTCCCCTAATTCACTGTTCACATCACTGTTTGACTAACCTTCCCAATATACTACTATTATTGTTTCACTCCTCTATTCTAAAACCTTTTGTGGCTCCCTACACCATATGCAGAATAAAGCATCCTGTAGGAAATATGCTTCTGATACTGGCACTCAAGGCCTTCCATAATTGGGCTATGAACTCTTTTCAGCTTTCTACCGATGCTTTCTCTTTATGTACCCTACATTCTAGAAAAACTGGACAATGTGTCATCCTCTGTTCTCATTCTGTTTTCTCCCATCTCTTTGTGTGTACCTGGAATGAATTATTTATCCTCCCTATCTCTACTTGTTGAAATTCCTTCCTTCTTTTAAGGTCTAACTCAAGTGCTTCATGAACCCTTCCTTCAAATGAATGGCCTCTCTCTCTTCAGCATGGTACAGTGGGGCAAGAACCGGTCTTAAAGTTAAGAGACACCTGTCTCTCACTCCCGAAGCTGTGTGACCCTGGGCAAGTCTCTTAAACCCCTGCCAAGCCTTAGTTCCTACCACTGAAATGAAAAGAATGCACTACTTCGAAAAAGTACTTTTAAAAAATATTACCTATCTTAAAGGGCTGCTGTGAAGAAAGTACATAGTGACCCTTACAGAAATGCAAGTTGTTTGTCTTGTCCACAGGTTTCTGGACCTTAACCCAGACCCTCCCTCTGCTCCTTTTTCACTATATACTTATTTATATACACATTCCCTTCCCTCAACCAGCCTGGGAGCAGTTTGAATGCTGGCAAGGGCTGCCTCATTTCACCTTTGTGCTCCCAGCACTTACTATAGTGCCGTGCACCTGGTCAGTGCTTAATAAATGCAAACTGAGTACCAGGGGAACCAATTCTTCTCTAGGGACTTTTGGAGCTGTCTCAAAGTGGACTGGGCTGCCTTCGGAGGTAGTTAAGTTCCCCCTCCTTGGACCTCTTCAAGCAGTAGTCAGATGACTATTTGTAGGTACGTCCTAGTGGGGATTCTTCTCCTCTATGGGTTGGACTAGGCTGCTGAGGTCCCTACCATCTGTCAGACTCTGTGATTCTTTGGCCAGATGTGGGTGAGGCTGTGCACATTGCTGAATCTCTCCTACTTTCACTTGATCCTGTTGGACTGGTCCAGGGAAGGGTTCTGGAAGAGAGTAGTTCTGTGGTTTGCTTATTACTCTAGGCCAGGCCAAGAAGACAATACCTTCGTCCTCCAGTGTGGGGTAACTCCGGGCTCCTCGCAGGTCATAATGTGTTTCCTCCCTCTCACTAGGAATCTGGCTGGCAGAGAAGGCAGCTGTTGGTCCAGGAGGTTTGACGGTCACCAAAGTGGTTCTGCCCTTCTTTGATGGTGATGATTTCAGAGCTTGATTGGAGAAAGATGGGGCAGGGCAGGAAGAAAAGAAAAGTCAGGACACTAAGCCTAATAAAGCATCTTCCTTTTAAAAACAAAAACAAAACCAAAACCAAAACCAAAATCACCTTTCCCACCTCATCTCTTGCTCTTCTCCCTCAAAGTGAACCATGCTGCAGTCAAGTTGGTTTCCTTAATTCACACTGGGTTTTCCAGTTTCACAACCATTTACCTCACCTGAGATCCTCTGCTCTCATAATTCCCTTTTCTGAGAAAAGGAGCAAAGTACTGGTCTTGAAATTAAAAGACAGGTTTAAATCCAAGTTCTGACTGACTGGCCTCAACAAAGTAATTTTACCTCTCTGAGCCTCAGTTTCCTAATCTGTAAAATGGGATTAATAATACTTTCACTATCTGCTTCACAGGGCTATGAGAAAGGATGCACTTTATAAATCTTAATTCATATGTAAATGTGAATTCTTATAATCTAATTCTTCCTTATCCACCAATACCCAGCTCACATCCCTATCTTCTCCATTAAGCCTCCTATGACCAACTTTCTCCTGTTAATGCTCCAGTGGCAATTAATGTGGTAGCAAAAGGGGAGAATAAACCAGGGCCTCCAAGGTGGACAGACTCTCAAACTCCATTTTTACAACTACAGATTTCTTTTAATAAAACAAAAAAGCTTCACGCATTTTAAAATCATTCAATTGTGAGACAGACATGTACATATGTATGAAAAACATCTCATATCTGGTGTTATTTCCTATATCACTATTTTAACATATTGTAGGGACCCCCTCTTGTAACTTTAAGGGGGTGTGTGCCTCATAGCCTCCCATATTCTTAATCTGTTCCTATTTATTTTTCCTCTAAACTCAATCCTTATCTGTCTCATTCATTTGGCAATTAGAATCTAGAGATTTGTATTGTTAGCTATCTTTTTTTATATTTTTATATGTATGCACATTTATACACATGTACACATATAAAGATATATATAGTCACAAGTCTCAGAGTTGGAAGGGACCTTAGTGGTCATCTAATCCAAGCCATGGCTTTTAAATTCATATTTTATATGAATCCCCTGTACAACATATACAACAAGTGGTCACTTAGCTTCTGCCTGAAAAATTCTATTAACAGGGTTCTCATTAACTTTAAACGACAGCCTGCTTTACTATTGTATAGCTGTAATTGTTAGGAAGATGACTTCTATTGAGCTGAAATTTGCCTCTGTATAATATATGCCCATCAGCGTAAATATTCTAACAGTAGAATGTAAACCCCTTGAGGGCAGGGATTGCTTTTTATTTTTGTCCTTGTTTCCCCAGGAATTAGCATTGTGCTTGGCACACAGTAGATGCTTAATAAATGTTGACTGAAGAGAAGTTTTCCCTTCTAGAATCTTAAGAGATGGAAGGACGCTTGGTCCCTTCTTCATTTTACAGATGTTAAAACAGAGCTCCAGAAATGGAAAGTCATTAGTTCAAGGTCATACAGTAAGTTAGTGGCAGAAATGGAACTTCTGCCCAGATTTTGATTCCCAAAACAATGCTCTTCTGACATTCACTCAATAAGTATTTATTAAGCACCCACTACATGAAATTCACATAGGACAGGTCTTGAAGCCTGTATGTGCTAGTCCTGAGGTTAAAGACAAAAAAGTAAAAAGTTTCTGCCCTCAAGAAGCTTACATTCTACTTGAGGGAGGGGGAGGGGGATATTATATATACCCAGAAAAAGGCAAGAAGAAGAGAATATTAACAATTTTTTTGGTAAAGGAAGAGAATACCAATACTAACTAAAGGAAGATATTACTAACTAATATCAACTAATACTTTCTTTATTTTTTATTTTTAGGCAATTGGGGTTAAGTGACTTGCCCAGGGTCACACAGCTAGTAAGTGTCAAGTGTTTGGTCTGAGGCTGGATTTGAACTCAGGTCCTCCTTACTTCAGGGCCGGTGCTCTATCCATTGCGCCACCTTGCTGCCCCACAATACTTTCTTGTGAAGGAAGAAGAATACCAACAATGAGGGAGAATCCGGAAAGACTTCTTGAAGAAAGTAGCACCTGAATTGAGGAATTCAAGGAAGCTAAGGATTTTAAGAGGTAGCCATGAAGAGAGAGAATGCCTTAGGTATATGCAAAGGTGGGAGATAGAACACTGATTTCCGGGAACAAAGAGGCAAGTAGGCCAGTTTGGTGGAAATGTATACACAAAGGGAAATAATGTGAAATCGACCTGAAAAGGTAGACTAGAGACAGACAGTAGAGAGATTTGAACACTAAAGTGGAGAAGTTTGTATTTTATTCTAAAAGAAATAGGGAGGCAATAAGATTCTTGAACAGGAAACTAACATGGTTAGACCTGTACTTTAGGAAGATTATTTTGGTAGCTACATGGAAAACTGTTTAGGGAAGGGAGAGACCGGAATCAGGAGATTAATTGGGAAGCTATTGGAGTAGTCCAGTCAAGAGGTAATGAAGATTTGAACTAGGGTGGCTGCTATGTAGGGAGGAAGGAAGAGAATCAGTATCTCTATAGCACCTTCTATGTGCCAGGCACTGGGCAAGGCACTTTTTACAAGTATTATCTTATTTGACTCTCACAACAACGCCGCCAGGTAGATGCTGTTATTATCCCCACTTTACAGTTGTGGAAACAGAGACAAACTGAAAGGGGACAGATGAAAAAAATGTTGTGGAGGTAACTGATAAATGGTCAAAGGATATAAACAGGCAGTTTTCAAATGAAGAAATTAAAGCTATCTATAGTCATATAAAAACGATCTAAATCACTACTGATCATGGAAATGCAAATCAAAACAACTCTGAGGTACCACCTCACACCTATCAGATTGGCTATCATGACAAAACAGGAAAATGACAAATGTTGGAGAAGATGTGGGAAAACTGGAACACTAATGTATTGTTGGTGGAGTTGTGAAATGATCCAACCATTATGGAGAGCAACTTGGAACTATGCCCAAAGGGCTATAAAACTGTGCATACCCTTTGACTCAGCAATACCACTTCTGGACCTGTATCCCAAAGAAATTGTAAAAATGGAAAAAGGACCCACATGTACAAAAATGTTTATAGCAGCTCTTTTTGTGGTGGCCAAGAATTAGAAATTGAGAGGATGCCCATCAATTGGGAAATGGCTGAACAAGTTGTGGTATATGAATGTAATGGAATACTGCTGTTCCATAAGAAATGATGAGCAGGCAGACTTCAGAAAAACCTGGAAAGACTTACGTGAACCAATGCTGAAGGAAGTGAACAGAACCAGGAAAACATTGTAGATAGTAACAGCAACATTGTGCGATAACTTTGGTAGCCTTAACTCTTCTCAGCAATACAAGGACCTAAGACAACTCCAAAAGACTCATGAAGTAAAATGCTACTCACATCCAGAAAAAGAACTATGGAGTCCAAATGCAGATTGAAGTATGCTATTTGCTCTTTTTTTGTGATTCTTCTTTCTTGTGGTTTCTTCCATTGGTTCTAATTCTTCTTTATAACATGACTAATGTGAAAATATGTTTAATATGAATGTGTAAGTATAACCTATATCAGACTGCACGCTGTCTTGGGGAGGGAGGAGGGGAAAAAGGGGGAGAAAATTTAGAACTTAAAATCTTATGGAAGTGAATGCTGAAAACCAAAAATAAATAAGTGTTATGGAGGTACAATTGATAAGACTTGGAACTGTTTAAATATGGAAGGGTGGTGAAGGACAGAGGGTGAATGATGAAGCTGAATTTGAAAACCTGAGCTCCTGGTTGTACCCTCAACAGAAATTGGAGGCTTGGATGAAGGGCAGGTTTGGTGGGGAGGGAAGATAAAGAATTTAGTTTTAGATGTACAGACTTTGAGATGCCTATGGGATATTCAGGTAGAAATGTTCAGTAGGAAGTTGGTGATTTCATGATGTGAGAAAGATTAGAGTGGGGTTTACAGATGTGGGAGTCATCTGCATAGAGATGATCACTGAACTCATGACAGCTAATGAGATTGCCAAGAGAGCACATATATAGAGAATAGAGGGTTCAGGACAAGACTTTTGGAGACTACCTATGATTAGGAAGCAGGACAAAGTTGATAATCCAACAAATTAGGCTTAGAAGGGATGGTCAGGCAGGTAGAAAGAAAAGTAGCATAAAGTAGTACCCACGAAGCCAAAAGACGAGAGAGTATGCAAGAAAAGTGAGAGGTCAAGAAGGATGGGAGATCAAAAGGCCATTGGATTTTGCAACTGAGAGATCATGGAGAGTCTTAAACAGAGCAGGGGTGAGGTTGGAAGACAGAATGCAAGGAACTAGGAAATTGCAAGAGACTGGGAGGTGAGGTGGGTGTAGGTGAATTTCTCAAGGAATTTGGCTGTGAAGGGAGAATGGCTATAAGATGGTAGCTTGAGGGGATGACTGTACCAAGTAATTGTTAAGGATGAAGGAGACTTAAGGATGTTTGTAGACAACAGGGAAGGAGCCAGTGGATAAGAAGATCAAAGATAAGTTAAAAAAAGATGGTAAAAGGGGCAAATTCTAGAAGGAGATGGGAGGAGACCACAAACAGAGGGACTAGCTTTGGCAAGGAATAGGGTCGTCACTGTTCATTACACAACCTGCCTTTTAAAATTGTGTTCTGTAGTACTCTTATTAAGTTCTAAACTTCATGCCTGTTACTCTTTCATTACTATTTCCTGGGGACATATTCTTATGGGGGAAAAAGGTTTTCCCTTCTTCTGATACAAGATCCTTGCTTTCAAATTCCTTTTTTTCCTTCTACCAGAACTCCCAGCCCCTGGCAAGGATCCGGGCCAGACTTCTTTGCCCACATGCCAAGACATACTTACAGGAGTTCTTCCGAAAGACTGTGTTGCTCATGAACTTGAAAAATCTCTCAGCATAGAAGCTGGGGCGGTGCACAGAGACAGTGTCCTAGAAATGGAAATAGGCAGGGAGTAGTTCACATTAAAAAGGAAAACAGAAGTGGGGTAGGTGGGATGGAGAAAAAGAAAAAAATAAGATTGTTGAAAACATTCTTTACATTTTGGCAAGGTAGAATAAGCTCTTGATTCTAAGGATCTAGGTTTAAATCTCTGCTTTGCTATTTACTGCCTGTATGAGCAAGGGTAAGTCATTTAAACTCTTTGGGTCTCGTTTTTCTTATTTGTAAAATGTGTGGTAACAGAGAAGTGCAAGGGTGGAATAGAGAATCCCTACAGTAACTTCCAGCTCTAAATTCCATGATCTTTTAATCTGAGCTCTTTGTCAACTGGCTAGCTCACTGGAGCCCAACCTTGCCATATCCCTTTCTTTTGTTGTTTGGCTATTTCAGTCATGTCCAACTCTCTGTGACCCCGTTGGGGTTTTCCTGGCAGAGATACTGGAGTGGTTTGCCATTTCTTCTCTACTCATTTGACAGATGGGGAAATTGAGGCAAACAAGGTTAAGTGATTTATTTGCCCAGGGTCACACAGTTCTAAGTGTCTAAGGCTGGATTTGAACTCAGAAAGATTAGTCTTCCTGACTCCAGGCCTGGCACTCTATCCACTGTGCCACCTAGTTGCCCCAATTAATCCCTCTCTAATACAACATTAATAACAATTTTCCTTGGAAATGGCTCTAGTTTTTATAACATCCAAAGACTAGAAGCATTTGAGTGCAGTCTGATTAGATTTTTACCTTAGGGCTATGACAATGATGATTTCAGTGGCTTGGAAGAAACCTACATTTTAATGCTTATAATTAGCCTGACTATATAAATGAAACAGCCTTCCCTGCTGTTTTATTTGGGGGTAGAATAAGAGGGGGAAGGTCTCAGGACAAATAATAACCAATGTTTAGGGATGACATGATGCTCGAATCTATCCCCAAATCCCATTTTATGTTTCAAAGTCACCTCTACCAGCTATATGCTTGCTACACATTGCCTTCTATGTCTTTCCTCTTTCTTCTGGGAGTTTATATGGGAAATGTGATCATAAGATTTTTCAGGGTTAGATGGGAACTCAGATCAATTTCTTACTTTTACAGAGGAGAAAAGAAAGTCCTAGAAAAGAAAAACAACTTGTTCAAGATCACACAGGTAGTTAATAACAGTTTTTTTTTACATTCATTTTGAAATTTTTAGTTCCAAATTCTCTCCCTCCAGACTTTCCCCCAACCTCACCTCTGGCCACCCATTGAAAAAGCAAGCAACATATCCATACGAAGTCACGCAAAACTTATTTCCGTATCAGCCACATTGTTTCCCCCCCACAAACAAAAAGTGGAAAAAAATGCTCCAATCTGCATTTAAGAGTTCTCTTCAGTTCTCTCTCCGGAGGTAGACCATATTTTTCATTATGAGTTAATTGCAAAGTTTTAATGATAATTTCATTTTTCAAAATGTGAAAGGACTAAGAAGGGAATGAAATTTCTAAGTTGGATCTTATTCTCACCAATAAGAATTGGTTGCTGGAATAGAAATCATAGGAATCTTGGGAAGGAATTGACTACTTATCTTAAAATTTTTGCTAGAAGTCACAGAAGCTGGTAATAATCTGACATTCATGGAAGATTTGGGGAGAGCAGATTTCAAAGGGTTTGGCCAATCTCCTGGACTAAAATTCCACAGGGGAAGTCATCTGAGGAAGGATCAGAAACTCTCAAGAATGAAACATTTAAGACATAGAGAAATAATTCCAACAAGGAGATGTCAAAAGTGAAGAAATAAAGATATATAAAGAACTCACCAATTAACTCAGATAAAAATATATACGATGGAAACAAGGATAAGAAAAGAAGTAATAAATACTAAAATATGGCTCAATCTTATGAGAACAGACTACTAGAACTCAGAATGAGTGAAGGCTGTTAAAGAAAGGAGGAGGATCAAAAAAAGGACGGGATCACTACTTAGGGTAAACAGGATAATGGATGATAGACATAAATAAGAAAGCTACCAAACTTTTAATTTGCTTCTGTCTTCTCTGCCAAGGAGAATGATCTTTGTATTAGGAGGACAGAAAAAAAACTGGCTAAAAGCAAATTGAAACCCAATATAAGTAAGGAGGCAGAAAGTACGTGGCTAGCTGCCCATCATGAGTTCAAGTAGCCTGAAACAGATGAACTGCAAGAACTGGCAGATAGGATTGCTGAGACACCACTAGCAGTTTCTCACAGATCACAGAGACCATGGATTGGATTGGATCAGGACTGGAGATGGGTAATTTACGCATTAGCCTTATTTAAAAAAAAAAAAAAGGAAAAGGGAATGAGGTCTACAAACTATAGGCCAGAGAACTGGACTCAGATTTCTGGAAAAGCTATAAATTTTAGTAGAGTACTGGTCAGCAAACATCCAGAAAGAGATGCTGTTATCCCAAAGAACCATCCTGGCTTCATCAAGAGCAGGTCATGCCAGACCAACGCTATTTACTTTCTGATGGGGTTGTTAAATTGGCAGGTTGAGAAAATACTATAGATGTGAAGTAGATTTGAAACCAATTAAATGTCTATACCTGATAGTCATTAATGGTTCAATGTAATATTGATCTCCAATAGAGGGTTTCAGGTTTGGCCCTGGGGAATTTAACATTTTTTAGAATAATGATGAGATATGGATGACATGTTTATCAAATCTAGAGCTATCACAAAGCTAGGGGGATGGGACAGATAATACACTGGATTAACAGTAAGGATTCAAAAAGATCTTCACAGGTTAGAGCACTGAGATGAGCTAAGAGAAAATTTAATGGGGATCATTTAGTCTTAAACGTGTATTCTAAAAATCAACTTCACAATTCTAAACTGGAGGAGGTATGATTAGAAAGCAGTTCATCCAAAAAAGACTAAAAAATTCTTCAGTCTGAATCAACAATGTGATGTGGCTGACAAGAAAGCTAATTCCCTCTTTAGTTTCACTGAGAGAAATAGTATCCAGGAATAGAAACATGACAGTTCCACCACAGACTGCCCTGGTCAGACATCTGGAGTATTGTTGGGTTCAGTTGCGGCTAACTCATTTAAAAAAGGACAATGATAAGCCAAAGAGCATCCCAAAAGAATGACTAGGATGGTGAAAGGCCTTGAAATAATGTTATGTTAGTATGGGTTGAAGAAACTAGGGATGTTACCCACAGACAAGAAAAAATTGCAGGGGAACATATGTCTTCAAGCATTTGAGGGGCTGTCATGTAGAAGAAGGATTAGGTTTCTTCTATCTAAGAAGCAGAACCAGGAATAATGGCTGGAAGTTCCAAAGAGCTAATTTTAGACTGACTGAAAGGAAAACTTCCTAACAATTAGAGGTAGCCACAAATGGAATAGGATGCCTCAGGAGGTAGAGGACTTTCCCACACTAGAAGCCTTCAAGCAAAAATTCAATGACAATATATCAGTTAAGTATGAATCAGAACTAAAGATTCTTATTCAGATATGGATTGGACTCTATGGTCTCAGAAATTCACTCCAACTCTGAGGTTCTATAATGCCGAGCTGAGATGTGAACACAGTTCTTCTGATTCCAGAAGTAGTTTTTAAAGTTTCTAACGGTATTACTGTTTTGTTTTTTGTATGACAATAGGATTACTGCCTCTGAAAGCAGTGAGCTCCTTTAAAGTAAAGGTGTTCAAGTACAGGTAAGTAACCACAGAGCTAGGCCATGTTCTATCAAAGGTCCTCTGGTTAGTCTAAGATATATAGTCTTTTGAATTTGCCAAAGCATTTGCTTGTCAATGAAACTTTCATTGTAATTTGTATATTACAACAATTGAATCGAAAATTACTCCCAAATGGTAGATGGTGGGGTCTAAGGACTACAATTTTACTGGGGAGAAAAATGAGGTGGAGAGAGGTTAGATGAGATTACAGAGCAAGTTTCCAGAATAAGGACTCCTGGGAACTGCCCGATGGCTTGGGTGGCCAACATGGTTCCAGTGAGGTTTCCTGATTCTGTTTTTATCTAAGTAACTATAACATCTGTGAACCAGCAGGTCACAAAAATTTAATGGCCTGAAGTTTAGAGCCATGGGGTCAAAGTCCAGACAATGTCTGCCTCTACCTGGCTCTGTGGCAACACATTCTCTTTTGTGGAATCACTAAAGTTGAAGCTGCTAAGTTCTTGGGAATAGTTCATTCTATCAAATTCCTATGGGATTGTTCTAAATTCTTTAATGACCAGCATCAAGTTCTATAACTAATACTTTGGAAGAAATAAATTTGATTAAAATGTTAATAGAAAAAAATTTTTTAATAGTTATTCAAAAATAAGATTTTTCAGTTGCAACAGGAGTCATTATTACTGTCAGGAAGGAAAATTCCCATGGCCTCTAAATCTATAAAATTCATGTGGCCCTCCAACTTAAAAGACACAGGATTTAAATCAGGAATGCACTTAGGGATCACTGATTCCAATTCCTTCATTTTTCCTGAGGCAACTGTAAGTCAGTTAGAAATGTAAGATGACTTCCCAAGGTCACACGTGCCTCTGATAAATCCCAGAGGTGAGTTGTGGACCTGAGCCTTCTGACTTCAAACCCTGCACTGTTCCCACCACACCATGATGCCTCTTGGGCCTTAGGCTTTGTGGTGAACCTCTCTTGCACTCAACCATGAGACAAACTGGCAATGCCCCTGTGATGTAATGACACTCCACAGGGCCTGAGAAGTGGTAGTTCCTTTGTTGGATCCTAACTTCATTTCTCAACTTAGACTAGGCCTTGGAAGTCTGCCTCATTTTTCTCATTTCTATAACACACTTGTTTATAAAGCACTTTCTTTACCACAATCCTATATGTGCAAATGCAAGTGCAAGCACTTGCAGTGCAAGTGTCATTTATTATCTCCATTTTCTGATGAAGAAACAGACTAAGAGGTTAAGTAAATTATCCCCAGTCACAGAGTCAGTGAGTATTAGAGCCAGGGCTCACAGAACTTCTAGATTTGACACTGGAAAGGACCTTAGAAATCATCTAGATCAAGTTTCTCATTTTTACCAATGAGGCAACTGAAGCTGAGGGAGATGAGCTGCTTTGCCCAAGGTCACAGCATTATCCAGCAGTACAGCCAGGTTTAGAATTCATGTTCTTTGGTCAAGGTCAAATCCAGCAGACTTTTCACCACCTCAAAGTGCCCTGAATTGCTAGGTCTCTTTTCATGTTCAATTCAACTGAACAGTTCCTGAGCATCTGCTGTGTTCTGAGGCCTTGTGCTAGGCTACAACGACAAAACCAAAGTTTCCACTTTTGAGAAGCTCATATTTTATGCAAAACCGGAGTTAAGAAATGCCCTAAGTTGAGGGGGGGAGAAGAGGTCAGCGAAGGACAGAGAAGCTGAGCTTGATGGAAGACAAAGATTCTGAGAGGGAGCGAGGAGGCACATTCCAAGCCTCAGTGTGGCTCTTGGAATTACACAGAGTTGGAAGATGGAAGGCTAAGTTTAAGGAGTAGCTACTAGTCTAGTCTGGATAGAACAAAGAGTTCATGGAAGACAGTAATGATAGTAAGAAGGGAAAAGTAGGTGATAAATCATGGAAAACCTTGAACTTTAGGGTGAGGAGTTTGTATTTTGTTCTAGAGGTAAAAGGATACTAATGAAAGCTTCTGCACAAGTGAACGACATAGTTGAATATGTGTCCTGTCCTGGTGAATCTTCTATGGGCAAGGAACCTGTACTCCACATTTCTGTATTCCTATAAATACTTAGCATACTAGTGCAGGTTGCAAAGGGCAGGGAGGGATGCCTTACATATGAGCTGCCTGCATACTGTGATGTGCAGGGTCCCAGCTACTGAAAAATATTACACTTACCAGCCTATTACTAACGTCTGAAATCTGCCACTGGAAATTCACTCCTTTAGTCCAAGATAAAGGGAAGTCACTTCTCTGCTGTTCCATGGCACCTGTGTTCTAGCCACTGTCCTCAACCTCCTCCCCCTCTCACAGAATCTTGGCCTCAGACCTTTGGTCCACCCAGGACTCTTCAAGGTGAGCTTTGAACTTATTTTGCCTGGAGTCAAGCATTCCCTTCACTTTCTAGCCATCTTCAAACCATGCCACCTGCAATGTATTAAACTCTGCATCCCCTTTAGAGCTCCCCTGGATGTGTTGTCTTCCCCCAGGAGAATAGAAACTCCTTGAGGGTAGAGACTCTCTTGCTTTCTTGTATATTTCCAGCAATGAACACAGGACCTTGCACATAGTAAGTGCTTTATAAATGGCGTATTAAATTCATTATTCAAGAGCACTAGATTAGAACTCAAGAGACCAGTGTCCTAGTCTTACCTCTGCCACTAGGTCATTATATGACCTCAAAAAAAGCCACTCCTCTCTCTCAAGACTTCAATTTTCTGATATGTAAAATGAGGGGATTGGACTTTACACTACTAACATCCTATGCTTTTATACAATTAACTTTTTAAGTACAAAATGGAAGAAGCATTGTTAGATAGTATAGTTCATAAAAATGTTAGTGTGCTGTAATCTCAATATGAGTTAACACTGAGACACATTAACCAAAAATTCCAAGTCAATCTTAGGATTCATTAAGGGAAGCATAGTGTCCACAATAGTTTCATTCTACTCTGCCCTGGTCATATAATATTTGGAGCATCTTGTGGGGTTCTGGGTACCCTATTTGAGGAAGGAAGTTGGAGTGTCTGAAAGGAGGGCAACAAAGATGGTGAGAGGTGCTGAGACTATGCCATGGGAGATCAGTTAAAGGAACTGAGGATATTTTGTCTAAAAAAAAAGGAGCCTCTAATGTGAAAATATGCTTAATATGAATGTGTAAGTAGAGCCTATATCAATTACATGCCATATTGGGGAAGGGGGAGGAGAGAAAGGGGGAGAAAATTTAAAACTCAAAATCTTACAGAAGTGAATGCTGAAAACTAAAAATAAATAATTTTTAAAAAATTTAAAAAAGGAACCTTAGTGTGGAACAAGATAAATTATCTTCAAGTATTTGAAGGTTTGTCATGTAGAAGAGTTATCAGAGTTAGAAACAGTGGATGGGCAATTAAGAGAGACCGATTTAAATTCTCTGTAAGTGAAGCCTTTCTATCATCATCACCTCTGACCAGATGATGCAATGGATAGAGTGCTGGACTTGGAGTCAGGAATACTTGAGTTTGAATCCTGCCTCGGATACTTACTGGCTGTGGGATCCCGGGGCCTTCATTCACCCTTCTGGATCTGTTTCCTCATACACAAAATGAGAGGATTGGTTTGGAGGCTTCTAGGGTCTCTTCTAGCTACAAATCTATGATCCCATAAATAACCACAGTTGTCCAAAAGTAGAATGGGATGCCTCAGGAGGTACAGTGTTCCCTTACTAGAGGTCTTCATGTGAAAGTTGATCATTTTATTGGGGATGTTGTAGAGAGGATTCTTGCTCAAGTATAGGTTTGACTAAATGACCTCAGATGGCCCTTCCAACTCTGAGATTTTGTGACTTTATCACCTCAAAGGTCCCTTCCAGTTCTAACAATCTGTGAAAATATAAATATCATTGAAAGGGATAACCCATTAAGTTATAATGTTAGTCATCAACACTTATTTTCAATTATCTTATGATCTCAACATAGAATCTTGGAGTGTAAGAACTAGATGGGAATTTAGAGGGCATCCAGTTCACCTCCCATCCCATGCAGGAATCCCTTCAACAAAATCCCATACTTCGTTTGAATTCTCTAGTGACAGGGTTGCCTCATAAAGCAGTCCATTCAATTGCTGGGCAGCTATAATTGTTAGGAAATTCTTCCTTCTATTGAGCCAACATCTGTTTCCCTGTAACTTCTCCCTTATGGGTTCCAGTTCTGTCTTATAGAGCAATATAGAAAAAGTCCGCTCCCTTTTCCACACAATTCCTATGTGACATAGTTTCTAGATCTCTCATTATCCTGGTTCCCCTACTCTACACATGCTCTACTGAAATAAAGATTGTTTCTCCTCTTTATCTAGCTCTTTTAAACATAGATAGCTGACAGCAAGTTTTGACTGAGTGAAAGGTTCAGACACTAAACACGGTGTTCTTGCTTAGGATAAGCATGTATGAAGAATGGAGCTTTGTCAGACAGAGGCAGCATGAACAAGCAGACCTATGGGGTCAATGAAAGAAGGGAGCTATCACAAATTAGGAAGAAGAAACTGAAAAATGGAAGGAGAAGCTACGGTCTACCTATACTGAGAGATTGTCCTGACTGTTCTAAGCAGAAAAGCAAATTGAGATGGAGCAGAGATCCTAAACCCAGAGGTCTAGGGCATACTGTCACCTGTGTTACCAAGATGAGTTTCCTGTAAACTCACCCCATCATGGACAAGAGCCTTCCATGTGTGCTCCAGCTTCTTGATGAATCTAAAGAAAAATCATCAATGATATCAGAGAAATACATTAGAGATACCCAGACCTTTATACCAGTTATCTTCTAGAAAAAAAGCATCTCAACTATTTCTTATTGTTTACATAATTTCCCTAGATCAGGCCAAGTTAATCTTTTCTTGGGGAAGAAAGGAAAAAAGTCATTCAACAAATAGGCAATTGTGCTCACAGAATGTTTCTCTTTCCTTTGTCATGGACTGAAGCTGGCTTTGCTCTAGAGAGGAGTTTAGAACTGAATGGAAGCTGAGTTTCAGATGCATGAATGTTACCTAAGAAAGTTTTCACCAATACCAACCCATTTCTTGGACTGCCATCAGTTGGTCATTCTGAGAGTTGGCATGGGACCTATCACTCCTCTTCACTCACTCACTCCTGACTTCTTTGTGAGATCTGGTACATGGTCATCACTGTCCCATTTTTTCCCTCTCAACACCAAATGAAGTTGCCTTCCCCACCTCTCTCGATCTGCTTCTTTTGAAAGGCTGACTACTCTTGCTTTAGAGCCCCACAAGGAAGATCACTATGGTATATAGAAGGGCTCTGAATTTGGAAAATTATCTGTTTTTTTTTAAATGCCAATAACTAAAAAGAAACTGATTTTTAAAATAAAGGCTAAGCATGGATCTGATTTAAATTCTAATCAGAAAACTTCATCCCAGGCATTTAGGTTTGATTTGACCAATGACAGAGAAATTCAAAGACAACTGATCCCCACCACCTACCTGTAAGATTGCAGGATGTCAATTATTCCTATGTGCAGCAGTAGACGCTCCCCACGGCCATTCACTGCTGGGATCCCACCCATCCTGGAGAAAGAGTTATGTATTAGTGACCACTCCAGCTAGTGCAGGAAATATGTGGTTCTAGAGCCCCAGGAAAAAAAAAATTTCAAGAAAAGCTACAAGCCAGAGAGCTGCATTTATGGAAACTGACCTCCCTATTGGGAGGTAATGCCAAAGAGGACAGCAGGTTCAGGAGCTGATAACTGAAGTCAGATCCAGAAACTACTTCATTCCTCCTTACCAGAGCCATCCGTCATATAATGAGCTTCTGGGAAAGCAAAGATTCTATCAGCAGAAAAGGAAAGGACAAAGGATAAATTTACCTCTCACCGTCTTTGTTGCCCTCCTTTCAGACACTGCAACTTATTAATACCCCTCCTCAAATAGGGTACCCAGAACCCCACAAAATGCTCCAAATATTATCTGACCAGGGCAGAGTAGAGTGAAACTATTGTGGACACTATGCTTCCCTTAATGTATCCTAAGATTGACTTGGAATTTACCAAACCTCAGGATATTTGAGTGTACCTATTAATCTGCTGCATTCCAGGTTCCTCACGATCTACCACAAATGGCTTTCTCTATATCATTATATCATCTCCTGCCAGCACTTCCAAAGTGGGATGGCAGACTCTTTGTTATTGAGATCTGTTATCCTGTTCGATCACCACAACAGTCTTGTGAGAGGCCTGGGCATTTAGTGTCCCTGTCTGATATATGAGAAAATTGATACTTGGAGAGGCTCAGCATAAAGCCTAAGGTCACAGCTAATAAGTGATGGAGCACAGATTCCTGAGAGCTGGAAGGGACCTTAGAAATCATCTAGTCCAACCTTCTCAGATTAAAAGTAAGGAAATTGAGGCTCAGAGGCTAATAGTGACTGACTTATTCAACAACTTATTCACACACACAAACGCTATAAAACAATGAGTTTGATTTTGACATGCTTTCCAGAATCAGCCTTATCTTTATAGTTATATTGCAGCTTTCTGACCAGTGAAGGGCAGACTAAGTTAATTCTAGAAACTGAGCATTCTGCTTAAGGCCCCTCCCCTACTATAAGAATTATAGTTAGCAAGTATAACCAAAGATGGTAGAGAAAGCTTCATAACACTTGTTTATTTCTCCAAAGAACATGATCATTAGTAAATTTCCCAGCTCCCCAAATGTGCCAGATCCTAGTTATGTAGACTGCCAATGGCTAAGATAATGCCACACCCACTGCCAGTATAAACACAGCACACTGCAATGTTAGTTGGTGTCCAGACTCAGTGGTTCAATACCGTTCAAGAGCCCAGGGCCAGCCAAGCTCGCCTTGCACACAAGTGACCACATGCACTGTAGTCCTCACCTGTGACTCTTTGCTATTCTCTTGTTGGAGGTCTGCACCTGGGCCAAATCCTATAAATGCCAAGACAGTCTAAAGACCAGATATGTTACCCCTGGGGGATCCCCCCCTGATATAGCAACCTCTGGTCCTAGTGGGATTTTAATTAATGTTCTATTGAACAGATCCTAGTGGGATTTCAATTAATGTTCTATTGAACAGATCTAGGTTTCTAATGCTAGTCACCATATCAGAACGGGCATTGATACCATTTAGATGTACTAGGGAAAGTCTGGTTCCAATGACAGCTGACTTATAGAACAGATTTTCACTCTCTCCTACTACAAAGGAGGAATCTCATTTCACATATTTCTCTACTATTCAAGAACCAAGCAGGATAAGGTCCAAGCTTCTTAGCCTGGCATTCCAAGTCCCTCCGCAATCTGATCTCAGCTTGACTTTCTAGTCTTATTTCCCACTCTTCTCTATAAGAATTTCCACTCTAGCCAAACTGGTCTCCCCACTGTTTCCCCAATAAGCTATTCTCACCTCTATACCTTTGTTAACACCACTCCTCCCATCTCTAATGTCTTCCTTTCTCTTTCCTGACAATCCAATTCCTTCAAAGCTCAGCTCAAGTCCCATGACCTAGTATGAAACTTTCCCTAACCATCCAAGTCCATGTTGATTTTTTTTTCTCTTCTCAGCTTCTACAGCAAAATCAAATAGCTATGTGAGGTCATAACACTATGAAGGAGATGAAAAGCAACTGATTCCCCGGGAACACACACCACTGAGTCTACCTCAGAGCTCATGACTGTCTATACATCTGATGATTCATTGTATTTTGCCCTTGTGGTTACTATATGGTCTTGTGTGAACATTTAACTCCTATATTTCTTTCTTAATTTCATGAGTATATGTCCTGTACCTCTTACTAGACTGTAATCTCCCTGAGGATAGACAGCGTCAGGATTGTTAAGACTCTGTCATCATATCCAATCTGTTATACAATTCTATCAATTCCACCTCAGCAGAATCTCTATTCCTACTGTTACTACCCCAGTGCAAGTCCTCACTATGTCCCACTTGGGCCTACTGCAATAGCTTCCTAATAGAGCTTCTTTTCTCCACTCCTCCAATCCACCTTTCATATGCTATTGGAATAATCTTTCTCACATACAGATCTGGTCAAGTTACAATCTGATCAAAAACGCCAAGAAGCTCCCAATTTCCCACCGAGAAATTTAAACTCCTCTGCTGGAATTCAAAGCCTCCTTTTTCAGCCTTATATCATATAACAAGCCCTACTCTGACACTTCATAGTGACACAGAAGTGGACAAAAATTCTTGAAAGCTACATCAGTGGAGCACAAACTCTGACAGGTTTCACATTAAGTTAAAAAGGCTTCAAAGATGGTCCTGGCAACAGACTAGCTGATTCCCAGCAGCTGATCACCATGATGATTGGGCGATTGTTTGGCCATTGGTAATTCATAAAATAGACATAAACACCAAATAGTTCAGGAATGAGTAGTCCCCTTCTGATTCCTCAATAACAGTGGCAGAATGGCAGAGAAAGGGCAAAGGTAGGCTTCCCACCAAATCAATGTTATTGTGCATGTTGGTACGATAAGTGTGAGATCCTTGTCTAGTAAGTTGCTGCACTGCCAGAGGACCTGAAACACATTCATAGTGACAGTATCATTGTAAAAGACACCAGAAGACAAAATAGAAGGAGGACGCACAGATTTTCCTCAGAGTGGATCATAGAGGAATTGCAGAATGTTGGTTTCATCATTTGCCTGAAGGACACCTGGACATCTTAACTGGTCATGCACATGGTGAACATGATGAACTTATGATCTCTAAAAAGATAGTTACAGCATATATGCCAATACTAGTTACAGAGGATGAAATAGTAGAGACTTTCTATGAAGAAATATGACAAGATCCAAGTCAACTTTCACCTTGATACCTGGAGACTTCAACACGAAGAGAGGATAGTAAAAATATGTTGGAACACATGGGTGAGGATTAAGAATTCAAAGAGGCCAATGGCTTTGGGATTATTTTTTTTTTGGTTGTTGTTTTGTTTTTTGGGGGTCTAGGCAATAGGGTTAAGTGACTTGCCCAAGGTCACACAGCTAGTAAGTGGTAAGTCTCTGAGGCCAGATTTGAACTCAGGTTCTCCTGACTCCAGGGCTGGTGCTCTATCCACTGTGCCACCTAGTTGCCCCCACTTTGGGATTATTTGGAAGTGTTATGCCAGTGTATCATAAATACTTTCTTTAAGCAGCATAATGTCATATCCTTGAGGCAAGGACGGTTTTAAATTTTGTCTCTGTATGCCTTGCACATAGTAGATGTTTAATAAAGGTTTGCTGAACGAAGAGAGTTGGAAGGTACTGGACATGTGGAATGCTGAGAATCATATAAAATGAAACTGACTTTTTCTGGGAAGAAAGAACTGTTCACTGCCATGGAAGTATTTTAGAATAAGTTAGGCTATGTAGTCAAATCACTGACTGGTTAGAGAAGTCAAAATGAACAGCAAATCAGTAGAGTTTTAAAGAAAGATGGGAAGATACTCTGTGCAATTGAAACAGGCCAACTCATTTAGTTGACTGGTACTCTGAAAAAATGGAAGCTGGATAAAAGTAAAGAAAATGATTCAAATATTCCTATTTCTAAGAGGAGTTCTATTGAATGAAAATAGCCACCATAACAAGCTCAAAAGAGCCAAGAAACTGTCTTAGCCAACAAACACTTGGATCTCCTTTAGAAGTGGAGAGCCACGGCAGTCAAAGAGACTATCCATTATAAGTTGTGCTGTTTAAAAATTAATACACTGAAGGGGAAAACAGGTCTACAAAAAATTAAGTGTGAGACCCAGCTAAACTGTATCATCCCAAGAACACTGTAGATGTAGATAAAAATACGCAATATAGGATAGTTCAGACAGCTCTACTTATTAAATTAAAGCTATTCAAAAGTGGAATGGACTGCCACAGAAGATAGGCAGTTACCCCTCAAGCAGAAGCTGGATGACTACTCAATGGTTATATTAGAGTAGGGATTATTTTTTGAATAAAGGCTACACTAGATAGCTGGTAAAGTCTTTTCTAGCTCTAAAATTTGGTGATTCTGAGATTATCATTAATAACTTTGGGACCATCACCCTTGAACACTAATACCTCAGTTTCCAAAGTGATAATATGAGGTTGTGGAGATGGCATCAATGAAACTGAAGTGAGAAAAGAATGGCTGTACCTGACCAATACAAAGAAGAAACCTAGGTTGGAGGCAACACAATTTATAGGGATTCAGAAGCTGATTTCCAAAATATCTCAAAGCAGGGAACAGTCCAAAAGAATCAAGATCATGATTGATAGTATTCTCCCCCACCCCACCAAAAAAATTGGCCAAGTAAACTTTAGGCTAGTAGTAACCTATATGTCTACTTTCTTATTGCCATAGAATCCTTATGAGAAGGGTCTATGTATGTATTAATAATAGCTGGCATTCATATGTGTGTTAGGGTTTGCAAAATACTTTACAAATATTATCTCATTTTATACTGACAGCAACCATGGGAGGTAGGTGCTATTATTACCCCCATTTTACAGATAAGGAAATTCAGGTACAAAGTGGCCAAGTGACTTGCCCAGGATTACAGTTAGTAAAATGTCTAAGGCAGGATTTGAAATCAGGTTTTCCTAACACCATAAGCACTACATCCACTGGGCCACCTAGGTGAAAGAGGGTGTCCTTGATGAAAATGAGAAGAGAACAAGAAGGCTTTTTTAGAATATTTTCTATAGCTGGGCACATCTTCATATTCATTATCAATGTAGAAGTATAGAAAGCATAAGATAGTGCTGTGTTTATAATTTGTGGATTACAAAGCTATGACTCAAGGGTCAAAAATGTCATTGGTTTGGCTAATTTTACTGGTGATGAAGATCAGAACTCCTTTGTAACTTATGACACCTCTGTAACTTAGATGGGTCTCTGGGAGTTGTTGTGACTGGAAAATTTATTACCCTGCAGTCAACTAGGTGATGAGTCTCCCTTAACTTCTCAGAAACAGTTCACCAAATATTGCACTGGTATCTACGAGATATTAAAGATAGAGAATAAGACCTCTAGTGCATTTGGTAGGTGATATATAGAAGATGCATTTCCATATATGGACAAGAATCACATGAGATGACAAGATACATGTAAGGAGAGGGGAGGTGATTCTCCCCCTCACCCCCAAGCTCAGTTGACGTAATCACAGAAGGTCTAGAATGGAACCACAAGGTGTTAATGAGGTGTTAAATTAACTGTAAAGAAGGGAATGATGTGATTGGCTAAATAAACAAATTAGTCATGACTTGGGGTCTTTAAATAGCTAGGCTCTGGATGAACTTCAGAGTTAGGGTTTGAGAGAAGGAGAGACAGCAAGTTGGAATTGCCTGTGGAGAAGACTTGTACAGGAGGGAAAGAAGGGATTTTACTGGCTATGTTATTCTAAAGGGAAGCTAATGGACAAGCAGGAGGCATTACCTCTAGTGAAGAGCAGAGAAATATATTCTAGATCAATACAAAGAGACAGTCACTGAGAAAGCAGTTTCAAGGACTGCATTCCCTGGCAGCAGAGAAGAGTTAGACTGTAGAAAGGAGCAGACACTGGGAGCCTGGCTGAGCAATCTGTGAAGCAGAGATGCTGAACCCTGGGGAAGCTTTGTGAAGGCTCTAAGAAGAAAGAATGGATTACTAGGCCTTTTAGTGCTACAAGTCGTCTTTGTCATATGTGTATTCTACATTCTGCCTCACAACAACTGTACTCTAAGGTTAAGCCCTCGCTTCCCAAGTGTGCATTTGTGGGAGAGTGTGCCCCAATATTAAGGAAGGGCAATGTTTTATAACTACTATTCTTGCTCTGCCATCTGAGTAAATGACTTTGCTAAGACCTGAGTCTACTGGATGACTATTAACAGGAAGCATGCTGGTGGGTGCTTGTGTCCTATAATGTTCGAGGCAAAGACTCACAGGGTTATCCATAAGTGTGTGTGGGAGTAGCAGTACCTCTGGAGTCTCAAACAGTGCAAGGTGAGAGAATGAGAGCAGTCAAGAATTAACACAATCATGGAGCCAACAAAAAGGTGAAGTTGGCAGGTTGTACTATATTCTATATTCTCTATACTCCAGCCAAACTGGACTACTCTCTGTCCTCCAAATATGCTGATTTTACCATCTCTGTGCCTATGTACTCCTGCAACTCCTTGTGCCTGGAATATTCTCCCTCCTTTGCTGACTACTGAATTTCTATACATATTTTTTTAAAGCCCAATTCAGATATCACCACATCCTCTGTGAAGCCTTCCCTGAGCTTTCTCTTCTGTGAAGATGTTTCTCTTGGACTTCACATAGCAATTTGTTTTGCAATTCCTTAAATTCCTTGCCATTTATTATTGTATATTATAATTGTGTATCTTATTCCTAGTGCTAGACTAAACTCCAAAAGGGCAGAAACTGTTTTATCCAAATGCTGTTATTTCCCCAAGAGCCCATCACAATGTTCTGTCCACAGTAAGTATTTAAAAATGTTTGCTGAATTGATACTGAATGAATGAGTCTAGGGGACAGGTTTTATTCTTCTCTATATCCTCCTTGGCACCGTATGTAGGCTACACACAATGAGAGATCAACAATTTATTTAATGAAGGGTATTTGGACTAAATTACTGGACTGACAAATGGAGAGCAGTCCTTCTCCCTTGATGCTACTTCTTCTACTGCCTTTGGAATGTCTAGGACAGCATGGGCAGGGTAAGGAATCTGTGTTCTACTCTCATCCCAACATGATAATATCAAGCCTGGGGTGGAAATGAGTAGGAGGCAGTGGCAGATAAGGGACAGACAGAGGTCCCTGAAAGGAGAGGTGACCCAGCAAGTGTCCTACTAGTTAACCACAGAGAAAGCCTTCCTCAAAGCTGTCAGTGGACCTTGACCAAACTCATCACTTACGTGTCATCAGTGTCTATAGATTCCCCCCGGGCAGCCCCACCCTGGATAGATTCCATAGCAGTAGAGTAGAGAGCCTTCTGGCCAACTGGACGCTTCTCATCTGATGTGCTCTGGGCTCCCTCTGTCTGCCTTTCCCGTTCCTGCTGGTCAATGTTATGCACCCCCAGCAATAGGCTGTAGTCCATGATCTTAAAACTCTCCAACACCTACATGATAAAAGAAAAAAAAAAAATAGAGACACACCACACCAACCCTTCCCAACACCTGGAATCAGGTCAAACCTAGCCAGACTCTGGCTCTGCCTTCTTGGCCTCTTGTCATTCAAACCCTGTGAACTCTTAGTTATCACAAAATCTTAGTTTTGTAGTAATCACTAATCACTAAACAAAACTGAACTTGACCCCATTCTCCAATCTCAGATAATAAAATGCATCTTTTCACAGGATTCTTTCTAATGGGTATTGGTAATACTGTAAAGTGTTCCTGGAAAGAGGTGATCCAGTCCTCCTATGCAAGGAAGTCCCCAGTTCTAAATTCCGATTTTTAAAAAAATCTAGCAAGTCCATGAACGTGCTGCCTGGTAAGGCATCTGAGAAGCCCTAGTATTCCGAAATTCTTGGCATTAGATTTGTACCATTCATCCTTCTGAAGACAGGGACTGTGTAATCTCGTTTTCCTGCTTAGGGTCTATGCCACTTTCTTTCTTGGAATGACAGCTCATGGGATATTGCCCTCTCTTTCCAGGGCTGATCTGGCATAATATTACCCTCTTTAAAACAATCAGTGCTATCTTTCTCCCCGCTACAATCAGTGTGACTCCCATTCATATAAACTTACCCTCTTAGGGGCCCTTCCCCTTACCAAACAGTCTCTCTGCAGAGTTTTCACCAGTGCAGTAAAAGTGTCAGCATCCAGCATCAGCCCCTCAGGCATGTCCTGCATAAAGTCCAGGTCCTTATAAGTGGGGATGGACTTCTCCTTTTCCTTCTTGCTTGCCCGTCGCTTGTACGTAGAGCCCTTTAAGTCAAACTTAAGGTGCATCTTTACTAAGCGGGGAAGTATGTTGTTCATTACCACCACTCGGATGTTCTTCCCTCCAGACTGAACACAGTATAGCCCATAAAACTTAGGCAGCAGAGTCCGAGGATTCTGGTTTAAATTCTGGGAGGAGAAATGAAAAGCAACTGGACTTAAAGCCATGAAGATATGAGTTCAAGACTGTCCTCTGTCACTTACTGGTTATGTGATCCTGGTCAAGTCTGTTAAACCTCCTCAGCTTCAGTTTCCTCATCTTTAAAATCCTCACAGGGTCTTTGTGAGGATCAGATGAGATAGCTTATGTAAATTGCTTTGTAAACCACTTAAAGCACCATATAAATGATAACTATTGTTATTATTTCCTACACCAAACTGGAATCCACCAGAGAATGCAGATTTTGTCAGTGGTCCTCTCTGGCCATGTGACTCTAAATGCAGACAAACTTCCATTCTTCTAACCGCAATAAATCTGATCCAAGAAGCCCTGTGCTGTGTCCTGGGCCGGTAATTTTGGTTTGTTGGTTCCCTTATGGGGAATCACAGGAGTTGAAAGGGACATCAGAGGCCAGAGGTGTTAATCGCTCAAATGAGGCCCATAGTACTGGTCTACAGGGAACCTTACGTACGGTTTTAGTGGATCCCCTTTCTATTTGAGCTTTATACCACTGCTTGATCTAGCCCATTTTTCCAGGGAAAAGAGGAAGCCCTTTTACGGCATCCCTGACAGGTGGTTGATCAGCATCAACTTGAATATCCCAAGCAATGAGGAGCTCAAGACACTTCAAGACATCTGCTGTGCCATTGTTGAACTCCCAGTAAAGATGGTGCAAGAGTTTTTAAACTTGAGGCAGCCTGATTTAGCAGAAAGAACATGAGACTTGGAGTCAGGAGACTTAAAATGGAGTCCTAGTGGAGACTTCCTAGGTGTTAGATCTTAAGCAAATTACTGAATTTCTCTGAGTCTTTGGTTCTTCATCTATAAAATGGGGATCATTCTTATATTACACCTACCTACAACAGAGGGTTGTTATGAAGAATGTTTAATGAAATTTAAAGCCTGACAGAAATGGGAGTTACTACTAATAGTAATATACAAGACTTTTGTTTTTGTGTGAGGTTCTCCAGCTGAGTTGTCATAACGACAGTAGTAGCAGATTAAATTTATATAGTATTTTAAGGTTGACAAATACCTCTTATATCTTATTTGAACCTCACAAAAACTGTAAGCAGATATTATATTGTTATCTCCTTAGTAAACTGAGGCTTAGAGGAATTAAGTGACTTGTCCATGGTTACACAGGTAGTACATAACAGAGTTGGGATTCCAAGTATAGAGCTCTTTTCACTCCAGGAAGATGGTTTTTTGGGCTGCTTGGAGGATAATGATTCCCAGCTTTTCTTCTCTCACCTCCAAAGCTCTCCAGACTTGAAGACTTCATTTGACATTTCTGGGCAAGGTCAATAAAACAAGTTAAATGTTTATCCTCCATGGGAAAGAATCAGGCTATCTACCTGGCATTTCCCTAAGGTTACTCAAGGTATTCTCCCACTGGGCTGGACCTCGGGCTAAAAGCCTGTTTATCAGACCAGGTTTCAGGAAACCAAAATGCTTCCTGAAGTGGATCTGGGAGCAAAAGAATATGTCAACTCCAAAGAATCAGAGGGAAAAGCAGGCCCCATCCAAATTTTATAATCTTTGTTGTTCTTTTAGAAAACCGTAAACTGCTCTGGTCCTCTCTTTACAGATGGTTATCTGATCCTTACAGCACAGTAGCAATAGCTGGAAGTTTTGGTCTTTTTACAGTCAGCTTCCTTGGCCTCTGGTCTGGTGGCTGCCACCTGACACCTTAGAGGAATTTCAAACAGATGCTTGACGTAACAATTATCATATAGCAACCATCTTTTGCTGTTTTCTGTCAACAGCATAAGTCCATGCATACACCTATAGACAGCAGAAACCTATGCTCTGGTTTCCATTAAGGATATGGGTCTCTGAGAGGAGTGGCAAAGGGTCCTCATCCAAGTGGATGAGAATGGGGTTCACTTTGGGATACCACACTTTAAGAAGCACATGGATAAGTTGATATGGCTTTGGAGGAGCATTACCAGGAGGGAGAGAGGATCAGAAGTCATTATAAAGAAGGAAATTGGGGGTGTTTAAAATAGGGAAGAGAAAACCTAAAAAATTATAGTTTTTTTTTTCAAATATTTAAAGAGCTGGCAGGGAAAAATAAACCTTTTCTGCTTCGCAACTGCTGGAAGGAGAGGGGAGGAAGAGTGAAAGGACACAGATTTTGGTGCAATAGAGGCTACATTTTCTATCAACAAGACATGTCTGATAATGGAATGGGTGACCTGGGAAGGTCATGAGATTTGAGTGTCCTACACGGAGGGTGGATAACCACATGTCAGAACATCCAGTAGAACAGACTCCAGATTCTGGCAGTGGTTGGATTAGATGCCTTCTGATGTCCCTCCCAACCCTAATGATTCTTAAGTCACCGATCCAATTAACTTCATCATGCAAATTAAGTCAAGTCAGAAATAGATCTGAGAGTAAAAATTCTAAACAGAAATAGAAACTACGACTTATCAAGTGACAAGTCAATTTCTTCACACATTTCCTCAGAACAAAGGAAAGTATGTAGGCTAGTGAGCATTTTTGCACATCTGTAACCTCTTGGTTCTTATCTTACAAGGTTGGTTTGGCCCTGCCAAGAACTGGAACATGCTTGGTTACTGGTCCTGAGAGGATAATTTTAGAACTGATTATGCCACTGAAAGATTCCCAGGGCCCCAACCTCCCTCCTTAATCAGTATGATTGTGTTTGCCACCTCACCTGTTTTAACTACACTGCCCAACACAGTGCCCTGATTTTGGGTAGGAAGACTTGCTGTATTACAAGCTCTGGACACCCTGAGGTAGAGCTCATCTAGTTAACCTTCCCAAACAGTACAGGAATGCCATTAGTAGCATCCCTGAAGGGCGGTCATCCATTCTCTGTCTGAACATTCCCCTGCCCGGGAAGTCTCTAATTTACGAGGCAGCCCATCTCATTGTTAGGATGCCTAAGAAAGAAAGTTTAAGTTTTTGAATGAGACTTTCAACTTAGTACAGTCCTCTGGCTGATGTCATTATATTAAAGAGAAGTCTGGGACAAATGGAGATGTTTTCTTCCTCTGGTTGGAGGACAGGATCAGAGAATGTTAGTGTTCGAAGGGCCACTGGAGAAGATCTATAGTTTCTCTTCCTCCACCTTTTACAGATAAAGTAACCAAGATAGGAAGTGACACAAAGTCACAATGATTTTGCAGCAGAGACTGGTTCAGAGCTCAGAGATCCTTACTCCTAGCACTTTACTATTTGTTTTACTAGAGCATGCTACCTTCCAGGTTTTTTTTTTTTTAATTTTAAAACACATTTAAAATTTTATTTTTAGGTCCACATTTTCTCCCTCCCATCTCTCCCCCTCTTTCCACTGAGAAAGCAGTGAGAACTAAACCTGTTACAAACATGTATAGTCAAACAAAAATAAATTCTTGCATTGGCCACACTCCCTCTCCTCCCTCCCTCTCCCCTTATTGCCCCCCAACAAATACGCCTCAGGTCGCCCTCAGAGTCCATCACTTCTATCTAGATAGAGGGGGGCAGCATGTTTCATCTTGAGTCTTCTGGAATTACGGTTGGTCATTATGTTGATCACAATGCCTAATTAAGTATTACAAAGTTGTTTGTTTTTAAATATTGCTGTTATTGTATAAATTGTTCTCCTGGTTCTGCTCACTTCACTCCACATCAGTTCACACAAGTCTTCCCAGGTTTCACCGAAACCATCCCCTGCATAATTTCTATAGCACAATAGTATTCCATCACATACAGATATCATAACTTGTTCAACCATTCCCCACAAATGGGCACTCCCTCTCCCTCTTAGTTCCAATTGTTTTCCACCACAAAAAAGAGCAGTTATAAATATTATTGTACATGTGGGTTTTCTCTTTCTTTCTTTGATATGTTTGGGATATAGACAAGTAAACAGTATTGCTGTGTCAAAGGGTATGCACAGTTTAATAGCTTTTGGGGCACAATTCCAAATTTCTTTCCAGAGTGGCTGGACCAATATTCATAGCTTCACCAATAGTACATTAACATACCTGTTTTCCCACAGTTCCTTCAGCATTTGTCATTTTCCTTTTTTTTTTTTTTTCAACTTTGCCAATCTGAGGGATATAAGGTTGTACCTCACAATTGTTTTAATGTGCATTTATCTGATTATTAGTTATTTAGAACATTTTTCTGTACGGCTATGGATAGCTTCCTAGCTTCTCTCTTGCCCCCAATATTCTTCAAACTCAAACTTTAAGCACTCTGTAATCATTCACTGTTGCTACTGCTGCTGGCTGAGAAAAGGAAAAAAAAAAAAGCTGTACATACCATGTAATATCCAGGAAGCAGCTTCTGCAGGAACTCTGCTTCCTTGTGCATCACAGTCTTAATGATGAACTCATCATCACTAGTGACATAGAAGAGGGAGCCACTGGCACCTGGGTTGGAAAGTTCAATCAGTGGTTCATTGCACAAGGAATACTAGGAAGCAAAGAACAGAAATGGAAAAGTCACAGGTGGCAGGACTGGAAGGAAACTCTGGTAGATGACAGGAATGCAAGTGAGACAAGCAGGTACACTCCATTTGAAACCATGTTTAGTATGGCTGAACCTGTAAAAAACATTGTTAAAATTCTAAAAGGCAAATCTTTTCCTTGAGTTTTAAGGTGCTAAAATAGTGACAGTAAATACTATCATAATTAATAATTATTATTAACCATTAATGTGCCATTACACATATATGTGCACACACATAAAATCAAAGATTATCAGAGTTAGAAGAGCCCTCAGAGCACATTTAAGGTCAGTCTTTCATTAAAGACCCACTCTCATGCCTTATAGCATCCAGCTGATCCTGGGTTCCTGAAGACTTCATATAAGAGTCTATTGCTCAAGTACCAGCTTAAATTTGGGCAGGTTTATTAACACAAGTTAATTTTTGGCTACAGCAATTCATTGAACTGTCCACAAAACAGTTGTGAAACAGTCATGATCTAATTAGAATACCTGTACTGCTGAAAACATGGATTCTCAAAAAAAAAAAGAAATATGCCTATAATGTATTTTTATATAATCTGCATAAATTTAGCATCCCATGAGATCTGTGATCTCATGGATAACGGGTACAATGACCATAACCCATGCAGTGCCATTTCTGTTATTAGCTGTTACTGTTCATTCACCTCAGTCATGTCTGACTCTTTGTGACCCCATTTTGGATTTGCTTGGCAAAGATACTGGAGCGATTTGCCATTCCCTTCTCCAGCTCATGTTATAGATGAGGAACTGAGGCAAACAGGGTTAAGTGACTTGCCCCGGGTCACATAGCTAGTTAGTGTCTGAGGCTAGATTTGAACTTGGGAAGATGAATCTTTCTGTGCTACCCAATTGCCCCTATTTTTGTAATATACTCCCACAAATATTCCACTGAGGGTTTACCCAACACGCTGGGGGTTGTCCTTACGTTCTTTTGACAGTACACAAATATTCATGGAGTACATCTGCTGTTTATTGGTTATCCCTTGCTCTCATCATATGATCTATGCATGTTTGTGTATTTGTATCCCTCAAACCTAGCACAATACCTGCCACACAGAATGTGCTTAATAAGTACTTCTTGATTGATTTGATTCTTATAATGACATTGTAAGCTAAGTACTATTATTATCTCCACGTTACAGATGAAGATACTAAAGATCGTAGCGGCTACATAACTTGTCCATGGTCACATGGCTATCAGGGTTAGAACTGGATTTTAACTCAGTTCTTCTGACCCTGGACCCCACATCCTAATGACTATATTATATTGACTACCTTCTTATAGTCTGTTCTGCAACATAGCTATTATACGGAGGATATATATTTATTGTACAGTAGTACAGGTGTATGTATCTTATCCTTCCTGCTAGAGTGTACTAGAATGATCATTCATTAATTGCCACTTCCTGCTAGAGTGTGCTAGAATGATCATTCATTAATTGCCTATCAGGCCTGTGCTTTGTGCAGAGTAGGTGCTTAAAAAATGACTGCTGAAAGAATAAATGAATGAACAATTCAAAATAAATATTGAACATAATGGAAACAATTGTGAAGTTCCCTAGATTTATGATAAGCATAACAAAATTATGAATAGCAGTGGAACTACTTAGGAAAGTAGTAAAATAATTTTTCCCTTGGACAACGGTTTCCTTTTCCTGTCTTTGGAAAACAGCACTGACAGCCCCTAAAAGTTTATCTGTATTTGGGCAGAGTCTTTCCTAAATGGGCTAAAAAAGAAATCCCAACTGCTCCATTTTAAGTTTCAAACTTTTGAAATACCCTGTACCCATGGGCTCTAACAGCTCAGGTGATCTTTCAAGCTTATAGAATCACACAATGTCAGAGCAGGAAGAGCCTCTACAACACAAAACACAGCCAGAAGGATATCTAATCCAACTCATTTAAAGAGGAGGAACCATCTCTAATTACTATCCAGAAAGGCTACCAGGATAATACTCTTAGTAGAGATGCCTGAAAGTCCTTTTTAATCCTTTCCCTTAGGAATCCTTTTAGTAATATGCTTAGGTTAGTTGTTAGTGTCCTCAAAGGAGGACCAACGCAGGTTTATTTCTCAGATTCCCAATTTCTTTCACATTCCCAACTACAGAATCCCAGAGTCTTGTCCTAAGTCCACAACACTACATTAGGGGTTGTGCTGAACAACACAGTATTTCCCACCATTTCTGTGTAACTTAATTGGCTCTATGGCAACACATGCCACCCAAAAGGCAGCAGCCTGTACCTTCCTGGGCCCAAAAGCTGGACAACTGCCTCTGGATATATCTTATGCTTTATTCCAAAAATTTTCCTAGATTCCTGAGTTGGAAGAGGTACATACACAGCAAACTCTCAATGTATAAATGAAAGGATAGGGGGTGTGGGTGGGGAAAGAGATCAGGAATGAACAATCCATCCACATGTCAACCACAGTGACAAGAGACTAGGATGGCCAAAGAACAGAAACTGGTTTTGGGGGATTGCTTAAAGGGAAGGAAAAGAATAAATGCCAAGGACTCAATCCACACAATTCATTAAGCACTCCTTAGTTTGTACTGAGAACAGCTCACTGCACTACATGGATTAACAAGCTAGGATTTTATCTACTTAATTATCTCACACACCATTAAAGAGATGTACTGCTGGGGTGGGCAAGCGCTGACAAGAGAAGGGCTGCAAATCAGAGTGGTGACCTTTCTGAGGCAGGAAGGCGTGGGTCTTCCCCCAAATCTGTAACCACTATCATCAAAATGGCAACTAGCCTTTCCTACTACACAGATGGGACACAGACTCTCTTCTCTTCTAACTCAGCTATTATGTGAGACTTGGCTTTGTTCTTTAGAGCCTTAGTCCTGATCAAGTCTGGTTTTTATGCACACCCACATCTGTTCAAAGGAAAAGCATTTCCGTGGTGACAAGTTCAGGGTTTCCCCCTTCTTCTAGGGGAAGGACAGACAGCTCCATCTTAACCTCTTGCCCCAAAGACTTTCTCTGAGCCAGGGCAGGACTGGCTGAATGGGGCAAAAGGCCCCAGAACTTGGCCAGTGATATCCAACAGAAGCCTGTTGCAAACTGAAGAAGCAGGTCAAACAGTAGTCTTCTGCTTAGCATTGACGATCCTGACTTCATGGCTGAAGAAGCCTTTCCATCTCAGGGGTTACAACGCAGTTCTTCCCTCCTTACCACACAGCATTACACATCTGTGAATCTATCTTCCAAGCAGCTCTTACTCCACTGCCATCTTTTATCAGCTACTATGCTGTCTCCCAAGCTTTCCTAAGCTGTAATGTACTACCAATGCACTTCAAAAAAAACCCCAAAGATTTCTTGATATATGTGGTTTTTAGATCTCAGTAATTTCTGGACATTCTTTTCCCTATCTCTCCCCACCCCTATCAAGTTGAAACCTCCCTAGTAACAAAGAAAAAAGTTAAGGAAAAACAAAAACAACCAAAAATCCAAACCCAAACAAACAAAACCCTGAAATAATGACTATTTGATAACATAGTCCTCAACCTCTCTGCAAAGAAAATGGAAATATCAGTTAACTTGAAAGAACCTATTAGGAAACTTAGTGAGGTGGAGGGCCCCCCATCTAGGCAGCCAGGTCAAGCCATCTGCACATCCACATTCTCTACCCACAACAAAATGTGTGTTGTGTGTGTGTCTGTGTGTGCGGGCGCGCGCGCACACACACACACACACACACACACACCAGATAGCCTTCTTTTCTTTACCACGGTTACTGCTACCTCCTATCTCATCCTTCATATCTTATTGGTTACAAATTGGCAAAGGGAAAGAGGGAATGGAGGCTATGCATACACAAGCAGGCAGGAATTGGCAACCTTTTCAAAGCGACTTGGCAGGTCTTAATTCTTTTATTATTTCAACCTAGCAAGGGCAGACCAAGAGCAGATACTCAATTCAAATGCAAATATACCTGAGAAAGGATCCACTTTAAGTTCTAATCAACTAATACTTCTGTCAGAGAGAGGGGAGAGCAAATAATTGAGGACAGGTCTGGTAAAAGGAAGAGGGGAAGCAACAGGAAGAATAAAAAGGGGAACTAACAGGAAAGGTAAGAGGTGATAAGAGTCTCAGACAACACAGTTGAAAAGGCCCACAGAACACATAATGTGAAAGCTAAAAAGGACCTAAGGTCACAAAAGTTATAAATAATCTAGATCAGGGGTTCTTAACCTGAGGTCCATGGATAGATTTCAGGGAAATGATGAATTTGGTTGGGAAAAAAATTACATCTTCATTTTCACTAACCTCTAACTGAAATTTAGCATTTTCTTCAACTACTTAGAAAAATTATTCTGAGAAAGGGTCCATAGGCTTTGCCATATTGCCAATAGGGTCCACATCAAAATCAAAATTTATTGAGTGCCTACTATATATCAGCATTGTGCTAAGTGCTGGTAATGCAGTAAGAGGCAAAAGATACTTCCTGCCCTCAAGGAGCTTATAGTCTAACGGGGGACACAACATGCAAACAAATATGTACAACTGAGCATATACAGAATATATGGGAAATAACTATTGGAGGGAAGGTACTAGAATTAAGAGGGTTGGGGAAGGTTTCCTGTAGAAGGTGGGATTTTAGTTGGGACCTAAAGGAAGCCATAGAGGTCAGTAATCAGAGTGGAGGAAGAAGAGCAAACCAAGCATGGGGGACAGCCAGGGAAGTTAGGGGAGGCAGACTGTGACATGTTTGTACCTTCACTTTAGGAAACTTATTTTAATGGCAGGAGGACGGATTGGAGTGGGGACAGACTTGAGGCAGGCAGACCCAGGCTATTGCAATAATTCATGTGTGAGGTGATGAGATCCCTGATATAGGTTAATTCATTTACTTGCTTTATTTTACAGATGAGGAAATTGAGGCCCAAAGAAGTGAACAATTGCAGGGGTAGGGAGAAAACATTTTTGCTGACTTAAAATATTTGGAAGGCTGTTGTATGGAAAAGATCAGACCTGTGTGTTTGGTTAAGTAGAATTAGAACCAATGGGCAGAAACTTTCCACCAAAAATAGAGTAATTAGTTCCCCAACCTTTGAAGTTTAACATGAGACTCATGCTTGTGGTAGGAGTAGGACTAAATTAACTCTGAGGTCCCTTCCAACTCTGAGATTCTTTGATTTTATAAAAAGACTTGCCCAAGTTCACAATGATCACTGGTGATCTATCAAGTAGAGGCATAAGAACGGAATAAATGGATTTTTTTGAAGCACCTTCCAACTCTATGGCTGAAGTTTTGGCTAGTTCAAGCTATGTCCTACAGGAAATGACATTAGATGACCAAAGCTAAGTATCTGACTTTACAATTTTCCTTAGGTCTGTTTGGCTCCTGGCCACCATGCATTAAAAATTATCTGCTAGCCCATATTCTATGTACTTTTCCACCAAAGTTGTGGGATAAACCGGCTGGGGAAAGAACAATGGTCTCCTCAGCTTAGAAATGACCAAGATGATTCAGACTGCATCAATGTCATGCAAAAAACAAAAGAAAAATCTCAAGCATGCATTACCTACCAAATAGTCGTCGGGACGAATACCAAAGAGCTCTCGGAAATACCGAAAAGCCACAGGTGCATAGGTTTTGAATCTGAAGTCAGCATAGTGATGGGCAGGAGTGAGGTTACTTCCTTCACTGTGTGGAAAGGATGAAAGGCAGAAAAGTATGTGAACTGGCATTAATGTTATCTATTTCATTTCACTCTTATTCAAATTCTGACATTGTATTCTCCTAAACTCAAAGAGAAAGCCACTCAAAGTATGTATGGTAATTTAACAAAATCATACAATCATTACAAAAATGGGAATCATATGCTAGAATATTTGAACTGGGAAGGGCCTTCATAAATAGAAGGCCTCTTAGAACAAAAACATCAGAGGTGAAAGAAGCCTTAGAACACTGAATGTTTATGACTCAGATCAAGCCCAGCTTCCTTGTTTTAAAGATGGAGAAACTGAGATCCAAAGAGGAGAAATAACTTGCTCAACATCCAAAGCTATGGGGATGAATGATGCCAGGAAGAAAAGAACAATGTTGTTTTTAAGGTCTGTATTTTGTGAAAGCAGTGGAGAAGAGATGGCATTCTAATGTCAGAATGGTCTCAACTTGAACTATTATGAAAGTGAAGATACTGGAGGTCTTCTAATCCAATCCCACAAGCATTTATTAACTGCCTGTTACGTGTGAGGCACTGGGGATATAAAGACAAAAACCAAACAGTTCCTGCTCTCAACAAATTTATTTTCCTGAGCAGTAAGAGATTTTGAGCTGGAAGGAATCCAAGAAATCATCTAGTTCAATCTCCTCATTTCACAGAAGAGAAAAGTGAGAGGTTAAGTGACTGGCCAATGGTCACAGAAGCAATAAATGGTAAAGTTAGGATCTTAATCTGGGTCCTGTGATACAACCTTACACATAAGAAAATAGTAAGTAAAATAAGTAATTCTTTAGTATGAGGGCAGTAACTGGAGCAGGTGTTGGGGGTTGGAGGCAGTGGAGGGACACAGGAAAGGACTGATGTAGGAGGTGGCAATGAAGATATGCTCTGAAGTCCACCGGGACTGTTACAAGGCAGAGGGAAGAGGGAGTGCATTCTAGATTTCTAGAATGAATGAGGCACCATTTGTGCAAAAACTTACGGAGGTGAAAGGTTGAATGTTATGCCCAGGGAACAGCCATCATGCAAGTCTATTTAGAATGAAGTGTGTGATGGGGACAAAGAGAAGGACTGGACCTATGACTTCACTATTTACAGGCAACTCCTGGGTGAGAAAATAGCTTCTGTCAATGGAGGTTAATGCACTTTTTTCTGCAGCTTAGATAGTTGCCTAGAGTAGGAAGAGGTTAAGTGACTTATCTAGGGCCACAAAACAGATAGGTTTCAGAGGTGAGACTTGAATCCAGGTCTCATTGGCTTTGAGGCCGCTCTTCATCTACTATAGTTACTGCCTCTCACAAGAAAGGATAATATAAAAAAAGTCAGGGAAGGTAAATGTGAGCCAAAATGTGCAGGCCTGTAAACATTAGCCTGAGTATTTTGTATGGTATCTTATAGGCAATAGGGAGCCTTTCAGAGAGTGCTGTTATTCTAGGTTTTTGAAGTAGGAATGAGCCAATAAGGGCTGGGATGGATAGCACCTTTATTATTCTCTTCCTGGTGCTTCTGGCAAAGTATCCATGCACATATAGGCTTTAGTTCTTAGGCCTGGTCTAAGCCTGTCCCTAGCACCTCAAGGTGATACAGAAATAGGCCATGGAATAATACTAGAGAAGGCATTAGGGGGATGGGACATACTGGACACCTCACAGTTGCTTGAGGTAAGTAGTCAAAAGCCTCCAAGGTCACAAACCTAAAAAGGGTCTCAGAGGCCTAGTCTGAAACAGCTGTGAAGACCTTTCAAAGCTGTCCTTCCTTTAAGATTACTGTTAAGGATAATATTGCATATCACCCCAATCTGTGAGACTGACTGGGGGTAATTCAGGGGATAGGTTGGGGGAACAGGTCTGTTTTTCATATTCTTAACCACTGTTTCTACCTACTAAAGAGTGTGGACTCCAGGAATCCCTTGACTTCCTCCCCCATTCCAGCCCATCACACATGCATTTCCAGAGCTATACCTGGGGAAAAAGATGCTCTCCACCACATAAAAATCCTGCATGAGGACATCTCTTTCTGGTTTGGAGCTCAGGTTGCCTACAGTGTAGCCAATTCCTAACTGGATGGCCCCCCGAAGAGTAGAGGAGGTGGTCTGTGGGAAAGCACAACAAAGTCACTACCCCTTTTATTTCTTATAACCTCACAATCCTGAGGGGTCAACCCTAACACTCAACTTCATAGGATGACTCGGGGAGGTACAGTGGGTTGAACTCTACCAACTACAAATTAGCATGAGTTCAGTTTTGGTGCTAGTTTGGAGGGAATAGTAATTCGTATAAACATCCAAATTACCTTGGTTCCTACAGTCATGTAATACTTTGTATTTATACTAGGAGACATTTTTCATATAATTTTTGGATTTTAATCAATATAGTTATGACACCACACTATCTTACACTGTGTATGGCACTTCAAACAATTTTTGGTGAGCATCATATTTTTCATCTCATTTTTATTCTCAATATCTCTATGCAGCAGTTAGAAAAGGGAAAGCTAAAAGAATCTAGAGAGGAAAACTGAGTTACCTAAGTGAAATTAATACCTGGGTATATAGCCTATGTCTCTTGATTCCTAGGCCAAGATTCTTTCTCCTAGGTTTCTCCTTTTTCTGTCTAGTGTTAGATAATAAGCTTGCAAAGCCTTGAGACTACTTCAAACCAGATCATTAGCAAGTCCTTAATCAGCATTATATGATAATAAAGATTTCACAACCAATGCTGCTAGAATCTAAGAGTGCAAAAGTCTTACCATATTGGGGATTTTTTCCTTTCTAATAGCTTAAACTGAGATATGTAGGACACTGGATGAATTTTAAGGCAGATCAACTGCAATACACTAATTAATCATCTCATACTATGATGAAACTCAAAGATATGTCTGAAAGACATCTAGAAATCTGAAGTCCTGTCATAGTTCTGCCTGAACTCAAGTACTAACACTGAAATGAGAAAATGCTAAATTCCTGGCTGGTCTGGATCAGTAACCCCTTTCATTTAAGGGTTCTGAACTAAAAAGGACTCTCTTAATGATTTGTTTTTGTATAAGGGAATTTATCCAGTTCATATTTCATAGCCCTTAATAGTTTATAAAAAAAAAAACTTTCCTCACAACCACCTCAGGAGGTAGGCAGTGTAAGTACCATCTCTATTTTGCCAAAGAAGGAAAGTGAGGCTCTGTGAGGGAAAGGGACTTAGGATCACAGAGTGGTTAATAGTGAAGGTGGAATCTGAAACCTGGCTTTCTGACTCCAAGTTCCTTCTGATATGCCACACTGCCACCCAGAGATCCATGCCTGTATTACAGAGCTACTCATGATCTTGGTTATATTCAAGGTCTCTTTTTGATAGAGCTGAGGAAGTTTATTTCTAGGGACTAGACTGGTTACTTTGAGCAAGGGAACAGCCTCTGTCTGCATCACCAATCTCCAGCATTTTCTTTTCATAGAATTATATTATCTTAAAGTTGGAAGGTACCTCAGAGGTTCTTTGGTATAATCCCTATCCCTAAGCAAGCAGGAATCTCCTATACAGCATTCCCAACAAGTAGTCATCTACTTCTGCTTGAGGATACTCAGAAAGGGAAAACATTAACTCATGAGGCAGTCCATTATTCCGAAACTTTTAGAAATTTCTAATTATTAGAGAGTCTTTCTTCATTTTGAGCCAAAGTCTGCCTCTCTAACTTTCCTCCAGTGTTGCCCAATCCTTCTTCTACATAAACTAATTCACTTCTTTTACATGCCCTCTGAAGTGTTCTGTTCTCAAGCTAATCCTCTCCTCCTAGTTTCTGAAACTGATTTTCACATGGCCCGGTTTCCAATCCTCTCACTATTCTGACTGCTTTCCTCTGATCATGATTCAGACCGTATGCACCCTTCCTAAAATGTGTTGCCCAGAACCAGACCTGATATTCCAGAAGGCATCTGATCAGAGCAGAGGATAGGAATGATCACCTCCCTTTTGGTCACCACATCTATGTTTCTTTACCATTCATCTTTATCAATTTCTCATCTGAACAAATTTCATAACCAATTCCCACCAAGTCAATGAATTCAAATCAGTGGTAGAACCTTTTTGTAGGTGGTTTCTCCAGAAGCATCAACTCCCCGATGACCTAACTTCTTCCCATGTCCACTGGATTGTCCAGACAACATCGGGGACTGGAAAAGGAAGAGAAAGGAGAGGAATACGTTAAAAGTCATTGAAAAATCATCTTGGTGCAAGGCAGTGACTGGTTTGCCAGAAGGGTCCTGACCCTTTCACAAGTAACATGTTCAGGGGCCTCTGTTTTTTTTGATATGCTGGAAGGTAAAGTTTTGGTGAGGGAATATTGACTCAAAGGGTGAGGAAACACCAACTCTCCAAAGCAGGAAAGGCAGGGCTGTGTGCCAGCTCTCACAACAGGGGCAGGCCCTACTGACTCTCCTTGGTAGGGGGTGGGTGGGAGTAAAGTGTTGTTCTGTTTAAATTTGGAAGGAGATCATGGGAGGCAAACATTCTTGAAAGCAGCATTGAGATAGTATGGTGATGGATGACCAGCCCACATGCTCCTGAGAATAGGATCATGAAACATCTTTAGCAAAACAGGTTGCCAACTCCTCTAGAGTAGATTGTAGACTGGAAATATCCTAGAACTGAATTCAAAGAAACATTTATCAAATGCCTACTGTGTGCTAAGCAATATGCTCTAAGTGCTAGGAGATAAAGTTTAGATTAGAGTGGAACGTACAGTCTAGTAAGTGAATACGTCACATAATGTATATGTATATGTGTGTATATATAGACATATCTATATATACATACATATCCCTAATGCACATCCATTAATCAATTAAAGATCATTTATTAAGCACATATTATGCGTCAGACATTACACTGGGGGCTGTGTAAACAATTACAAAGACTTATACTATAATCCCTACTCTAAAGGAGCTAGCATTCTATCAGGGAGATGACAGGCACATATAGAAATACATGCAGAATAAACATAAAGAGAACAAATACAAATAAATACAAAGTAGTTAAACCCTGGGTAGTTTGAGAGGAAAGCATTGGAAGATCAGGAAAGCTTCCTGGAGAAGGGAGTGCTTAAGCCAAGTCTTGACAGAAGAGAAATTTTATGAGGTACAAGTGAGAAGGGAGGGCATTCCAAGCATAGGGTAGTGAGTGTAAAGGTGTGATGAGGGGAGATAGAGTGCCATATAAGAGGAACAAATTTGTCATAGACAAGGCAGCAAATGTGGCTAGGTCACAGAGTGCTGGACAGGGAATAATGTACAGTGAGCCTGGAAAGACAGCTTAGGGCCAGGTGGTGAAGGACTTGGAAACACTTGGCAGAGAAGTTCCTATCTGACCCTGGGGAAATACAGAACCTCCACAGTTTGGTACAGGAATGAACAGATCAGATCTGCACTAAGGAAAATCACTTTGGCAGCAGTGAGGAGGATGCACTGGAGTTGAAAGACTTGAAGTAGGGAGACCAATTAGGAGGCCATTGCAATAGTCTAGGAGAGAGGTGGTGAGGGGTTGAACCAAGGTAGTTAACTGTGAGCAGAGAGAAAGGGTCAGGTTCAAGAGATGTTGTAGCGGTAGAAATAGCAAGATTTGGTAACTGACTATACAAGGTAAGGGAGCCTGAGGAGTCCAGGTTATGAACTTGAAGGAATGAAAGAATGGTGAGGCCTCTGACAGAAATAGGAAAGTTGTTTTTTTTGGGGAGGGAGGTTGGGGGATAAGTATGTCACATAAACACATATGTTAGAGAAGTGTTTAACTGAATCAGCTGCCAGATGAACCTTCAGAAAGTTCAGGTCAGGGAGTTGGCTCAATTCCAAAAGGTGCCCTAAATATTTCTTGGTAGCCTCTGGCAGCACTGCCAAAGAGAAACATAGCAAACTAGGTGCTGGATCTCTTAAATCCCAGCCTAATCTCACTGATTTGTCTGCCACTAAGGTGACACTTTCTGAGAATCACAGTAGGTTGATATTTACCATATTTTTCCTAATATAAGCCATCCCACTGCCCAACTTCTCAAAATCTGGTTTCTATAAAGTCTGAATGTGATCTATGATCAATATTATTTTCCAGTGTATACCTACACACACATATGAATGTTCTGATCTTTGATTTTATCAATGTGGAAAACTCCTTGGTACAGTTTAAAGACTGCCCAGGGCACCGAGAAACTAAAAGACTTGCCCATGGACATGTGGCAGATGTCAGAGGCAGAACTGGAACCCAGATTTTTGACTCTTAAGGCTAACTGGCACTCTATCTACAATATGACTACCTATTCCTCCCCTCACCATTCCTTCCCCCCTTTTTTTTGGCCCAGCCTTGTGATTTCTTTGGCACAGGAAACTCTGGGTGAGGACATTTTCTCTACCACAGCACAACGACAACTTTATTCTTTAACTTAAAGTCTTAGAGAGTGTCCTGGGTCTCTGAAAAGTTAAGTAACTTGCCTAGGGTCATACAGCCAATATAGTCAGAGACTAGACTTAAAACACAGGCATAGGAAACCCCCTTTAATGGGACAGATAGATACTTCTGCAACTTACAGTCCTAGAGACTTGCCCAGAGCACTGAGAGGTTAAGTGACTTGCTCAGCATCATACAGCTAGTGATCTGTAAGTCAGAAGCAGGGCTTGATCCCTGATTTCCTGGCTCTAAGGCTAGCTCTACATCTACTCTGCTAGGGAGAGTAAAACACAATTATTAACTCATTTACACACTAGAGTATCATTCTGTATCATAATTAGAATCAACCACAGAATGTTAGCATTGAAAGGGAATTAAAAAGTCAGAGTCTGCTTCTACCCCCTAATCATGAGTCCTTCTTTAGAACATCTCTGCTTAACAATCAGCCAGCCTCTGCCTTTCAGACCTCCAGTGATGGGGAATCTCTATTTCTTGAGGGAGCTCATTTCACTCTTGGACAACCACAACTTCTGGTAAGGTTTTTGTTATATCAAGGTAACACCGATATCTTGGCAACTTTTCCCCACTGCTTCCAGTTCTGTCCTCTAAGGCCTAACAAAACAAATCTAATCCCTCTTCTAAATGACAGCCCTTCCAGTATTTCAACATGGCTAAGCCTTCTCTTTCCAAGATGAAATATTTGTGGTTCCTTCAACTTACCCTTTTATGTTCGGGTTATAAGTCTAGTCACAATCATGGTGGCCTTTAATAGGATGTCATCCAATTTATCAATGTCTTTTCACAAATGTAGTATCTAGGGCAGAGTACAGTGGAACTAGTACTTCTTTTACTCGAGTCTAGATACTCTACTCTTCAATGTAGATTAAGAATGCATGAGGTTTTGACTGATATGTCACATTGTTGATTTATATCAAGCTTAAAGTCTAAAAAAATAATAATGATTAGTATTTATGTAGAGCCTACTATGTGTCAAGCACTGAGCAAGCACTTTGCAAATACTGTGTCATTTGATCTTCACAAAACCCTGTGAGGTAGGTGATATTAACCCCAGCTTGTAGTTGAAGAAACTGAGGCAAACAGAGGTTAAGTGATTTGCCAAGGGTAATACAACTTGTAAATGTCTGAGGCTTGACCTGAATAAGTCGTCCTGACTCCAGGCCCAGTGCTCTATCTACTACGTCACCTACTGGTCACTAAAATTCCCAAGTCTTTTTCCATATGAACTAATGATTATATACACCTCCTATATTCTGTACTTGCACAGCTAATTTTTTAAAAATCATAGGTGTGGTTTACATTTACCTCTATTGAATCTCATCTTATTTGATCTGTTTCATAATTCTGGTCCCATAGTCCTATGCCTAGGGTCATACAGCCAATATAGTCAGAGGGGGCCATCTTTATTTTAAGGGGTCCACAAATCTATATGCAACAATTATTGTCATTTTCTAAGATACATTTTCCCAGTCACACAGTTAGTATTGGAGCTGGGATTCAAATCCAGGTCTCCTGATTCCAAGTCCAACACTCTTTCCAACATACCACACTGCCTCTACCTCCTTTACCATCTTAATCTGTCTCTAGTCTTGGCCAAAAGAACAGAAGTACAGAATAATTATCCAGAAATCCTACAAAGGAACTGTTTGAAAGACTAGGTCCAAAGAGAAGTCATTAATGATTTCATGTCAATCTGGAAGGAGTTTTATCTGGAATGGTCTAGGGATCTGTGTTTGGGACTATGCTCTCTAAAATTTTGGTCAATTACTTGATTATAGTCATCAGTGATATTCATCAAATTTATATGATAAAACTAGGGAGGAGAGTTAACATGTTAAATGACACAGTCAGAATCCAAAAAAGATCTCAATGGGCTAAAATTGTAGGCTATTGAAATAAAGCCATTAAGACGGAATTTAGGAAAGGTAACTATAAAGTTATTTAGATATCAGGATGTCAGAGCTTGAAGAGATCTTACACAAGATAAAAAAAAATATGTACAATATGGAAGAAGCTTGGCTAGAGAGCAGTTTTTCTGAAACCAATCCGGAGGTTTCAGTGGACTGTAAGTTCAGGATGTTAATACTGACATAGCAGTCAGTACTGTAACATTGTAGCAAAAAAAAAAAAAATTTGATCTTAAGATGCACTAAGTGAAACATAGTTTTCAGGACTAGGGAAGTGAAGGTTCCACTGTACTCTCTGCTCTGGTCTGACCACACACCTATAAATACTGTGTTCAGTTCTAGGTACTACATTTAGGAAAGATATGATATGGTGGAATGTAACCAGAGGAGAGTAACTAGAGTGGCGAAAGGCCTCAAGATCATGCCATAATTAAGACTGTCTGAAGGAAGGAGGGAGATCTTGCCTGCAAAAGAGCAGGCTTAGAGGGAAAAGACAGCTGTCTTCAAGTATTTGAAAGGCTATCATTTGGAAGACGGATTAGATTTGCTCTGCCTGGCCCCAAAAGATGCTAGGAAGCACTTAAAAAAACTGGCACTATCCAAATGGAGGTGGCCGTTCCTTCCATGAGACGTCCAGTAAGGAATGGATGACCATTTGTCAGATTTGTTGTATAGGGAATTCTTGTTCAGGTACAGGTTGGACTAGATGGCCTCTGAAATCCTTTTCCAATTCTGAGATTCTGTCAGGGAATGCTGGGGCCATGATTCAAATTCAGGCCTTCTGACCCCAAATATAGCACTCTCTCGTCTATACT